AATATCTTTTCTATATTTTATCTTTTTTTATTATGTGAGATCAGATCTTCCCAAATGAATTATTAACAAAGTTCCTGAAAGAATAACTTAAAGACTATTTTGTGGTTAAATTAATTTGAATATAATACGTATGCATGGATTATGAATGACTGACTGACTTACTGAGTTTGGTTTTACGCCGCTTTTAGTAATATTCCAGCAACATCACGGCGGGGGACACCAGAAATGGGCTTTACACATTGTACCCATGTGGGGATTCGAACCCGGGTCTTCGACGTGACGAGCCAACGCTTTAACCACTAGGCTACCCCACCGCCCGATTATGAATGAATGTGAGTAAGTGAGAGTTTACTGTCGCTTCCAACAGTATTTCAGTTCCGGTACAATTTGATTGTAAATGTGAGAGAAATGTCAAAGCGACATGTGCTGTATAACGGTGAATGATGCCAGTGTTTGTGTGGACAGATCAAGCTCCCTAACTTTCCCATCTCACAGCCAACGGTTCTTGTATTGTTATGAAGCCACCCAGGAAAACAAAGTGGTGAAATACAGGATACATATGTCTAATCTCCTACACGACCATTTAGGAAGCCCGAAGAAAAACACAAACACAGTATGCATAGCGCAGTTTCAAAGCACGTGTTACATACACATATTTGCATGAGGTCCTTCATTAGCATGTAGAAGTTGGAGACAGGAAGGCTAGGTTATGGATACAAACTTCAGTAACGCTTGTAATGACTTGTATGGTTACTTCGTGCTGGCGACATATGAATTCAGCTCAGGTGTAGGGGCAAGAAGTAGACTTGGATTCACCCGGTGAAAGGGCAAGAAGTAGACTTGGATTCACCTGGTGAAAGCGCAAGAAGTAGATATGGTTTCACCTGGTGAAAGGGCAAGAAGTAGCCTTGGATTCACCTGATGAAAGGGCAAGAAGTAGACTTGGATTCACCTGGTGAAAGGGCAAGAAGTAGCCTTGGATTCACCTGATGAAGGGCAAGAAGTAGACTTGGATTCATCTGGTGAAGGGGCAAGAAGTAGACTTGGATTCACCTGGTGAAGGGGCAAGAAGTAGACTTGGATTCACCTGGTGAAGGGGCAAGAAGTAGACTTGGATTCACCTGGTGAAGGGGCAAGAAGTAGACTTGGATTCATCTGGTGAAAGGGCAAGAAGTAGACTTGGATTCACCTGATGAAAGAGCAAGACGTAGACTTGGATTCATCTGGTGAAGGGGCAAGAAGTAGACTTGGATTCACCTGGTGAAGGGGCAAGAAGTAGACTTGGATTCATCTGGTGAAAGGGCAAGAAGTAGACTTGGATTCACCTGATGAAAGAGCAAGACGTAGACTTGGATTCATCTGGTGAAGGGGCAAGAAGTAGGGGAAGTAGACTTGGATTCACCTGGTGAAAGGGCAAAGAAGAACTTGTAGACTTGGATTCACCTGATGAAAGGGCAAGAAGTAGACTTGGATTCACCTGATGAAAGGGCAAGAAGTAGACTTGGATTCACCTGATGAAAGGGCAAGAAGTAGACTTGGATTCACCTGGTGAAGGGGCAGGAAGTAGACTTGGATTTACCTGGTGAAAGGGAAAGTACCTTTGGATTCAAATGGTAAAGCGGAAAGAAATAGACTTGGGTTCAAATGGTATATGGGAAAGAAGTAGCTTTTGATGCAGCTGGCAAAAGGATAAGAAATAGCCTTGGAGTCACCTGATGAGGTTGAAAGAAAAAACCCTATTATTCACCTGGTAATGGGGAATTACGTAGCCTTGGATTCGCCTGATAACGAGGAAAGAAGTAGCCTTGGATACGTTCTTACCCTTACTCTCACCTTACCCTGTGTATCGTTGAGTGTCTAGACGTGTGTGGTGACTGGTTACCCCAGTGGCTAGAGTGTTTGCTGTGGCTGGGTTTCAATTAGGTTTCCAAAGTATACATGCTATTGATGCAATACTGCTGAAAGCAGATATAAAGCGTGCGCACATTCAGTCATGTGTACGAGTACATCTCACGTAACCAAACCACGTGTGAATATGCCTTTTGAACCTCAACATTGTCATGAAAACAATCTTACATGTCCTGTCAACAGAACAGCTGAACTAATTGTCGGAAAGAGTTCACATACTACCCCGGCATTAACTGAACACCTTAAACACGTTCACTGGTCCCCGGAACAGCTACATCTCTTTGTGAATCTGCATGACATAATTTAATCAAGAATGGGTAATAAAATACCTTACATGTAACTATACTAAACAGACAGACCGTTAATTTGATGTCGCTTTTTAGTCGGACTGCATGTTCCTTGGGTTCGTTGGTCACATCGAAGTACAAGTCGCTCCAGGGTAGAAAACGGCATAACACCATACCCCCCAGTTTGTGGCAAATTGAAAGCGTGGGGTGTGGGCCAACGTTCATATATTTTACGAACGCTTCACTAGGTTTGCTTTGCATACGTTTAATGACGCTATCAATCTCTTGACTCTGTTTTAAATAAAAAATAACCTTGACAGTGTTGGCAGTTATGTAGTCATTGAATGAAAGTGAAATGCAATAAATATACGTATTCAAAACCATGAGTTGTGTTATATCTGCCGTCCAAAAATAGACTGACTGACTGAGTTTGGTTTTACGCCGCTTTTAGCAATATTCCAGCAACATCACGGCGGGGGACACCAGAAATGGGCTTCACTCATTGTACCCATGTGGGGATTCGAACCCGGGTCTTCGGCGTGACGAGCCAACGCTTTAACCACTAGGCTACCCCACCGCCCCTCCAATAATAGATATAACAAGAGAAACAAAACAAAAACCAACCACATTTTTAAAATCCAAAAACCAAACACTCCATTTCGTTACCTGGCTACCTAGTCTCTCATCCGCTCATCTATTTATCTATAAATCTGTTCGTTAGGGTATCTACTTTTTAATCAATAAGTACACCAAACATCTATCTATTTATCTATAAATCTGTTCGTTAGGGTATCTTCTCTTTTAACAATAAGGACATCAATCAGTATGTCAATCATCTATCTATTGTCATTCAGTCCACGTGTCTATCACCTTTCTGTCATCTGTCCATCCACATAACTGTTACCTGCCCGTCACCATATACCTATTGTCTCTTCATTGTCTGACCATCACCATATATATCATCTTTCTGTCGTCTGTCCATCACCATGTCTATGATCTTCCTGTCGTCTGTCCATCACCATATATATATCATCTTTCTATTGTCTGTCAATCACCATATCTACCATCTTGCTGTCGTCTGTCCTTCACCATATATATATCATCTTTCTATTGTCTGACCATCACCATATATATCATCTTTCTATTGTCTGACCATCACCATATATATCATCTTTCTGTCTGTCCAGCACCATATCTATCATCTTTCTGTCTGTCCAGCACCATATATATCATCTTTATATTGTCGACCATCACTATATATATCATCTTTCTATTGTCTGACCATCACCATATATATCATCTTTCTATTGTCTGTCCATCACCATATCTATCATCTTTCTGTCTGTCCATCACCATATATATCATCTTTCTATTGTCTGTCCATCACCATATCTATCATCTTTCTGTCTGTCCATCACCAAATATATCATCTTTCTATTGTCTGTCCATCACGATATATATCATCTTTCTGTCGTCTGCCCATCACCATATCTATCATCTTTCTGTCGTCTGTCCATCCATATAATTATTACCTGCCCGTCACCATATACCTATTGTCTCTTGATTGTCTGTCCATCACGATATATATCGTCTTTCTATTGTCTGTCCATCACCATATCTATTATCTTTCTATTGTCTGTCCATCACCATATATATCATCTTTCTATTGTCTGTCCATCACGATATATATCGTCTTTCTATTGTATGTCCATCAAATGTCTATTATCTTTCTGTCGTCTGTCCATCACCATATATATTATCTTTCTATTGTCTGTCCATCACCATATATATCGTCTTTCAATTGTCTTTCTATTATCTTTCTATTGTCTGTCCATCACCATATATATCGTCTTTCAATTGTCTTTCTATTATCTTTCTATTGTCTGTCCATCACCATATATATCGTCTTTCAATTGTCTTTCTATTATCTTTCTATTGTCTGTCCATCACCATATATATATAATCTTTCTATTGTCTGTCTATCACGATATATATCGTCTTTCTGTCGTCTGTCCATCACCATGTCTATGATCTTTCTGTCGTCTGTCCATGCACATGTCAATCATCTTTCTGTCGTCTGTCCATGCACATGTCAATCATCTTTCTGTGGTCAATCCATCCACATGCATATCGTGTATGGTAGAGACTGAAGACAGTCTATGTCTAACTGCTACAATAACACCTCTGTCACCCACCTGCCTTATATATAATATATATCCCACGGGTATTTGGCACAGACAGGCGACAATGGGAACTCGTAATCGATACAGACCTACCATGAGACAAACCCCACGCAGAAGGCTTCTTTAAACGTTAATCCTTATACTTTTCTGTCTATCGTAAGCTCGTATTGTCTGTCTTTAACCCAACGTAATCACTTTTTGACAGACATTATTTCTCAAACCTTGTTAAATCTCCCTATTGCTTATCGGAGTGTTATCGAACCCACTGTTGGCCCTCCTAATACGATTACAATGCATAGTTTGTAAGTGAGTATATGAAATTTGCCCTCAACACTCAAGGATCAATCTCCAGGCGAAACGGACGAGTCCATTCAGTTGCCAGGGACCAGCTTATTGCTGTTACCGTTTTACAAACGTACCTTAATTAAACTATTGAATAATTCTATTAAACTATCCTCGGTACTCTATTACTACAGGGGTATATGAATATATATTGATCAGTTATGATTTGTTTTTAAAGTGATCAATGTCGACTTTTTCGATGCCCTACCTGTCCCCCCTCGAGTGATTGTCATGCTCTATCCCTCCCAGGTGGAATAAGTTTCATTCCATGTCAAACAGGTGCACGTTAAGATGGCTCTCGACTACATGAAAACTGTTTATAGGCAAGAAAGAGATGTATCGCCACGAGCAAAGTAAGCAACGCGTTTATTGTGTCAACTATATATTCTATTGCGTCAGTTAAGACATCAAGGAGCCGCTCCTTCAGAACCTGTTAATTGTGCAAGTATAATTTAATAGAAACGATTTATTTTTACTTGATTATTGTTTAGAAGGTGGTATATGTATATGTTTGTAATTCTGGACAGATAAACCCAAATGTATTCAGTTGTAAATTATTGTAGTCGTAGGTAATACACGACTCGTCCCTAAGCGTCGACATATGTATAACAGACAATTGCACAGATGGATCAAGTCAGTGAAGCATTTCAATATTAGCCCTTTGTCCTGCACGGGTTATGTTCGCGCTAATCAACTTCGGTAGCCCCCTGCTGTTTGAGGACAGATAGTATATGTACCAGTGTATACATCCAGCTATTCCATATTTCAAATTGTGGGTAGGGTTATTCTTCGAGGGTACGTTCGTCTTCAACTCTCTGCAGTTTCATCTTCCGACATGACATTGATACAGATGATCTTTGTCACAATTTAAAATATAATACTTATTCAAATATTATTTCTGCTTAATTATTATAAAAGTCGACAAACCTTCAAAACTGTTGCCAGATTGGAATAAAATCTATAATTTAAAAATCTGAAGGAAATCAAACAAATAACAGATCAGCAGAGGCTACGAACATTTACAAAGATAAAAAATGAGACTTGCATAAGACGGTGTTGCTGGGCAGGGGCACTGGAACAAGTACATGTACATTGTAAATGTTGTATATGCCTGTCCAACACCGAGAGCATGTTAATAGTCACCATGCAGACACACAGTAGGTGGGTTAGATGAAATAGGGTTCAACGGCGAGTTTAAGATTATTGCACTTACAGAGAGACATGGATGTACACAGTTTACTGACTCCGAGCCGACCAGTCCTTGTTTACTCCCTTGTCGAGCGGGCCAGAGAAGTTCGGGTTAAAATTGATCCTCAGTAACCCATGCTTGTCGTAAAAGGCGGGAACGGGTGGTCAGGCTCGCTGACTTGGTTGACACATGCCATCGTATCCAAAGTGCGTAGATCGATGCTCATGCTGTTGATCATTGGATTGTCTGGTCCAGACTCGATTATTTACAGACCGCTGCCATATAGCTGGACTATTGCTGTGTGCGGCGTAAAGCTAAACTCACCCACTCACTCTTGTCAAGTATCCACGTCGTTTGGACTGATGTAGCCGGGGGATTGAGCCGCCGACCTTACGCTCTCGCCACACAATGGAGACAGATCTGTATAATATCAGTATAGACAACATGACGTCACATTATACACCATATGGCGAACTGGGACCGTAAATAAGAAAACATTTTTTTTACCGCCAACTTTTGTATATAAAAATATATGAATGTTGAAATTAATGCGCAAATATCTTAAACAAATAACCCAACAACAATGTGTTTTGTTTTCATATGAAATTAAAACTATTCATCGCATAATCCCCGACAGACTTACGGTACCAAGAGTATCCTGAACCTAGGGTTATATACGACTTCTATATACCACTAATAATTACGTCGGGAGCACTACGTTTTATCTTTTAGTTAATTTTGTACTTCAACGTTAATTCTGCAACTGCAAACGTCAGTGAACATTTAAAGACCAAAATTCACTGTCAAACTGCTGGTATATATTAAAAAATATTAAATATACCGTATATATACACCACATGATAGCTGCTTGTTGTGTAGAACAGGACACAGTGTAATGAAATGAATCGGTATGCGAGCCATGTGGCCAAATTACATGCTCACAGATGGCAACAGTTGGACTAAAGCATTTAGACTTTCCATAGCGGCGTGCGTCTATCGTTTTTACTTCAGACAACACTGCACGCAATGGCTGAACTAAGTCAACGTGGCTCGCCGTCTCCTGGTGATTATCTGCAACGATCAGTGTTAAATAGCATGACATAAGTACATCTTTATTGAGATAAATAACGACAGGGTTGGGTCATTTAAAAGTTGATTTATGCATGTTGACTTTATTTAGTATTTGATCCATACGACTTTATGGATAACAACTTCATGTTTATTGCATAGAGCGACGTGCACTTTTAGCTCGAAGCCGGTATAAGAGTCTGCACCGAAACGTACACTCTTAGCTTGATAACGGTGTAAACATCTGCTTTGTGCAATAAACAAGAAGTTGTTATCCATAAAGTCGTATGATTTATTATTGACTCACCAACTTCTAGAATACTGATAAAACAATTGGCTTATATAGCACACAATCGTCATTTTTTCCGTAACTGCAGTCAATGGCGTGTTCAGAGTGTGCAGCATATTCTGAGAGCCAGTTATTTGAGAACTTTTGAAACGGAAAATAATACATTTGTCCTGTTATCGAAAACTTTTGAAACGCAAGAAACAAAATTGATCATGCTATCTAAGAAGCTTTGTAACGGACTAATTCCCTATAAGGCAGAAAAGCCTCTCTGATAAGAACTATAAACGTGATAATTACGTAAAGCATGCTATTCCAACATAGGGTTACAAATATGTTTCCGACTAGATAATCATGATTATGGATTTTGTTCCTTATTTCAAGACATACAGGTTGGTCTTCTTGCCAAAAGAGCCAAGCATTGTTTTTTTCAAAATTCCCCAAATAACAAACCTTTTTTACGGATATCCAGGTTGTCTGACGATTTTTATTTTATTTTAAAACCCTATGTAAGATGTTTTCTGAGCACTGCTATCTGAAGATATCCAAGAACATCAAATGTGGGTACCTTCGTTGTTCTGTAACTATTCCATACAAGACACGCTTGTTTCTCTGTGCAGCAAGACCAGCTATGGGCACATGTCTCGATGGATGGACGTAACAGAGGGGCCCTTCTTGCCCCCAACCATCTCCGTCAACCACTACGCTAGCGCCAATATGTCCCCAGTCTTCGGCAAGAAGAGAAAACCCTGGGGTAAAGCCCCACCCAAGGAGCGACCCCCGGGGCCCGTGGTGGCTCTATCCCAGCCTGACATGGCCAAAGAAGCAGCGGTGAGTTACTTTTAACGTTTCAGTGTCTTTAGTGAGTGAACCCTCGACACGCGACAGATGAGTGAGTGAGGGAGGGAGTCATGGAAACGAATAAAGGAACACTAGTACTTTCAAGTGGAATACAAAATTTGATACAAAATGCAATACTTTGTTGTCCGTCCTAAGTAAACTAGTAATATGAAATTATAGCATGTACATTACAGAGTCTAGTCTAGACAAACCGGTGACTGATATGATGAGTAACGTCCCACGCCGTCGGGGTAGGTTGACACGTAATATGTCAACAGAAAGGTCTTGTATAATAGAATTTGACACTGTAAGAATTCAAATGCTATAAACAGGGCCGAAACCACCATGTGTCAAGGACGATCCAGCTAAGGCTCGGTTTCGGAAAGCGTCGGCGGGGTAGCCTTGTGGTTAAAGCGTCCGCTCGTCACGTCGGAGATCCGGGTTCGATTCCCCACATGGGTGCAATGTGTGAAGCTCGTTTCTGGTGTCCCCCGCTGTGATATTGCTGGAATATTGCTACTAGTTGCGTAAAACTAAACTCACTCACAAACTGGTTTTGGAAAGTGTTCATCGTGTTTTGCCATACTTACGACAATCAAACGCTAAGACCACTTAATGGAAAGGCGTCCATATTCTGCCGGTCTTAGTACATCGGGCCGTTTCCGGTTGCAGTAAACTGTCTAGTCCTGAAACAGTGCCAGACTCTACACACACCAACTGAATATTGTGATATCAAGTTCAACTCGCTTTCAGATTGACAGCAGCGTGCCCGTCCACCTCCGCTACAGCCAAAACAACGGTTACGACGACTACCACCGCGCTTTCAGAGTTATCAGCAACCAATGGCCGTCAGCTAGTTACCCTACGTTTGGACCACCGAGGTAATGTTGCTCATTCAGATCCTGACATAAAGGTATAAAAAAGAATCACAAGCCTATCTACAAGCCTGTAAGTATGCTCACCTTCTCCAACTCAAAGCTCGCATTTCGGTAAACCCACCCCGAACTCTAGAGATGTGATACTGTTCTGAAAATGGACATATTCTCTTGGCCCCTTCCTATTATATATCCAAGGGCAACTAAATAAGTTATTGACCGAGGACAATACTCTGCTGTACATTTTCAACAGAATGTGTTCTCTGCCCCCTTTTATGCTATAGAGCGTGCCAAAGAAAGAAGCTCGTTCAGGGAACTTTCAGCAGTCACCAGTGATCCAACAAGGAATCTTGCTTTTCGTGGCGTGATTTAACAATGTTGTTTGCGACGTGCATGCACACAATGACACAGTTTAACACGGACAGCCCAGGGAGACGTACTGCCCCGACTAAGAGCTGACTGTCTTTGTTTTATCCCCTAAATGTTGAGCGCCGACAGGGTATCAACAAGAACCGTATTTGGGCATGACGCGTGAGTGCGTGCGTGCATGCATGTCATCATAGGTGAATGCTATATTTCTTCGTTGATATGTCTCAGCAGGTCATTATTCACATCATGGCTATTTCCAAACGTAATTTAACATCAAATACAGAGTTCTTTTAACCCAAACAAACGTGAAGCAATTCTAATTCTGTAGTTGGGCGAAATCTATGTTCAGAGATTTCAGTCATCGCGGTGACAGACAGGTTAAGTTCTGTACACTGATTCAATGAACATAAAATGTGTGCATAAATTTTGCTGAACGGTCGACGACGAATATAACATAACAGTGGCGGGGATGTCTAGGAGACAATATGTGATATTCTGGAAATACCATATAGCGGCGTCAAACAACACTAGTCGTGGTAATTGATGAGTGAGTGAGTTCAAATTTATCATCGCATCTCCATATACCTTCAGCCACTAATAATTGATGAAGAAGATGTGATGTTATGATGGAGATTTAACGGCCGCTTCAGGAGGAGCTAATTTCTCACTTGGATGATCATGCCAGTACTTACTTTGTCTCACTTCAGACTGCGTCATGGACGTCAGGGAGGCAGCTGGCGTCACGTGACGGAGGTGATGCAGGCTGGGGGTAGCAGGACCATGTTCGTGGACGGCCGGACGACGTTGAACGACCGCTACCAGATGGAGGAGACCCCAGGGGGAGACCTGATCCTGGGGAGGGAGGGGGACCCACCTATAAACTTCGACAGCGAGGAAGCCAGGAGAACGGCCTGGATGGCTAACTACAGGAGAGAGAAAGACGCTGAACCCAAAATAAAAAGTAAGTATTTTAATTTCTAAAATAAAAATCTAAATAGAATTCGTGTCTCCACAACAAAGATTTTCTTGAGTGTGTGACCCTCCAGGCACAATATTCTGGGTCAGGGGCGTTTGGCTAGTATAGTGGTTTGGTCGTAGAATTGGTTGGCACCCTTCATAACTTCATCATATTTGAAGAACGAGGCTTAAAACCCGTCCCAGTATATCTAGGGTAACGTGTTTCCATTCTGTTGTAATGACCATTCACACATCTGGCATTAAAGCTTGATTGCTGAGAAATGTCGTTGCCATTTCCGTCTCTTATCGCTGAGATGACTTCCAACTTGAAACGAAGCTCTTGCAGCAAATTGGTCCACATACTCGATTATATAGAGCATGTTAATACAGTACAATTGGCGATGGGTGATGACTGGCCCTGTGTATCTACTAATATAAAGGCGACATACTGAATGATATTTTATTGATAATTAAATTTCATGAAATGCAGGAAAAGAATGTAAATGGTTTTTATGAACATTGTCGCATAGGCCCACTTTGTGCGATTGCTTCCTTTTCTTTTCCTTACTGTGCATTTTCATCCTGTGCTAGTTTAATGTTGAGCGTTATGAATAAACAAGTCCTTAATAAGAACACAATGCCTTTTAGAAATTTGGTCAAATGTATGGATATATTTGGGTTTACACTTTCGCAGTACAGATTCTAGTGCTATCCGGAATTAACCCTAACTCTCAGTCAGGTACCCAATCGCCAACCCACTCAGTGATCAAACCCACTCAGCCACGTGGCTTCCACAAAAGTGAAGGTCGGGCAACTAGTAGTCTGGATCATGTACTATGTGTACCCCTCTGACAAGTGTACATTGCCACGGATCCCACTGCCTACCCTGTGAATACACAATCCCGGAAGTGACTCATCCCTCAACAGTACTAGAATTTATAGGTTACTGTGAAAGTGTAATCCTCAATTTAACAGGCCATGATCAGTTTAGTGATATAGTGCACTGGATAATCCAGATGCTTGTAACAAGGCACTGTAGCTCACCTTGACCGATCTTTCTTGTGTTTCAGTGATGATGTACGGGAGCCTGGACAAACAGAAAGGCGTGGAGAAGAACAACTGGATGATCATGAGATAGTGCTAGTAATGTTTCCTGTAGCCAGTACCTGTCAGTATTAGATGCCCATGTCACATACCATCTGCCTGTGAGCAGATTATCTGCATTTTCCATGTTACCATGTCTTTTCCTTACTGTATCACCCATATGTATGTTAGAACCATGCTTCCTCGATAGGCTATAACATCCACTCAACTACAATGTGGTAGACCAAGATACAAGAGTATATGCACAACTTCTAAACAATATCTACATAACGAACTGTGTTCAACTTGATAACAGTGGAAGTCATTTGAAAGATTACTCTTGAATAAGGGAAATGGGAGATAAATCAACTTCTTTTTCAAACTACCCACACCAAGGTTCCAGTCATCTTCAGAACTCTTGAAGGCCATATTCCATGTCCAAGAATTATTAGATAACCATAAGACTGACCATTCTATCAGGCAGTAATGACTATCAGCAATTGGTAATAATTGATTATGTGCATTTAAATAGGGAGGACATATGAATATTGTTGAGGGAATGATGACCAACATGTGATGTGTGTACATATCAAACCTGTGATAGTATTAATGCTCAATGGGCTCAGATTCTGATGAATCTGGTCACTCTCACCAAGCAGTATTAGCAGCTGTTCCATTTCACTGTAATGTAAATATGTCTTTTGATATTTATTTGTGAGTGTGGTGTATGATTATGTATTGTTACTGTATCAGAAATACATATTTTTTCTTACCCACTTTTTTTCATCATATTCCATGATTTATCTCCCAGTCACTGTTGCTGTGCCAGAACACTTACAACTTTTCAGAAAGAGTGAGTGAGTGAGTGAGTGAGTGAGTAAGAGTGAGTGAGTGTGTGCGTATAGTTTTACATCGCACTCTGCAATATTCCAGCTATTCCCGTAAATAATCCAGTCTGGACCAGATACTCCAGTGATCAACAGCATGAGCATCGATCTACGCAATTGGGATACGATGACACGTGTCAACCATGTCAGCAAGCCTGCCCTCCCGATTCCATTAGTCGCCTCTTACGACAAGCATGGGTTACTTAAGATCAATTCTAACCTGGATCTTCACGGGTGATTAAGTAATAGACCACACAAAGACAGAACAACGCTGGTAACATATTTAATACTACCATACAAGATGCTTCACTAGAAAATGGTGTAAATTGTAACAAAATGCCATCAGATTTGCTGCTTCTATATGACAGGAATACAGTGCTGTAAGTAGCAGTAAGGCTGGCACTAAGCCGCTTGTATTTTGGGAGATCAGTTTTACAGTCACAGAACACACTATTTGTATCTCCTAGTGAGAGGTCAGCACACCATATTATTTCCACAACATATTACTTCAGGACATCAAGTATGTCCATGAAACAACTGTGTTATATATGTTTTTTTCAAGGTTAGATTATGAAATGGCTGGTCCCTTATTTGAGTGAGTATGGTTTTATGCCGCTTTTAGCAATATTCCAGCAATATCACGGCGGGAGACACCAGAAATGTGCTTCACATATTGTACCCATGTGGGGAATCAAACCCTGGCCTTCGGCGTGACGAACAAACGCTTTAACAACTAGGCTACCCCACCACCCCTCCCTTATTTAAGACATGCTAGCTGCTGATGGCAGACTATAGTGCTGATATGTTTACAAGATCTACATAATACAATATCAGTTAATAGAGTTTAAGACAAGAAGGTTCCACTGCACGAGGACCCAACTTATCTAGTATACCCAAGGTGGGTAAGGGAATGCAGTTGCTATACAAGGCATACGTAACTAATTTGGCTATTTCATCAATATATAAATATTGTCAGTTCTAAAAATACATGTAGGTGGACTAAGGCCATAATGAATAATTCCTATTTGTTATCCCCTTTTGAGAAGAAACAATGAGAAATCTGTATATTTTCAACCTTGACACAGCATCATACACACAACACTAGTATTCACTGTTATGCATATTTCACATCACAAGAATACCATCATATGGAAATACTGAAATATACAATCAGGTGCAATATATATATATATATATATTTTACTTGGCGTAATTTTGACATGTTACTTAAAAATGGACATATTAAAGTATGTGTATCCAAATGGATACAATTAATCAAACTCTACATGTTGTTTGCAAGTAATACTGGAGCTGAAACCACCTAATTCTAGCAGGGGAGGGTATGAAAATTTTAAAACATGACTAACGCTATTATCTTACAATCTGTGTCACATGAGTGAGGAATACACTATACTACATACTCCCAGCCGGAGGGGTGTGGCAGTGGCAATTACAAGTGGTGCAGGTCTCCCACTCAACACTACATCCCTGCAAATCATCAGTACCTTAGTCACATGAATGTAGAAGGAGGTATAGCAATATCATTGCATATTCTAGAGGATTTTGCAGATGTTTGAAACAGAATTCTGAAGCATGAACCATTAAGCAATATAGGAGTGTTCTGTCTCCCTTCTGTAGTCAGTTAATGCTGCAGTGGAAGCTGCATACCAGCAGTAAATGATAATGGTTGATGGAATGCTGTACGAATTAACAAATGTGTACAGGGAAATTTATTGTATCAATGACACTTGTTAATACAAATTTGGCAATGTCTAAGGATTAGGAATTCAAGACCTTGGAATAATGAATTCGGTTGCTTAACACTTGGTACATATCAGATTTAATTCCCTTATTACTTCAGCTGAATTCTCTATTAGACATTATGACATTTATTACACTTCATTTATTATATTGGGAAAAGTACACATAATACTGTAACCATGGTAACATAAAGAACAGTGATGTATTGCACCAACGTGGGTACTGAAATCAGAACTTCATCAATAAGACTATTTCAAAGACAGAGTATATAATATTATTCCCACAGCATCTTTCTTGAAGAAACTTAAAACACTTAATGCTAGGATGACAATTAGAATATAACCGTATAGGCACAAAACAACTCAAATTACTTACATCAGTAAACAAGAAACCTTTCAGAAACTAGGTCTCAGCAAACCTTCTACATTGCAGATGCAATACTTTATATTTTTTCAGTACGTAAATTTCATTTTCAATTAAAAGATGTGAGATCATGACATGACATGACAAAAACATAATACAAAGATATGTACAGAATTTATGCCGAGTCATGATACGCTTTGATTAAATAGACACTGATATGTTGTTATATGTTAGCTGGTTGTTATTTATTGCTGCTCTCAGCAATATTCCAGCTATATGGCAGTGGTCTGTAAATAATCTGGACCAGATAATCCAGTGATCAACAGCATGAGCATCGATCTATGCAATTGGGATGTAATGACGTGTCAGTCGTGTCAGCGAGCTGACCACCCGATCCTGTTAGTCGCCTCTTACGACAAGCACTGGTTGCTGAAAAGAAATCCTACCCGAATCTTCACAGGTTTTATGTTATGTTGGATGCTGGGAATGGATGACAAAACAAACATGATATGCACAATGATATAGGCACACAAGTGTTGAAGTGAATAATACAGAAACACTTGTTTGATTTAAATTACCATTAGTTCTGAGTGAGTGAGTGAGTATGGTTTTATGCAGTTTTTTGGCAATGTTTCAGCAATATCACGGCGGGGGACACCAGAAATGGGCTTCACACATCGTACCCATGTGTGGAATCAAACCCAGGACTTTGGCGTGATAAGCCAACGCTTTAACCACTAGGCTACCCCACCAACCCCATTAGTTCTGAAATCACTTAGTGATTATTTTTCCGACTTGAGGGCAGACTGATGTTGAATGAGACAGGTTCTAAGCTTCTTTTAGTAATATCATTACAATACCACCATAAGGGACAACTGAAATGGGATTCACATATTGTACCAGTATAGCTATAAAACCCTGGCCTGCAGAGTGATGAGGGAATGGTTTAGTTATAAAACAAACCACCCTTCCTGAACACTCTTCAGGGCAACATGTGAAGCCTTGATTATCAAGACAATGTCATACCCACAGAAGTTGTCCGAAAATGTAATTTTTATGATAAAAATGATATTTTATACTTATTCTGACTCATGACTTCCAGATTAATAACAAAACAGTCCTTACGAACCTTTCATGCGTGTAGATATAAAAAGTGACTGTCAGGAAAGCAGTATTTCCAGATAAACAGGGTTTTGCTCTGCACTACTGACTAACCCTCAGTAAAGATCACAATTAACATTTCATTGCCTCTTAACTTATTTGATTAAACATCAGTGATTATCAGCTGATCTGTTATTATCACACAAATCAGTGAAAACAAATTATAATATAATGAATGTTATATTCAAGACGAATTTGTTCAATTTAATATAATTCAGCAAAATATATATTTAAATGTATTTGAAATTCAATTGAAGTCGGTATAAACAAAAAACAATAATTTCATCACCTACTTGAGGATATTATGTAACAAAATCACAACACAGAATGAAAAATTAAAACACCACAACCAAGTAACTGCAAAAATAACTGAAAAATGTATATTCATAGAAAACAGATAACAGTTAAACATCTCCAAATGATAATGCTGGACAGAATTGACTGAAATCTTTGCAAACAAAATCTCCAATTCCTGGCAACAAAAAAGTGAAGTATCCAATCAGAAAAATAAGTACAAAATCACATAAATGAGACTGAAATAGACAAATACTATTGAATATACCTTCATTGCATCCAGTTACAATATGCTTTCAAAACATGATATGCTAGCATGACTCACAAATGATCCCTGAGTCTTAAGATATGCAGAGACAACATACTATTAGACAAATGGTTTTGAAAGATTTAACAACACACTGGTAACCCCATTCTCTTCCCACAGAGGTTACTCAAGTCATATCTTCCCACGTAACCTCTGTTCTAATACGGACATATTTCCCAGTTCTCATAAAATCCCCTGGCGGCATAAAAATCGCAACATGAATTATCTCCCTTCTTTTTATCCAATCAGAACACCTGTTACATCGTCTTAGATCCAATATGGTGACCGCCATGGCGTTAGTTGATCAATATGCGAAGGATACATTCGGTATTTCATGTTTAACTGAAAATCAGAAACTATAGAAATTGGAGCCACAAATATCCCTCCTCTGCCGATGACTTATGTTGATGTGACACACAAGACATTTAATGGCTAGCTTGTCCGTTGTCAACGAGGGCGATGGAGATGCCATTGATCCGCCATTATATGACTAAGTTCTGTCTAGAAGAAACGTTTGCGCATCTCACAGGGTAAGGGGTTCTGGTTTTCCTGTAGCATACAGAACTTACCGAGGCTTTGCGAATGATCACTTTTGAAACAACGTTGCTGATCGCACAACTAAATCTGCTTGCAACCAATCACAATTTCTGGACACTCGCACCTTGAACAGGCCATAATAGAACAGACTTTACGGGGGAAGATATGACTTGAGTGTGGGGAAGAGAATGTGGTAACACTGGGGGGTGGATGGACCTGAAATCAAGGCCACAATAATAAGTTCCTGGCCTGCCCAAACTCTGCAAAGTGATTGGCATGTTGTGCATGTGGTTACCAGGGTAACATATCATAAAGGAGCAGGTTTACTTTTAGCCTGCAAAGCCAAAGGGAGGCAACTATCAGTTAAAGGTAACCAACAGCAAATCCCAACCCTCATTAAGCTTCAGCAGAGGATAGTTGTACAGGTTATCAGGTTGATAATGATCAAATTCACACACAAATCAGCTGATTATAGCTGTGAGATCAAACAGTCAAACACAATATATATCAGTCTTGACATTGGCACCACGATACAAAATACTTGATATGTGACAGAAATAACAAATACAAATTCAATACAAACTAAAATACATCAGCTTGTTAATCGCATATCACTGTCAACTGCTTGTGTCAATGCTAAAGTTGTAAATATCCAACAGACAAGATCGCACTACAAAACTTTTGTATAGGCACCACATAAACATTCTATTTACAATTCACAATTTCCAAACGAGATTAGTCCAAATATTGTAAAACAGGGCTTGTAGGATGTTAGTGCATGCTGCCGATATAAGAACTTACGTGGTTCAAGGCAGATACCATGTAGTCACTCATGGAATGGTAAGGACATGGAAAGGTGGTTAGATATATCTTATATATTCCTGAATTGGCATCACAGAGCTGTCTAGCAAAGTCATTCAAAAAGTGGAAAGATATTTGCTACTTCTTGTTCACATGATAAACACAAAAAGCCATTAGCACCAAGCTCCATTAAACACATATACAGATAAGTATTTGTATTTACACTTCCTGAAAAAAATTCAGGTTGCCGATTTTTAGTCAATATTCAACATTCACACTGCTGTCAAAGAAGAATGAAAGACAGTTGACTTTGTCCAAGGATGCATAAGTATTCATCCATACTAATTTGCCATTTGTGTCAATATAATCAAGAGATGAAACATTTTCATAATAGTTTGTACTGTTACATGTTTGGCTCTATAATCGTCAGACAATGAAAATATTTCTAACGTTAATGTACATTTCCTATCACTGTTTTTCATATGTTGATTCTGCCAAGGGGAGACAACCTATGCTTCATCCTCTATATCTTTAGCTGTTGAATTGGCCTTATGGAAGAGCTTCATCCTGAGGGAGTCTATGTTATCTGAGGACATGAGTTGCAGGGAGGCTGGAGAGCTGTGGGTGCTGCCAGATGAACGCTTGGATGCTGTTGTTCGGACGGATTCAGTGCTTGCTGCTTTTCTCACTCCACAGCTTTTGCTGAAAAAAATTTGTTTGGATTAGAAAAAGAAAGAGAAACAAGCAACCCTGTCACTCACCTATACTTTCCTATCTGTAACATTAAATTATTAACATCACAAAGGCTGAAGAAGACAAAGCAACAAGACTTGGATGAGTCATATGCTTAGAAATACACTTCCAAAAATCTCTGATGAAATTGGGCAATATTCGCTGCTCCCATTACATACCTTATCTTGCCAATTTTTACAATAAAATAAATGGATTTCAGGGTTTTACGCGACTTGCTCATGTAGAGAATGGATGCATAAAACAAGGTCACTGCATCCAGAGGGACGCACAGTATTATTCTCTGTACCCATAACACGTCTAGAACTTTGCTAAGTATTTTCTTTCAGAGCAGTTACGTGCAACATTTCATCATCAGTCCACATGATCAATGATTCATTCCAGGCTCTAAAGGTTCTCTACACTGTTACTTCATAGGACCCTCATATTGTCATCAAGGACCCTTAAAACAGAGGTATACATAAGTTGCGTATCTGCGTAAATTACGCAAACATTTATGTGAAAACTCAATTCTTACCAAGTCTGTTGCGTACAAGTGCGCTTGAATTTGTGTAAATACTCAATATATTTGATCTTATATGCGTACACACAAAAATGCCAAATCTTTCTTTGCGTACCGGTGCATAGATAAAATAACTGAGGTACATTGAGAGGTTCTATTTCAACACATAAACTTGGAAACTTGCAGTCTTTCTTATACTTTCTCATATTACAGATCCAATATTAATAACATTTAAATGTCATAATATTTTTACAATTAATGGAAAATGACAAAATACACAATTGCGTTTGAGTGAGGTTTGTACAATTTATTTGGTTACTCAAAGGAAAATTAGGATACCCAATTGAGATGAGCACGAGCGAGTACATAACTCAATGACCCCAAAAGTTATCTGTAGCTCTGTTAAACCTAATAACTGGGGGTCCATGGAAGTTGAGGTAAAACCCTGGATGAGCCTAATAACTAAATACATACTTGACCACTGGAGTAATACCAAGGCTTCTGTAGAAGTCTGTCGTGGACGGAGTTTTGGGCTTACCCCCCGGTGCAGGGGAGAAGAAAGGTGTGGCAGGGAGGAGGCGGGCACCCTCTGGGAGAAGATACACACATTATCATACAATGTACATATCAATGTAGAACACATAAACACTACCTTGAGCTGAAGGAAATCCGAGAAGGAGGATTAATACGTCACAAGTCTATGGTCGACTTGAGATTAAATACCATAGCATCTTAGTAGCATCCTGGTGTGTCAGTTCATGGTTGGAGGATAGCATCATCGTGAACATTGTCATCATGTGCACTGCTTTGGACATATGAGAGGTTCAAACCCAGTTATCAAGGGTTGCACAATCCTCCTTAAAACCTCTTGATTTTCAACAAAAGTGTCCTGATAATTACACAACCCCTTGAGGACAGTTTCATGTACAAGAGTGACAGACATACCTTTCTTTGGCCTAGGGCTTGCTGCTTCCTTAAATGGAGTAAGGTTGAAAAACTGTTTCAAAAGCAAATTGGACCTTTCATTCTGAATTGCTTGTCTCTGCAAAAAAAATATATCATTCAAAATATGAAAAATGTAATTTTTGGAGTAAAATTGATATTTTATACTTATCCTGACTCATGCTCTTTTTGCTTGTCTTCTTCTTCTTGCGAACATAGTGGAACACTTGTATCTCCCTAATTGAAGCTCCCTTCAATTTAAAATCACTAATTAGTATTCACCATGAGTTACCTCCTTTCCACAAGCTCGGGAACAAGGGCGCCACCTCTACCCATGTGCCTCACTCTCTCCTCATATACTGAGCCCAACATTTGAATTAACAGGGAAATCCAAAGTGTTATTTGGGGAGGATGGGAGGGCTGACCTCATGAGTCAGGATAAGTATAAAATATCAATTTTACTCCAAAAATTACATATTTTTCCTTATCCTGACTCATGCTCTTTTGCTTGTAGCATCCCTCACGGGAGCGGAGGTGGGAATATCTAATACTTTGGATTTTTAATAATTAGTGATTTGAACTGTGATGATTGTAATAACCCTATGGGAACTTCATAAAGGCACTGAATTGATGAATTCCTGCTGCTAACTTATCAGCTGCCATATAAAGGTTATTACCATGTACTTATTATATAAAGTATATATAACATTAATACAATGCTTAAGACTAATAGACTTAAAGCTTGTTAATATCACTAGTATAAACTCCTTAGAGTTTGTTAGCTAAAATACTTTAAGATATAACATAGTACTAAGCTTAAGATATGATTAAACTTAAGCTAATTATATAATAGCAAACTCTTTAGAGTTTGTTAGTTAATATACTTATATGATATAGATATAATGCTGAGCTTAAGATATGAATAAGCTTTAGCTACATATATAATAGCAAAAACTCTGTAGAGTTTGTTAGCTAATATATTTTTATAATATGAGTATAGTACTGTGCTTAAGCTATAATTAACTTAAGCTACATATATAATAGCCAAACTCTGTAGAGTTTGTTAGCTAATATATATTTATAATATGAGTATAGTACTGAGCTTAAGATATAATTAACTTAAGCTACATATATATAATAAAACTCTGTAGGGTTTTGTTAGCTAATATATTTTTACAATATGAGTATAGTAGTGTGCTTAAGATATAATTAACTTAAGCTACATATATAATAGCAAAACTCCGTAGAGTTTGTTAGCTAATATATTTTACAATATGAGTATAGTAGTGTGCTTAAGATATAATGAACTTAAGCAACATATATAATAGCAGAACTCCGTAGAGTTTGTTAGCTAATATATTTTACAATATGAGTATAGTATTGTGCTTAAGATATTATTAACTTAAGCTACATATATAATAGCCAAAAACTCTGTAGAGTTTATTAGCTAATATGTTTATAGTGTAACCATAGTACTAAACTTATAGTACTGAGCTTAAGTTATGATGAAACTTAAGCTATATATATATAATAACAAAACTCCGTCGAGGTTTTGTTAGCTATCTGCTTTATAATGTAACCATACTGCTTAAGATATGATGAAAACTTAAGCTAATTGTATAATAAGCGAAAACAACCCTTTAGAGTTTGTTAGCTACTGATATAAAACCTAGTATTGAGCTTATGAAGGAAAACTTAAGCTACATATATAATAGCAAGAACTCCGTAGAGTTTGTTAGCTAATACATGTTATAATGTAACTATAAAGCTTAAAATATGATGACACTTAAGCGAAATATATAATAGCAAAACCCTCTTTTAGAGTTTTGATAGCTAATATACCTATATGATATAAACATAGTACTGCGCTTAAGATATGAATAAGCTTAAGTTACATATATAATAGCTAAAACTCTGTAGAGTTTGTTAGCTAATACATGTTATAATATAACCATATTGCTTAGAAATATGATGATACTTAAGCCAAATAGCAAAAACTCTTTAGAGTTTGTTAGCTAATCTACTTATATGATATAAACATAGTACTAAGCTTAAGATATGAATAAGCTTAAGCTACCTATATAATAGCAAAACTCCTTAGAGTTTGTTAGCCAATATATTTTAATAATATGAGTATAGTACTATGCTTAAGGTATAATTAGCTTAAGTTACCTATATAATAGTAAAACTCCGTAGAGTTTGTTAGCTTAATTAACTTAAGCTATGTATAAAATAATAAAAACTCTGTAGAGTTTGTTAGCTGATGCATTTATCATGTAACCATAATATTACTCTTAAGATATGAATAACTTAAGGTAAATATATATAATAACAAACTCTGTAGAGTTGTTAACTTATATATTGTATGATGTAATAATCATAGTACTGTGATGATAAAAGGAACTTAAGTAAATTATATATAGCATGAAGCTATTTAGTATTGTTATAAGATAAGTAAAAATCTGTTAGATTGACTTATCTTCTCCGAGAAACTGTCAGCTGTTGTCTGAGAGGACCATGGGATCGAATTGGTGTATACCTGAGGCGTCCTCGGTGGTGATATCTCTCAGATAATGGTTTGCAACCACCATATCGGATCTCCAGAAATAAACCCTCCAATATTTCAATCACATTTGTGTGGAACAATTGTAGAAGTTAGCTATAATATCATGAGTATTAAGCTCATGGAGGGTCGGAATAGGTCCATCCGCATATGCACGTAGTATGACAGTTCTGATCCAAATGGAGATATAGTACATGAGACTTCTCTCTAAGTAAGTTGATGATAGAGGAAATAATCTGTTGCATTTTTCCTCCTGTTTGGTTTGGTGGAGATAAATTTACAGTGCTCTTGCTGGCCATCTTGATAGAATCATCATTATCATGGGGTCCAAGTATATCATCCAGGCGTGTTCATAAACCTCACTTGTGAGGTGTTGGAGCACTATATTCATATCCCAGGTTGGTGAAATTTCCGTTTATTCTCCAAACAGAAGTTTAGTAGGTTTACTAACCATCTAGTTGTGTTAGTAAACTTGATGAAATTCAGCTGTAGTCTGGAAACTGTGTGGATTTAGATCCACTTGTATCTTTCGTCTAGGTAATTCGCTGAAGTCCTTGACGATGTAGGTGCACACAACCAGGTGTGTCTGTCCTCGTTGAACTTTATGTAAAATGCGCCTGACTGCGATCCCTCGTCTTAACTTGACAGGGGAGGTCTCTATCTTGAAGAAGGCAGTCTAATCATGAATGTTCAGGTTAACTGGACTGTAATGAGGCTTGCTCGTTCACTGATATATAGTTGTCACTTGTGGCGTAAGTCTTGAACTGTGAATAGAGATCGACCTCTGTGTGGAGGTCGTTGTCCCTCAGCGGTCCAATCAGAACAAGGCATTTTGATTCTGTATAATACCCGCTGTGATGATGTCACCGGTGTAGCGGAAAAAACCCACCTTGAATAAATTCTTGTAAATTAGTTGATATTAGCATAAGCGTCGGTCTTCACACGTAGCTTCGAAGTTATCCGGTGACCACGTGTTTTTGGGGTTAATGGTAACGCGCTGAAACCTCCGTATGCGAAAATATCTCGCTCTGTAATTTTATGCTGGGTAGGTTATTTTCCTGGTTGTCGGAAAGTAATTTCAGTTTTGAATATAATTCCGACTTCCTTATATATAAGGGTATAAACAACTTGCAAGTTGTGAGCTTGTAGACTGTATACATGAATGTATCGTCATAATTGTAGAATTAACGTTGAACTTGTTGTACATATTTCTTCTCAGAAACTTTGACGATTAAGAGTTATACTTTCGCTGTAACAAGGCTGCTGTTCAATTTCGATATTGAATTGTCTGCAGATATGCGTAATGGTCACGCATGTAGATAATCGTGTCATCGTCGTCCGGGATTATTGTATATTAGCAATTTATAATGAATAGTTGATTTCTGTGAAGATCTATGAAATGTGGATTGACTAATAATACAGCGGCGTTCTGTGTTGTAAATAGCCTGAGCAATTATCTTCGTAGAAACTTATAGGCGGCATCTGGCATACAGTTGATAATCAACTTATCGACGTCTTGAACGGACTGGCGAGTAGCTATATAAGGCTAGTGGCTAGTATATGGAAACCTTGGAGGAGACTTCCTCGGTGAGCGCCCGGAGACTTGGCGCGAAGTTCTCGAAGTATCCCTTCTAGATCTTCTGGGTGAAGTAGACTTGGAGCCACTTAGCCTTAGCGACCATCGCGAAGGTGTCGAAATCAAAGCCCCGATTAGTATATATATATATATATAAATATATATATGGCTTGTTTTCGTGAACAGCCTCTGTGTTTAACAGGATGTGGGATCGGCGGCGCTTGCCTAAGTATGGCATGGATCATCTTATCATATTCAGAAGTGATATTACGAAGTCTGGTGATAAGTGTCTAATTGATCGTTCTAGATCTATTTAGGCCAGCGAACATCACGTCTAAATCATGGATTCAACAGAACCAATATACGATTGTAGTTCTTATACTTGATATCGATGATCAACTTGTCTATGGGTTGATCTTCTCCGAGACTTGTGAGGAGCGTTGATAGTTTGCAGAAGCTCTTGTATAGTCCCTCGATGTCCTTCTAGATGATGATGATCTGGATTCAGGTGTCGCCGCGCATGCCTTGCCGAAGCTTCCTCTCGTCCGGTCGGGGGCAGCGATATGACCTTCAGCGAAGGCTTCCGTGATGTCTGATGGTCCGAGTCCACGTCTAGGGATGAAACCGCGCAAGGTGATGATCTATCCTGCCTTCGCTGAAGTCCTTCGCGAAGGCTGTACATCTAGGTTCTTTCCGCCTTCGCTGAAGGCTGTACATCTAGGTCCTTTCCGCCGCGAAGGCCTTCGGCGAGCTGTACATCTAGGTCCTTCGTCAAGGTGGTCCGGACTTCCTTCCAGCGAAGGTGACATCGTCCTGGCTGCTTTCGTTGGCGGGGGTGCCTCTGGGGTGCTGTTCACGTTGGAGCCTTCGCCAAAGGCTTCGGACCCTGCTACCGCGAGATATTGGTCCTCCATGATGTTCATAATTTGTCGCATCATGTCTTCTGGGATGGTCTGCGGCGAATGCGTCGGTGCTTTATCTGCGGTGTTAATGGAGGGGTCCACGGAAAATCGTCCGACATCAGTGTAGAGGCATCAGGCTGCATGGTGATCTCTGCTGATGTCGTTGTAGCTGTCCCCGGTCGTTTCTTGTGGCGTCGTCGGGGATGATGATCAACTGATCATCGTAGAGGTCCAGGTCATCGGCTGGAACAATCTCGGTTGAGAAAGTCCTAGTAGACTTCGTTGATTTTCCCTCAGAGGTCGGCGCTGCCCTGGGTGTGCTGACGTCTGCGTTGAGTGTTGGTAATGATGGGACCCTCAGGGCGATCATCTATATCTGGCGTTGGTACATCAGGCTGCATGCTGATCTGTGCGACATCAGTCAATCTTTGATGTACATCCGGTATGATGACCGGCTGATCATCATACAGGCCCAAACTTCGATGGGAAACGGCCCTCGGTTGTTGAGATGTAGTAGAAAAACCCTCTAGTCTTCTGCTGCGGCGATGGGATGTCTGGGGAAGCAGAATGCTTCTTGGAGATGGCGGACTACGCCCCACACCTCTCCACCACTCTAGCGGAACACCACCACGGGAGGGGAGGCCAACAGCAGTAGACTGGCGAGGGTTCCGTGTATCAGTCATACTAGACTCTGCATACGCGACCTATCTGCTGTGCGTGCCAAACGCATAAAGTAAATATTAATAAAGAGGTAGAATTGGATAAATTAGTACCGCAACTGCAATGTGAATATAATAAACATGGCCGCGTACATCATATTAAAGGTGGATCAGCAGCAGCATAAAACGTAATCTGCAATAGTACAGAATTTTCATCAACGTAATCCACTGAAACAAACCGGGCGTCCCGGTGAATAAACTGTAGAAAAGCGACTAAATATCAATATATAATGCGTTGAAGGATACTAGCTAAACCTCTATAGATGTCTATACGAGGTAACTAACTAAATATAATCAAAGGATATAGTGTGTCGGGAGACACAGGCGCTCTCACGTCCAGCTCACTGGGCGAAGAAGGAGAGAGTGAGGCACATGGGTAGAGGTGGCGCCCTCGTTCCCACGCTTGTGGAAAGGAGGTAACTCGTGGTGAATACTAATTAGTGATTTTAAATTGAAGGGAGCTTCAATTAGGGAGATACAAGTGTTCCACTATGTTCGCAAGAAGAAGAAGACAAGCAAAAAGAGCATGAGTCAGGATAAGGAAAAATTAAGAATATTTGCACAATAATTCTACTGGAGAATCCCTGATTGCTATTAGTGAAAACAACTTTAAAATCATGTGTCTCATTCTATTAGATTCTACAACATTTACATGCTTTTTCATACAAAAAACCTGTGCTTGAATTCATTGTTTTCTCAATAGCCTATATAATTATGCATGTAGCAATGGCTGTCGAAAACCCATTAGAAGTGCTTAAGTTCAAATCTAAAACACCTGAGGATAGATAGCCATGGTGAATATGTGTTACTACTGGTGTGAGCAAGTGAGTTTAGTTTTATGCTACTGTTAGCAATATTCCAGCAATATTACGGTGGGGGACACCAGAAATGGGCTTCACACATTGTACCCATGTTAGTACTGTGCAGTCATGCAATGCTATAAATTAATTTCTACAGAACACCTACATAAATATAACTTCAAGATACTTCAAACCAGTGTACGCGAAATAGCCACTGGCCCGCTAGCCCGTGGCTAGTAAAAATCCAATCAGGCCAGTAAATCTCCACAGTCACTGGCCCGAATGGCTAGTGAATTTTCATGATTTCAGATATGTGTTTTCTTATTTGTTTTTGATAGTATTTTACCTTATTGTAATCTTTTGCTTAGTTTCTACATTCAAATTTCCGGCTCGTGAATTACAGTCGAACCCCGTTTATCCGGACATTTTGGTTACACTCGGAAATCGTCCGGATAGCGAGGGGTCCGGTTAACTGGATCAAACAAGCAAAACGCATTGACAATGTATATTGAAAATTTATTCATGTATGTATATCAATAAGTCAATAGTCAAAAACATATAATCATAACAATACCATATTCAATATCATACCAATAAACTTTCTTTCAGCACTTTGATTCACGTTATACATTTTACATAGCACATCTTACTTTACTCGATATCACATGTAGCACATTATTTCCTTAAAAAGTCTGATAGGTGTCTGCTTCCTTGGTTTTATTTCTTCAAATCACTTCACCAAGTCCATCAATAAATTCACTGAACCTTCGTCTCCAGTACATTCGTAGAAGGTCAACAGACTGTTAGCGTAACAACTGCTTGTTGTTCATCATCATCTGACTGGTCGTCTGTCGGTGGCTGCACTATGTTGATGATTTCTTCATCAGTTAGCTCATGGCCAGTTTCCACGACAGTATCTTGATCAACGTACTGTTCAGCAGTTGGGACTTTGTCGCCGTCACTTAGTGGTAACTGCTGCATCAAATTCCGCGGCTCAGCTTAATCCTAATCCTAATTAACATGTGTTTTTGTTACTGATGTGATGTTCTCACACCTGCCACAACTGAAGTGACACACGTCCCTAGTGTTTTGATGGGTAAGTAATCAATTCACAGCAAACGCCTGCCGAGAGATTAACACGCGTCCCTAGTGTTTTGATGGGTACTCAATTCACAGCAAACGCCTGCCGAGAGATTAACAATGAATACACTTAGTCGTCGGGTAAACAATACTGACGTGAAACATACATGTACACATGCACATGTGCCCAGATCTTTCGGTCCGGATAACTGGATCATTTTTAAATGGAAATCTGTGGGAATGGTTTGAAACTTCTCCGTGCGGGTCCGGAAGCGCGGGGTCCGGCTAAGCGAGTACAATTACTGAAGGCAAGTTTCGTTTCACCTAAAAATCGTCCGGAAGGCGGGGTTTCCGGATGTACGGGGTCCGAGTATACGGGATTCGACTGTATTTTGTGGGCTAGTAACTTTCAATCATAGCTAGCCTGACTGGCTAGCAAAATTTGAAAACTATGTCGCACACTGCTTCAAACACTGTACAGCCTGTGTGAAAAGTTACTCCTGCATATTTTTGTCACTATTTCCACAACCTGTCACCTCTGCAGTGGGAGATGCCTTCTCGAATTCCAAGACAATATTTAACTGATTATAAGCTTGAGAAATGGATGTTTCACTATATTTTCAGGAATGTCACCTATGCAGTGATGATGCTATATAATTGCACATGCTCAGATGCCTTAAGCATTCCCTGTAGGGATTTCAATACAGCCTTTTACTATCACAAAGAATTCCAAGTATAATATTTAATCTGGTAAACTTGATCAAACAAGTAAAGACTGGTTCTTGACAGACAATGTACTGCATCCCATGTAATCTCCCGACAGTTTTCAGTAGCAATCTACTCTGCTCTGATCAATATAGAATCTGCAGTAGAAGCTCTTTCAATATAAAAATATATGCACACAGGAATGGTTATATATACAAAATATCATTAAAAACACACATCAGTTGCTATAGTGTCCAGATATCCTACCTCCCTGCCCAGTTTAATTGCTGCCTCTGTGAACTTGCGCCTCTCCTCCTCAAAGTTGGCTTTCTCCTGATAGAATAATTTCTTCTGTTCTGACAGACATTCCTTCTCATCCAGGAGCTGAGTCTCATGTAGGAATGTACTCTGTACTGACTTGGTCTGGGACTGGATCGATTGCTGGGGACAGAAGAAAATATAGCTTCACTAAATTTCATTATTTCGATTTTTTTTCAAAGTAAGGCAACCTCAGTACCCTGTGCCCTCCATACCCTTGGTGACAAAAAATAAATAAAGTTTTAAGACCAAGTACAGAGGTACAGACAAGCTGCGTATCTGCATAAATTACCCAAATATTTATGTGAAAACTCATTTCTCATTAAGTCTATTGTGTAAAAGTACGCTTGAATTTTTGTAAATACTCAATAAATGTGATCTTACACACAAAATGTCTTGCGTACCGGTGGATAGATAAAATAACTGAGGTATATTGACAGGTTCTATTTCAGGACATGAACTTGACAACTTGCCGTCTTTCTTATTGTTTCCCATATTACAGATCAAATATAAATACCAAACACTAACATTTAAACTATATTATATTTCTAAAATTAATGGAAAATGGCAAAATACCCAATTGAGTTTGAGTGAGGTGAGTGCAATTTATTAGTTACTCAAAGGAAAATTAGGATACCCAGTTGAGATGAACACAAGCGAGTACATAACTCAATGACCCAAACAGTTATCTGTAGCTCTGCAAGTACCTTAACCTACATAAATAATCTGACAAGTTAAGAAAAATAATTATAAAACCATTCACCCTCTGCATCGACAGAAATGGCATGTGTACATATTCAAAATGAAAATCTATAACTGTAAGCTTAAAAATGTTTTTTTAGGTAATAATATCATTTATACTTATCCTGACTCCAACTAATTGCTTATCTCTTGGTAGTGGAAACTCCAGTGCCTGGGTTCCCAAGAACAGAGAAACATCTCACCCGAATGCAGCCCTAGGCTCGGTCTGTCCACCCACAGCAGCACGTGACCTGGACTTGTGACATTATCCTGACTCACACTAATATTGTTTGAATCCCACAGTAGGTGGTGGGATCCACCGTTTGCAGGATCCTGATGATCCTCTGTTTTATTAGCCCCACATGAACGTGCTTCTTCATAGTTCTGGACATCTGCATTCTTTTTCCATCGGGGGCATCACATCCAAACTCGTGAGAGAAGGAGTTTCCAGAATTTCAGAATTAGATTCCAGCATGCTTACAAACGATTAACGTGTTAAGAGAATGATCTGTAATCTTACACAATTTTTTGTCACTTATGTTCTGATTTCTTACGAAAACAGGAGTACATGGACTCTCAGTCCATGGTTATGATCGGTAACCTGACTTCTACGATTCTGTGTGACATGGGTGAGTCTGATATTAACCCCTCATCTCCGGATGGGTATTGTCAGCTGGGTGGACAGACTGAAGCTGGGGCTGCATTCGGGTGAAACGTTTTTCTGTTCTTGGGAACCCAGGATTAGGAGTTTCGACTACCATTCAGCAAAGAGAGATAAGCAATTAGTATGAGTCAGGATAAGGTAAACTTAGGACCATTTGACTGAAGTCTCATACTCACATAAGTCAGTTTTCAGGTGTACATGTATTTAATACATGATCTGCCAGAGGAAGCATGTACTTACGGCTCAAATTTGTCAACAACAGTCTGTGATTATTCTAGAATCTATCTTGTACAGTACAAGAAGGCAACTGTTTAGGAAAGCAAGTTATTATTATTCTTGAATATTATTGGATATTTATATAGCGCACATATGCACGCACTAGTGCATGCTCAAGGTGCTGGTATTTTTGCCCTCGATCATTCCATGTCAATCTCAACGGCACATCTTATTATCAATCTCAACTCCCTGGGGAGCATACAACTCTTGCTGCCACAAGGCGCACTGAGTTAGTGCGGCTTTCCCATCCTTATAAGGTACCCAATTCACAGCTGGGTGGACTTGGACACATAGTCACAGTACTTTATCCAAGTTTACTGCACTTTGCCCGCAACTAGGTGTTTGCACCTATTCATGTGGCCCCCATCTGGTCATATACCAACGGATACTTTTAAGTGCTCAGGGTTGTGTACTGTACACTAGGGGTTGTGACAACGCTGAAAGAGTCTGCACACAAAGTTGACTCCAAGGATTTTTACACCCGGTCACATGTGGGCTCGATCCCGGCACCTCATGCTCGCTGGATCACTAGCCTGGCACCATGCCCCATATCAGTTAGTACACAAAGTTAATGGCTCTTTTTATAGGACCTGCCTGAGGAGACATATACGTACGGCTCAAAATTGTCATTTTCTTTAACAGTCTGTGATTCAAGGACACCCCATATTGTAGGGTACACTGAAGTAAATCCTGTTAAAGTACACAAGGCTTGGAGCACTGGTTATCTCCCTTTACCTGAATGAGCTCCTCCTGCTGTTTGATGATCTGCTTGTACTTGTTCATCTGACAGTTCAGTCTCTCCAGTTCCTCACTTGTCCGATCTGTCTCGGCCTTGCTCACCGTGGGCAGGATGCTACTCTTGTTCACTGAAGCTGTTAAATTCACACTCCACCTTAGAAATTTCACCTTTACACAGCTTTCATAACTCAGCATTGTAGGAAAATCAGTTCTCTCTCATGTAAACAATACTGCCATGCTTATCTGTAGCTTCAAAAGAAAACCTAGTGTTCTCAGGAATATACATGTGTTCCTATTGTGTGAAGATTGTATTTTGTCCTAATTATTTTTAACATGTCAAACGAATCACATCATGACTGAATGCATGAAATTACATCTTGATGCAAAAATGTCAGCTGCGAAAGGAATATAAAGTGTTTTCGCTTAAGCCAAATTTCCTCATATTCAAAAATGATTATTTAACGACATATCTGAATACCATACCATGCTAACAACACGTTTAACTAAAGGGGAAACAAAACACAGAGAGCAGTTTAATCATATCATTTCCACCTTTGGTCTGTCTACTGATCACATGCCAAGGTGTACAGAGGGGACAGTTTCTCTCTCATTCTTGTCATCTAGTTTATGTTCTCATCGCCACAGGTACCGTGGCATCCAAAGACAGATTCAGTCCTATATGCTACATTGATCTGCATCACTTGTCCTACTTACCAGGAGTAATGTCTGCGCTTTTCTTCATTTTCTTTCGTATTTTCTTGCATACTGTTTTGAATTGTTTCTCAAAATCTGTTCGGACAATGTCATAGGGCATTTGGTAATGACCTAAATTAACAAAGAAAAAACCTTCAAGAAAAAGTGTATGTTGATGATAATCATGACAATAGCAAGACAACATCAAACTTATAGTTAGGTATGGGAAGTTAGTCAAACACAACAGGCATGTATCGGGGCCAAAATATAGCAATTTTACTTTGATTTAGCTTATTCGAGATTACCATCATTCATGCAGGAACTTAAAAGAATGTACCTTTGTTATTTACTGGTGCTTTGACAATATTGGAAATTTTAAATATAAATTGTATATTTATACACTTATCCTATCTCACGGTATGCACTTCTCTCTCTTGATTCGACACTGAGTGGAATGATGTAAACTTTTTTTCCCTTGGCCTCTCTTGTCCATCCGCCCAAGCACTCCATGCTACCCTCATCATAAGACAGCTTCCTAGCTCTCATGCAAAGCATGCGGCATGCACCACTAGCTACCCACGTGACTATCTCCGAATCATCATTCTCTTTCTTGTCGCACTTGAGTGTGAACGTATTTTGCTTTGCTCAACGTTTTCAACTTAGTCTACAACATGGGGAAAGCTGACCAGCCAAAAAAAGAGGAAGAAATGCTCCCGGTGTAACAAAGTGTTCTCCGCAAGTGATCCACATGCGTATTGTGTTGACTGTGTGGGACAGTGTAAATGGGACTCTCGTTGCGATTAATGCAAGGATCTTACCTTCGAGGCGTTTGCAGACCACGGTTGACAGAAGAGTTCAGCCTTAAACCTGTCATCCCATGAAGACAAATTGAGCGGGCCGCGACGTCAAACTGCCAGGAGAGAACCAAGGAAATGAGACAGCTGGTCAAGTATGATCTGAAATTGGTCCAGTATTAGGGACATACAACCCCTGATGTAAGCATCCTGATCGGTGAAAGAGTGCCCCACTGATGCCACAACCGCTTCCACTGACGAGATGATGCAATTGATTGATGGTAAGGAACGACAAATAGCTGTGTCCATGTGAGACAGTTCTCTGTCCTCAAGTAGAAAGGCTGAACAAGTCCTCTTCCTGCAAAGTGTTTGGACATCCTCATCCACCGAAGGGGCAGTAGCCAACAACAGGAAACCATGGGAGTGAGCCGTCGGTAGGGAAAATCTAGGTGAAGACAGGCCATCCTTAATCCTTTAAGGCTTTTAAAGGCATGATCCAAGGACATAGTTAGATGAGCAATACAAGGCCGTGGTGGGAAGGTAATAGATGCCAAGTCTCGATGTCTCATGGAGAAGGAATGAGTTAAATCCTCCGGGTTCTGTGACATAGGGAGGTGGAGTTTCTCCACTACCCAAGCTAAGACTTGAGGTTCATCAACAAAGTCCAAACTTCCATCTGGGGAATCCACAACTGAATGTGCCGGAGATGTAGGATCCGGTTGAACACCAGTACTAGGCGCCGTAACAGATGGTCTGAGGGGAGGAGCACTCCCCGTAGAGTGAACAGCCTGTTGTTGATTCCAAGTAGTAGTAAGAGCACTTAACATCGCAGCCAGATCTGGGGGAGGAGTAGTTACTTACGCAGGAGTCCGGGAATCTGGTACAATCCGAGTAGAGAGACGTGAGGAGGCAGGAGTCCCGTGAGAAGTCGTAGCACGCGGAGATCGAAGCTCGGAACCCCGTTGAGTAGATTAGCGATCCGTAGAACCATATCTATGTCTGGTGGGGTATGAACCGGGAAAGGATGCACCTCCTCAACTGTAGAGGAGATCTATAACGTTGATCCCTGGATCTTGAACGATAGTGCAGTCAACTGTAAAGAGATCTAGGTTGAGGGTCCTATGCACAGAACGGGAAGTCCTATGATGACGATACGATGAAGTCCGAGTAGGTGACTTGGAACGAAGAACCGATCTCAACGAAGCAGAGGGAGGCGTGTGCTTAGTTGAATGCAACGAGTCAAAGAGAGGCATCTCGGTGGCGAAGTAGACCGATCAGGTCTATCCGGTGAACAAATCCGAATAATAATAGGAGACTGATCCAGATGACTCGGTGAAAGTCATGTTCTTGCTGAGGAGACGTGACTGTAGGATCCAACAGAGTTTGGGGAAGTACGCAGATGATCTGGAGAGAGGCATTCCGCTGAATACCGCTTGGAAGAAGGCCGTTTGGGTGTAAGTCGATTCATCACATGCAGTATCGGTGAAGTCTTCTGTTTGAACGTTGTTTCGATGAAGTACAATTAGGTGAAGTCTGTTTAGCAGACGATCAATCCGGAGAATGCTGAAGCGTAGACTGGTGTTTCGATGAAGACCGGTTCGGCGAAAGCTGTTTCGTAGAGAGCCGGTCTAATTCTGGGGAAGGTGGACAGTCCGGCGAAAGTTGAGGTGAAGGGGAGCGGACAGGCAAAGCGTGATCCGGCGAACTGTGATTCGATCTGGCAGGCTTCGGTGAAGCAGAAGGCCATGGTAGCTGGACGCAAGAAACAACACTTCTTTTTGTCGAATGGGAAGGAGACGGCGAAGTAACCACTGACAGGCGTTGAAGCGAGGTAGACTGGTTCCTCTCACTACTGGACGAACGACGAGAGCGAGAATGGCTTCTGCGCAGTCAGGCATAGCAATCAGCTGATTCTTGTCCAAAACAGATAAGCCAGGTTGCCGAGATAACTGGTTCGGAGAATGAGAGACAGACAGTGTAGTTCAAAGGTCCTGCTGTGTACAGGTATCCTGAGGGGTGGTAGTAGTCTCGACAACCACTACCCGGGACGTGGTCGAAGACGAAGGACTCCAACAAATTCCGAAGGTCTTCCGATAAGTAAGAGTCTGACAACGCTCTCATGAAATCCTCTTCATTCGAGGGGAGAGGGGACTGTGACCGCCGAGCAGACAAAGTATGACACTTAAACTTTCCTTTCTTGGAGGGACTGGGTCCGTCAAGTGAAGCGGCATAACGAGCCCTGTCAGCAACACAACGAGCGCAAGCCCGAGTGGAGTCACCAAATGCCTCGAAGGTAAGATCCTTGCATTTATCGCAACGAGAGTCCCATTTACCCTGTCCCACACAGTCAACACAATACGCATGTGGATCACTTGCGGAGAACACTTTGTTACACCGGGAGCATTTCTTCCTCTTTTTTTTTGGCTGGTCAGCTTTCCCCACGTTGTAGACTAAGTTGAAAACGTTGAGCAAAGCAAAATACGTTCACACTCAAGTGCGACAAGAAAGAGAATGATGATTCGGAGCTAGTGGTGCATGCCGCATGCTTTGCATGAGAGCTAGGAAGCTGTCTTATAATGAGGGTAGCATGGAGTGCTTGGACGGATGGACATGAAAGGCCAAGGGAAAAAAGTTTACATCGTTCCACTCAGTGTTGAAGCAAGAGAGAGAAGTGCATACCGTGAGATAGGATAAGTTTAAAAATGTTCATACACAAATGTCCATGTTAATCATGTTAGTATTGCGTTACAATATTGACATTGACATGCTTATATTGCTGTTATTGACGACATAACATGCACACACCCTCTGACAACTCAAGGTCATCAACTGTCATGCGTGAAGATACAACAGAGCTGACGTCGTCAATTTCCTCCTCCGATGATGAGGATGACAAGGCATCATGGGACAACTCCTGGACAATCAAGATAAACAATTATGTTGTCATCTTACGAAAGGAATTTTAACTCACTTGTAGCACAACTTGCATGGAAAGCCCAAGGGGAGAGAATTTTAATACTGTCAATACGTTTTTAAACATTAAAGGGAGAGTGGGTCTTTAATGTATTCTCTTTTAGCATTGTAACTAAGTATGGTTTGATTATAATTCTCACCCAATCTGAAATGTACAAGCCAGTATGGGTTTTCTTTATTTAATATCATAAATAATCACATGCAGCTAATTTAATGAAATTATGAGCATTAATATTTCCATACCCTAATGCATTTTGATTTAATCTGGTGGTGGTACATCATCAAGCCATATCAGTGTTTTGATCACTTTCAAACATACCCAGCACTGAATATGAAACACCAGACTTAAACACCAAATGCATCAATACTTTTGGTTAGAAAAATCAAATACTATCAGAGAGAACAAGCAAAATGACCAACCACATACTTGCAAGTCCATGTACATGTAAATAAACTCAATATAAGTTAACTCATTCATTCAATGTTATTCATGAAAATCAAGTGTAACATGTTACATTTGGGGTTACACTTGCTCAGTAAGGTACAGAATGTAGTACTTTTGGGGGTTGAGTCCCATCCAGGATTCAAACCCAAACCCAAACCCATGTGAGATAGTGGAAGTCTGACAACTACTGAACTAGATCAGGTACTTTGTGTGTCAAGTATAACATCACACATGTTTCATATGACCATGAAATGGAATTTCATATTCACAACTGTCAGCCATGGGGTCAGTGCCAATTTACACTCGTCAGAGGGGTACACAATTATGTCATCAAGACTATCAGTTGTCAGACTTCCATTTTTTGTTGAAGATGTACTAAGAAAGTATTAAAACCTGTACTTTACAGAGAAAGTGTAATCCCAAAGATAGTAATGTTACATTTGACAACTTTCTAAATGGCATTGTGTATACAGTTATGAATATCACTGTAAGAATTCCAAATTCCAAACACTTTTCCAAGCATTTGAAAGCCAAGCCAACATCTTGCATGTGTAACAGACCTATTCAAGGTCCATGTGATACAAGACTAAATGCAATAAATGTTGGTCAGGAGTGAGTGAGTGAGTTTTTACGCCGCTTTTAGCAATATTCCAGCAATATCACGACGGGGGACAACAGAAATGGGCTTCACACATTGTACTCATGTGGGGAATCGAACCGAGCCTTCAGCGTGATGAGCGGACGATTCTACCACTAGGCTACCCCACCACCCCATGTTGGTCAGGAATAATTATTGAACTGTTCTATTCGGACAGTTTTACACTGCAGTGTAGATGTTTTGAACATTTTGAAATAATCAAAATGGTTGACTGAAACAAACGAAATAGTTAAGAACAACCATGTTAGGTATTTCTAAGCATTAAAAAAAAAACCCATAAAGTTATACAATTATTTGTTTGTTTTCTGAGTGAGTGAGTGAGTGAGCTTAGTTTTACGCCGCACTCACAGTGTTCACGAATAGTGTCTGACTCTCTGACAAATCCGGCAGATTCGCCAACGGTCCGATAGAAATCTACAACCTGCTGGCCCCAGTGTCTGACTGTATGTTTCACAATGACTTTGACTGAAGTTGTTATATGTGACATACGACACAGGCCTACCAAAGAAAACTTTCCCAGTGTGCAGAAAACAGCAGAAAAGCCCACATTAATCGTGGAAATAGCAACATAAATGTAATACCTCGCTAATGAAACAGTAAAAACGGCAACTTTAAATCGCTAACACTGCATACAAGCGTACAAGCGTACATGGAAGAGGAAGTCTCGACCGCATGTTGACATTTTCCAGCTTGGACAAGAGTTACATTCCTTTTTAAGTATTTCTGTTGTGTTATTTAGCATTTATCATCATGATACTTGTGTGCACACTTGTTTAGTTTACTTTCCATTCGTATGAAACGATTGACAGCAATTATTTCGACATATTTAATACTTTTTCTACGCGAGGCGATTCACAGTTGCTCGGAAATTGGAAAGAAGCCCAGATCGTAATGTGCATGCGCAGTAGAGGTCAAAGTTCGCTGATATAAAAATGTTGCAGTTTCATAGTTTTTCGTTGCCGTTTTTACTGTTTCAGTAGCGAGGTAATGTGTTTATGTTGCTATTTCCACGATTAATGTGGGCTTTTCTGCGTTTTTCTGCACAGTGGGAAAGTTTTCTTTGGTAGGCCTGTGACACTTGTTTGCTGTTTATAAATCTTATGTCTGTTAATAATTTCAATGCCAGTTATGTTAAATCTGAAATGTGTGTTTAATTTTATTCCATGGGTCCTGTGAACTTTCAATGGGTGAGCCAGACATCTGAAACTTCCTGTTACTTTGAAACACTATTCGTAAACACTGCACTCAGAGTATGAACGTACACAGCTTTTAGTAATATTGCAGCTATATAAATAAGAATGGGCATTACCATCTAAACTCAAGACTCTGGCATGACGAGCCAGTGCTTTAACCACACAGCAACACACCACCCCACAGTATAAGACAATGTAATCAAGATGCCAAGTGAATGATAACATACTGCTTCAGGTGGAGGGCTGGGCTGAGACTTGGAAGTTCTGTCTAGGACAGAAGCCAGTTCTCGATGCATGTGCTTCACACACTGGCGGAGATCGTTGTTCTCTACCATCAGCTCTTTCTGCTTGCCCTCATAGTTGTCAATAACCAGCTGGTACATCTCTTCCTCCTTCCTGCAACACAAAGGACAAGTGTCAGTAGCAAATACATTACATGTTCTGGGTAGGAGTGATGCAGAGAGTGCACACATTACATGTGACAGTGGGCTTGTTACATATTCTAGGTATGTGTAAGTATTATAGACCTGTTCCATGGCTTTTAATGTTACAATTAATGAGACAATCATTTTCAACATGTATAACAAATTGCATAGTGACCAATATTTTCGTACGATGTTTCCTATCTATTGGTGATCAGTTGTTTTGAGGAATGACATCATATAATACAATAAATCAGAATCTCCTATATATCATGCACAAATGTCAACCCACAGACAAACAAGACTCTCCACTCACTTGTGTCCTGAGTTCTGCCACGTGGCTCGCTGACCGTCTGCTCTCTGAAGCACATTCATCATACTCATACCTGGAAAAAAAACATGACACATGGAGACAAAGTAGAGAAACAGCCTGAACAGACACACAAAGACTCAACAGAAAGAGACACACTGGATACACACTGCCTGAATACAGAAAGAAAAGTTAAAAGGATAAGGACAAAGACTACCAAACTTTAGAAGAAGTGAGCAGATACAGTGTTTGGAAGTCACTGAGACAGAGGTAAATTAAACAACAAGACATGCCACCACAGTGTTCTGTTCCTGTTTTGAAAGCTATTCATTCTTCCTACAAACAGCGATACATAAGTTGTTACATGAAACATGGTTTCTGCCAAAATCTGTCCCCATTGCGGATACCGTGCACTAAGTCCAGAAACACATGACAAGGGCCATAACTCTGTAACAAATAGTAACATGGTTTCCGTTTTCGAACTCCAAGGCATTCATGTCCTGAAAATACATACCAAAACTGATTTCCCTATCTACGACGTTTTTTGTGAAAATCTGTCCCCATCATCTTGGATGGACTAACGGAACTCAAACCTATATTCCCCTTCCACTTCGTGGCAGGGGATAAGAGTGGCAGTTGACACATACATCACTCAGTCCTCAAGATAATTTTTAACCATCAGGAGTATACTACTTAAATCTGTGGAGGAGTAGGACCTTATTTTGAAGAGAACATAATACTTGATGATGTTTATTAATCTAAAAACACTTAAACAGCAGAATATGTCAGTTGCCATGGCACAACTAATATTCCCTGACCTACATAACTTGTAGAAAACCTTATGGGAAGTTGAGATTTCATCACAACAATTTCTAACCATTGGTATACCTGATACCATAGTTAATCCGCTGGGAGTAATACTATCAATCAGCACAATGACAAACTCAACAACCACATTTTGTGTGGTAGATAAACCAATGAAGATACTGTTGTCCAAGACACATCAGTTTTGCTTTTCTTAACTGACTGTTGCTCTTTCATTCTTGCCCGAAAACAATTATATACACCAAGGTAACAATATGAGATGAGAGTTATTGTCGATGAATATTCTCCATCAAATAAAAGATCATTGAGAAAGATACAGCAAAAAAGGCAACAGTTGGATTATTTTTCTGAAATGGCAGATTTCCTTATAAACAAAACATGAAATGTGAGCAAGATTAATAATGTGTCAAGTTGAGTGCAAGGCTCTCAGTGGAACTATTCAAATTAAACACTTTTCTTAATAACACATATTTTGTATTAATTCTATTAATAGCAAACATTCTACATGCTATTCACCTAGCACATGAGGTTTAAGAGCGGAGTATTCAGTTCACCATTAAAACTGTATCACAATGGACATGATGGAGTAAACTCACCTATTTTACGAGCTGGATTTTTATCTGCCAGAAGTTGATGCAGCCGATCCTTCAGTTTGATGGCTTCCTTCTCCTGTTTCTTCATCTCATGTCGAGCCTGGACATCTTTCTGCTGAAGCACAGACTGTAGGCGCTTCACCTGTTGAAAGCGGGTAAGTATCTGTGTAATAAGACAGGCACCAATTCCCGCTAGATCATGGCAGCGTGTAAAATATAATCAGCAGATGTAAATAGTAAGTGTGACTGAGTTTAGTTTTACGCCACTTTTAGCAATTTTCCAGCAATGTAACAGCAAGGGACAACAGAAATAGGCTTCACACATTGTACCCATGTGGGGAATCAAACCCGGGGCTTGGGCGTGACGAGCGAATGCTTGAACCACTAGGCTACTAGGGTTAAACATTCTATTCACATACAACTCCTGGATACCCCAAAGCAGTGAAAGAAAGTGAGTAAAGGGGATTTATATACAGCAACATCAGAGTTTCATCCACATGTTTAAAGCATGGTCATGTAAAACACTTGGGTTCATACACACCAAAGTCACTATCTTCCAAGCTAAACATAAACAACAACGGAGGCTGTAACAGTTTACGAGATTTGGCATACTGTCTTTATCATTATATTCTCAACACAACATGATTTTCCTCTCTAATTATAAAATATATTGTGAGACCTGCAATTCTGGCATTCTAACAAGGCCAGTATTGTTAATTTGAATACAACATTTCACATTTCAACAGGCTTTAAGTGAGTGAGTGAGTTTAGTTTTACGCTGCACTCAGCAATATCCCAGCTATATGGCGGCGGTCTGTAAATAATCGAGTCTGGACAAGACAATCCAGTGACCAACAGCATGAGCATCGATCTGCGCAATTGGGAACCGATGACATGTGTCAACCAAGTCAGCGAAACTGACCACCCGATCCCGCTAGTCGCCTCTTACGACAAGCATAGTCACCTTTTTATGGCAAGCACATGGGTTGCTGAAGACCTATTCTATCCGGGATCTTCACGGGTCAACAGGCTTTAAGCACAAGGAAGTGACCAAATGATCCCTCCCATAACATGGTCCAGGATATCACCAGGAAGACCAACATTGTCATGTATTCAGTAACAATGAGTTGAGTTGTGCTGCAGAATGTTTGAAAGTCCCTTACTTTCCTGTGTAGATTAACTCAGAAAACACAATAAATAGTCCTGCTACTTGCCTCTTCTTTGTCTGTCTTGTGTTTGGCAGTGAGCGTTTTGTGTTTGAGAGTCAGTTGTCTATGTTTCTCCTCTTGTCGAGCCAGGTTCTTCTCCACGGCCTCATTCTCCCTCTTCAACCTAGCATTGGTGGATATGTAGTGATCTCGCTCTGTATTACATCTGTGTAATCTGAAAATAACATTGGATGTTCTGCAGTGGATCGGGACGGTGGGGTAGCCTAGTGGTTAAAGCGTTGGCTCGTCACGCCGAGGACCTGGGTTCAAATCCCCACATGGGCACATTGTGTGAAGCCCATTTCTGGTGTCCCCCGCCGTGATATTGCTGAAATATTGCTAAAAGCGGCGTAAAACCATACTCACTCACTCACTCTGCAGTGGAACAACACTGGTGTGATGTCTAGAGTACAGGAATGGTCAACAATATTTCATGTATAATTCCACTTGTTCATTTGATGTGTGATGCTGCCCTCAGCAATATTTCAGCAGTATGGCTGTGGTCTCAGCCTAAGTAAGCTTAGGCTCCGTATTATTTGTTACACTGCTATACTGAGTCTAACAAACCCTAGTACAAGGTTGTGATGGCTGTGGTCTGTAAATAAATCAGCCTGGACCAGACAAACATGTGACTGATATCATGAGCAAAACTATCCACCTGGCCACCTGAACCATTAAGTTGCCTCCTTAGTCACAAAATGTAAAACCAGTGTTCACGAATGGTGTTTAAAAGTCACAGGACATTGGGTCCTGTAAGTTTCAGATGTCTGTCTGACCCATTGAAAATGCACAGGACCCATGGAATAAAATTATACACACATTTCAGATTTAATATTTTTTATAATTGACATTGAAATTATTAACACACATAAGATTTATAAACAGCAAACAAGTGTCGCATGTCACATAAAACAACTTCAGTCAAAGTCATTGTGAAATATACAGTCAGACACTGGGGCCGGTGGGTTGTAGACTTCTGTCTGACCATTGGCGAATCTGACGGATTTGTCAGAGGGTCAGACGCTATTCGTGAACACTGTAAAACTCAAGGGGTATTGTTTTTCTCACTTTCACATTTGGAAAGGTAAATATTTTGAGTTGTTTACAGTTCCCCGACTGTGTTGTAAACCGTTATAAGCAAAAATACCCCTAATTGTCACCCATCAAGAGTGTGTCAAAAAGACCCAACACTTCAAATGATGTATTTTATTAAATATTGTGTGACTAACCAGTATATTCAACTAAAACGTTTAGCTGTCCCAACACAGACTTCATTACCATGTGAATTACATCAATCAACAGTTTTACAGAACTTATTTCCAGAGACCTAGTAATATATGGTTACCTATTTTCTAGCTCTTCTTTTTAATCTGTTGCTTCTCTGGTATAGTCTGAGAATATCATACAATCTGTTCACCAAGGCAACTGTTGACACGGCAACACCGGCCTCTGGCTGGAAGGAAGCAAACCCAATCACCTGGAGTTCCTGTGAATAGATTGGAAACCAACAAAGATGACACAGGCTGTTGTGGTACATCACTGTTGCTAGCGTTAGCAATGAAAATTACCAATCAGGAGTTTTATTGTCAACAAATGTCGACGGGCGCTTGGATGTCCCTGATCATGATGACTTACGCTACCTAAGCACTCTGTATGTACATCCTTCTCGGAGGATGTCCTCTTTATCATCATAATTATTATTCATCAATTTGGAAGTTGAGTCAAATGATATTTGGATCTATTTATGAGAACCTTTCCCAAATGATTTTTTTGTCTTCACTAGAACTTTTGGTGCATCATGTTTATCAGCCATCAATTAACCATGGAGTGTGTACATTTTACAGGAGTGGGTATAATTTTACAGAGCTATTAGCAATATTCCAGCAATATCATGGCGGGCCGATACCAGAAATGGGCTTCACACATTGTTGTACTCAAGTGGGGAATCGAACCTGGACCTTTGAGACAAGTTTGCTTTCACCTCTGGGCTACCCAAATGCCCCTAGTTTTTTTCAGACGCAAGCTATAATCAAACCTCTATAATGTACAAACAGCCCAAACCAAATGCTTTTAAGTGAACATAAGGATCTGGTTTACATATGGACATACACAAAGCTACCTAAAGGATGTATGTTTATGGTATGCTTATCAAAATAGGCAGAGTTCCTGATAGCTTGGGCACTTTTCCCCTAAAAAGTTCCTTGTCCATGCTCCCTAATTCATCTACATCAGGCTTCATCAGAACAGTTACTGAATCGGAATTAGATGAACACATGGAAACACATTCACTAACCATACCTGATCAAGGAAGGTGAGACAACTCTGTAAATTCTCCGAAGTACAGAATGTGGCTTCTCCATCTGAATGTCCAGGTGTTTGGGGAAACCATATTTGTGATTCATGATTGTCTTTCATTCTAATCTGTGAACTTGTCCGAGACGTATATAATGCAATCAGATCATCTGCTTGTTCCTTTACAGCCGTCCAGTCAGCCATATTGCAGAAACTGAAAGCAAAGAATTAGATGAAATTAGAAGAATTAGATGAAATGATCCAACTTGGTTCTGCAGGTTTTGACCACATCTACAATTTTTTCAAGACACTTTTAAACACTTGATAACATGCCAATCATGATATTCTATCTGTGAGTGAGTTTAGTTTTATGCCGCTTTTACCAATCTTCCAGCAATATCACAGCAGGGGACACCAGAAATGAGCTTCACACATTGTACCCATGTGGGGAATCGAACCCAGGTCACCAAAATGATGAACAAACACTTTAACCACTAAGCTTCCCCACCATCCCCTATTCTATCTGTAGACATGGTAGACTGGCTCAGCTTTGAATAACATAAATGATATTCTGATTTGTTTACCCAACACTAAGGTGATACACATACAAATTGATCAATTTGTTGAGAAAAGATCAAAACAATTTACACTACAATCCTGAGGGATGCAAAACATTTTGGCTCTATCCATCATAAACTCATCAAAAATAAAAATTACATAAAACATATGACTGATATTTCTACTCTGGTCAGAAGTAGACTCAGGAATGAGTGGTTCACTTTCTTGATGCAACATCAAATCATGATCAAAAATAGATTGAGCAAATATTATTAGAGTCCCCAGAATGTTAAAACAGATAGGATGGTCCTAATTAGGAATACTGTTTATAATAAAACTAAAGAAAATTTATATTTACGTAACATAAGTACAAGATAGAACAAACTTTATGGATAATAACTTCTTTTATTCACGAATAAAAGAAGTTGCTATCCATAAAGGTTGTTCTATATTGTACTTCCCAACTTTTAAAATGCCACTCAAAGAAGAAACATGAGTACAGTTTGCATCATAAAAGATTAATACAAAATATCAATACAAAACTGTTTTGCATAAAAAAGACTTTCATCTGCATTGCAAAAATGCTAAAATTGTGTGAAACATTATTTTCATTGCTGTCGTTTCTGATGTTTTCTGACGTCATACACTTCAGACAGCAGTGTTTACTCGCTATGACAGGGCTGGTTGTCTCACACAGACATTGTAACTACTCGGATGATGGCTTGTGATAAGAAAAAGTTGTCATTTATAAGGTAGTGATTTGTTTTACAGTTGTTCAAGCAGTTAGCAAGAAAACAACGGATCTTCATAAGCATCAGAAAACACACACAAAGATACTTTATCTCATGACACAACAAAACAAGTCAGTATTGGGTATTTGTAAAACACAACTGGGAAAGAGTTCCTTCCATTCCCCCACAATTGCAGTAATGAAATAAAACCAGAACCAGATGTTTCTCTCCAGACTGATGATTATCAATACATGAACATTTCTTTCGCATATTATATCCAACTTGACAGCTGTCCCTTATTGGAGGGTATTTTTTTAATTAAGCAAACAAAAATAATGACTAATGAAGGATAACCTCAAGCACCGAGACCCTCCATCAGTTTACTGGTACAACACTGAGATGTAGGCGTATGTCTATAAATCCCCATCAAGGCTCTCGGCTATGAATATACACGTGTCCATGCACTACTCCATGACTAGACTTATTATCAATTTGGAAAAAGTATGAATACGTCCAGCAAAAAAGAAAATGAAGTACATGGCGATTACTGAGCACTCATAACAGAACTCTGATACATTCAGCGTCAGCGTGAACAGTCTGGAAAATATCCACTCTCCTATAACACACAGAGATCATGTCTAATGCAGGTTGGTTCAAACGTTTATCATAGAAATAACCAAGGACGCCTGTCCATGCAGTGCTTTAGCAGAATGGTTTAAATGTGTATTGGACTCTTTCTTTCTACGACGATCGCCTTTAAAGAATACTCCAACCATAAATTATTTGAAAACACTAAAGTAAGTTCGTGACATTTTCTTTCACCCGATCGTAAAATGCACGTTCACGACCACTGACGGTCATCCCCGTACCTGTCAACTTGAAAATTATCCATTTGCCTCTCACAGGTAAAGCTATGACGTCACAGAGTTTTGCCTTCGAATTTACTTCAGTAGGGATGTTTTCTTGGTTAATCTTGGTAAAATTGTACAGCATAAAATATACAACCAACATTTACCATACCACAAACGGTTTATTTCGAGCGCTTGTCGCATAAATGTTGTCAGCATGAAAACTACGTACCGTTTCGTATTATTGCGGGAACATATTTATAACACATCACGTGGTCGGTCATGTGACCTGGTATAAATAGTTGCAGCCAATACTATGGCTTGACAAGCGTTTGTTATGTGTTCGAAATACGCATCATGTCGGAAAGCGCGCTTTTAATCTCCAAATCATTCTCATCATCTTGGCAAGCTTTGTCGCCTCACAGGGATCAGTAAGACCTAATCAGATATTTTTTTGTGGAAATGATTAATGTTGCTACTCCATGTTTACTAATGATGTACTTATCTAGTTGTAATACCAAACACTATGTGCTCCTTCCAATCACTGCTAACGGACCGCAGACCAAAATTTTAAATATAAGGGATATTTTTTCGCCTATTTTTGTTCGGTCTAGTAACCACTGAGAAGTAAAGAAATGAGGTTTCTTTTACAAAAACTTATGTGCTTTAGCCCACAGAGGTCCCCCAAGCGGATCGTGACTGATTTCCTAGACCATTGGTTTGTCAACACTAAAGCTTGGCTTTCGCTAAGTTGGTTAACGCTTATTGGTTGCATTACCACAAAGATTACAGGATATTCATTACAAATAAGGGTGGTGGGGTAGCCTAGTGGTTAAAGCGTTGGCTCGTCACGCCGAAGACCCGGGTTCGATTCCCCACATGGGCACAATGTGTTAAGCCCATTTCTGGTGTCCCCCGCCGTGATATTGCTGGAATATTGCTAAAAGCGGCGTAAAACTAAACTCAGTCAGTCATTACAAATAATGTTCGAGGCATCGAGTTGATGAGTATCATTATTTGGTACAATTGTCCTGTTAGGCTTGTGATATCTGAGTTAAAATACAACATCACTGTAACATAACGTTGTGCAATCGGAAGTGTAATACAGCCTGAAAGTTAAATCAATAAACAAAAAGGTCATACTGTACATCCGAAATAATGAGATATCTTAATTTAGCTTCGAGCTTTGATATCCGTGCTGCATTTGGACTATATATACTGAACCGCAAAAGAAACGCCATACCGATAGAGGTTTCTAAACCACACACTTTAATTCGCTCTAATTAACAATCAAAACAGAGGATTGCGTTCAAACTTGACAATTATGGTTAACACATTTTCGGGAATCACATTTAGAGTTCACACAAACAAATTCACCAAAAATGGTACCGTTAAGATACCTCAAATTCAGTATTGTGTGTGGCCCCCATAGGCATCGATGACGGCGTTGCGTCGTCTGTACATGGAATGAATTAACCGGTTGATGAAAGCCATAGGCACTTGGGTCCATACTCTGCGAAATGCCTGATCGAGTCCAGCCACAGTTGTCGGCCTTGGTTGGAGGTTATTCAATCTTCTTTGAATCTCGTCCTAAAGGTGTTCTATTGGATTTAAATCCGGACTGAGTCCAGGTCATTGTAGGGTTTGGATGGCATGTTGTCTAAAGAAGTCCAGTGTTGCCCTGGCAGTGTAGGCACGAGCGTTGTGTTGCTGGAAGCTGTGATTTCTGTGACGTTCAAAATGTTGTACAACCAGGGGTCTTATGACTTGGTCAGTATAGTGAGTAGCTGCCACGTCATTTCCTCATCTTGGACCGTGATTCTGGAACACCACGGGGCCAACTCTCTGGTTCAGACCAATTGCATCCCACACCATAATGCTTGGACCACCCCACGAGTCTCTTTCAACAATACACGCATTGGAAAACCGTTCCCCACGCCTTCACTATACTCTCACTCTGCCATCTGCTGTCGAAACACAATGTATATACTCAGTTCTTCATTGTTGATGACGCGATGCTGAGTTGCCCATTGCAGTCGGTTTGGATGGTAACGAGCGGTGAGTACAGGACCACGATATGGTCTGTGACAGCTGAGGTTTGTTCTCGCGCAAACCACTTTGATGAAACTCACGGGTACGGGTATGGTGTTGACAAACCTAGAACTGGGATTCGAACCTACAACCACGTGTTTCTCATATTCCAGGGGAGGCAACTCTGCAAATGCGAAACCTTAGTCGACTATTCCACATGTATGCCCGGTTCTACCCAGACTTCCTAGTATAACAGAATGTCACTTGATATGTCTTCTTATTACTGGACAAGGGGAGGATTAGTGACACTTGATTTACGACATATATTCTTCAAATGTTGTAACAGTAAGCTACAGTATGTAACTGGCATTTAGCTTTAAAGGACAAATGTTATCAAAATCGACTGATATACCTGTTGTTTTAAATAGTAATATAATTGAAAGTCGACAAAAATATTTTTTTCTTCTAAATATTGTCACGCCATTTGCTTTTCCTGTCATCAATTTTGTTTGCAAACGGCTTTGTTTAGCCAGAAAAAGCATGACAAAAAAAAGAAGAAAAAAGCGGTACCTAATTTGATAAAATCGCCATCGACTCTACCTTGATCGTTAAGAGCGTCCATGCATATTTTTTGCTTCCTTTGGGATAGTAGATCAGTAATTATTTCACTAGAAGAGTATATTTTCGTGTATATGTCGAGATTTTTTATTAAAACGCTAGAACCAGTTATTAGGTGATCGGAATAATGCATGTGATACTCATTTAAACCAAATACTGTAACCTACCAGGAAAATGATGTTTTACCTGTATTTAATTAATATGTGTATTGTTTACTACTGTGTTAAATGTGTACACATGCATTATTCCGATAACCTAACAACTGACACATATGTACAGTAAAATATCGATATAAACACGAGATTGAACTCGTGTTGTGAAATAATTACACATGTCTACCATCACAAGTTGTTCAGTCAAGGGAAACAGTAACGTAATAGAATATTTTCATAAAACATAATTGTTCTTACTGTAATAGCATCCCATACTGACCTCGGCTATAGACACAAATCACTGAACTTCACATTCAAGGATTACGCTCCATATTTAAACAAGAAGACAGAGGTACACCTTCAGTGTGTGACCATACGTGCGTAGTGTACCCGATCTGTTGAAGACATGGCTTGGCACACCCTGATAAGCTAACAATGTTACCTACACGGTATTGACATAAATGAATATACTAGTACGTATAGACAGGTAAACATAGCTAGTTTTGTCTAAGTCAACTACACGGATTGCCGGGCATGCGTATCGGCTAAGCCTATTATATATAGGCTATATTCTTGCAGGAATCCACACGGGGTAAACGGAATGTAGATGACTGAGTTTGGTTTTACGCCGCTTTTAGCAATATTCCAGCAACATCACGGCGGGGGGACACCAGAAATAGGCTTCACACATTGTGCCCATGTGGGGATTCGAACCCGGGTCTTCAGCGTGACGAGCCAACGCTTTAACCATTAAGCTACCCCACCGCCCCGAATGCAGATGAGCGTATTATATGAACTTTACTTAAATACATATGAAAATGCACAAATGTAACATGCAAAACAGCAAAAAATGAGAGTAAATATTAAGTGCACATTTTAAGCAATCTGATTTAAATCGTATTTATTTGTCCATATATATTTCCTTAGTTTATTAAATTAAAACAGCAATTTTTTTTATTACATCCAAAGACCGTATCACAATTTCATTACCAAGTAATACCCGTTACTTTGAGAGCATTTATAATGTATCCTCTATTAAACGCTCAGACGTATATTTTCACCCAAGGCGAAGCGTTTGACCCGACGGTAGTGGAATTAAACGTTATTCATGTGATAGGGCATTATTCTTACCACATGATGGACCAAGCTTCTATTTTCTGGATGGAGCTTGTAACCTAACGTAAGTTGGTGCCGGCGTGTGGTTGATTTGCTGCTCCCAATGGGGTAAATGCAGTGTGTATTTGTTCCATGTGTGTTTTCGTCATCAGGCTCTTACAGCAGGAAGTTTCGTAATATTCATGATATTGTCAGACCCGAAACCAAAGAAAATAGCAACCGCGAAAAATTGCGGTCAGAAAGATTGTTGTTATTTAACGCCGGACTTAACACTATTCCAACTATATGGCGGCGGTCTGTAATAAATCGAGTCTGGACCACACAATCCAGTGATCAACAGTATGAGCATCAATCTACTCAATTGGGATACGATGACGTGTCATCCAAGTCAGCGAACCTGACCACCCGATCCCGTTAGTTGCCATTTACAATAAGCATGGGTTACTGAAGATCAATTCTAACCCGGATCTTCACTGGTCGCGATCAGAAGGTAGACGGACACATATTGCAACGTCACGGTTGGGTTGGCTTTCAATATCTTCAGTTTTACAACCTGTTTACAAGCTTGTTGGCCTTTGTGAAGCAGAGGATCCATGACAAGCAGTATTCCTCTTTATTGATCCATGTCATGCTGTCTAAAGCCAATCATTACTATTGCTGTAATGGGCATAAAACCATCCATGCAGAACAGATTTACAAAGAAAGATATGTTCGTTGTTATTTATGATCAATTGTTTTAATTCAAAGGTTACCATTAATACTGTGATGTGTCAAGAAGAAAACGTACTGACATGATGTTACACATGCTTCAGAACACAAGAAATGACAACTATATAAAAGTTATTGACTATATTGACTTACTGTTTGACAGAAATTGTTCATACCTTTCCATGATGCACAAAATTGTTTCTCATAATGTCAAGTGTACATGTATATTCCAATATATATATAGTGAGTGAGTATGGTTTTACGCCGCTTTTAGCTATATTCCAGCAATATCACGGTGGGGGACACCAGAAATGGGCTTCACACATTGTACCCATGTGGGGAATCAAACCGGGGTCTTCGGCGTGATGAGCGAACGCTTTAACCACTAGGCTACCCCACCGCCCAATATATAGAAGACTACAAGAACAGAATGAAGATATAATACCCTTGACATTCAAAGAGTGGAGGGGCAGTGGGGTAGCCTAGTTGTTCGCTTGTCATCATGCGAAGACCCGGTTCAATTCCTCACATGGGTACAATGTGTGTAGCCCATTTCTGGTGTCACCAACCCAGATATCGCTGGAATATTGCTAAAAAGCCGGGTGAAACTAAACTCACTCACACTCAAAGTGCCGAACACTGTAGGCCTTCCTTGTTTTGACTGAATTATGTGAAACAAAACAAGAACTGAGATCTCAACAGATCATGTTTATTGAACACATTATCAAACATGACCATGTACATGAAAATCATTGTGAGCAGCACATTTGGTAACATGAACAGCACTGGCGCCTTGCCACCTGCCTGATTAATATCTTGCCCCTTGTACAAAGTGATTGGGGACCAAAGAGACCTTAGTCTCTTGAAGTCATAACCATCGATAACAGGCAGTCCAACTCATACATGTGGAACAGGGCCTTGGATGCTGAAGGAAGCATTGCTACCATTGCGCAGCATCACAAGAACTTCAGTTGCTGGATATAGAACACACTGCAGCAGAATCTGTCAAGGAAACCACACCACTTGCTGGAGTCTCAAGCCAAGACAATATTGACAGTAGTGTCATTAGAACCTGCATCTTTGTCACATAGCACACAAACAACTATGTACTTGCAAGCTAGAAGCTTACATTGAATCAGGCTTCTAAGTTACAAGTGTGAGCAATCAAACACTGACAACATGCATTCTCTGAAACACTTTGATATGAAGTATCTGTTGCATACGTTTTCCTGCATTTTCTTCTGATAATTACCCCAGTTTAATAACTATCAAAATTTCTAACAGTTTTTCACACAACTGAAACACTCATTTGAAGAAGTTATTTCAGGATATATAGATGATCCTTACCACTATATATTCATCTTCTATCTGACTGTACACAAACATCTGAATTTATTCATGGAGATACGCAACCTTAACCAGAATCTTGAGAGAAAAGAACAGGGCCACTCTCCTATTCACAGAACCAGTGGCAATGCGGAGAGTTCATGCAACAATTACAGGGCTACAGATAAGGGCCGTATCGGCGTATGTACGGATAAAACATATACACGATACAGTAGGAAATAATTTAGAAAACGTAGCAGATACGCACCACAGCAATTGTGTACGGTCTTAGAATCATTTACAGACATATTTATCTGAAAAAGTATTGTTTAATTGTTTATTGACCGTTTACACCAGAGTAGCAATGCTGTCATGCATATATGAAACGAAGCACAAGTTTAATGATACACCATTAACTTCCATTCAGTACTCTAAATGTACTCTTATTGTTTTCCAGTACTCATATATTGAAAAAATAAGGAGTAAGTACTCCTGATGTTGAAAAATTATCTGGAGCCCTGAATTACAAACAGTAACAAAAAGAAATACTAGCATTATTCATGAATTTAGAAAGTCAACTTGAAACAGTTATTAACTTTGAATCCTATCACTCGAACAAGCAGACTGAAAACATCATGCTAAAGACAATGCCAAATTTTACAGAATACAGTATAACATAGTATTATGGGACATCAGCACACATTTGTAACTTAATGTCTTGGCGACATACATGTCAATAACCAAATCTATAGTTTAGTCAATTAATGGATCAAATGCCGTAATCAATGGATTCGTTGATGTGCATTGCTAACCTTCCCAATTGTTAATCATAGGTTTTTCAGTTAGTGATAATACTGACAGGAATATTAACATCATATTGGTCCTCACTCAGCATGGAATATGTCTCAACCTCATCCCCAATGACCTAAAATGATTTAAGGATGTTCGCTGGTCCGCATTCAGAGTATCTCTCCATTAATTCTAACATACAGAGGGTATTTTACAAACCTCCATGATCTTTAACAACAAGTGGGGAGGGGAGTGGTCACTGTATTGCACTATGCACCTTTCATTATATACAGTGACGCAGTTTTACTTTATTATACATAGGGGTGAAATGGTATACCGCGGTATTCGTAGAACAGCAGTATTTGCCTTTGGTTTGGTATACCATAATGCAATCCAAAAATTCAGTATTTTCGGTTTTCATACTGTCATTTTATTAACCTTTTAAAACCTTTTCTAAAATGTCTAGACGTTGAATCATTTTGTCAAAATCTATGCATTTCTTTGCTAGATGTTAATTTTTTGCATTTATGATCATATCTCATATACCAAAGCGAAGGCCGTACAGTACCGTACCGTACTGTGGCAAGAGCGTACCGTTTCACCCCTAATTATACAGGCATATGCAGAAATCACTCTGATGGCCATTAAGCACAATTAGTGAAGTTCTACAATTAAAAATATTTTGAGCAAATCCATAAAAATGTAGCGATTTACACCCGTTTCTCAAGCAACTACAATGCAATAATGTCTGATATGATATAATAATATATAATACCCATTTAATGTTGTTTGTAATAAGCAGCCTATGGGAATTTAGAAAAGTTGATCACAGTTATATGACTTAAGTTATAAGAATGAAACACACCTGTGTACCATGAGTCGCAGGACATGGTGTCTGTATCGATACAAGAGATACATTTACAAAATACTTACTACTTGTTTCATGACATAACCCTCCCAGTATTTTTTATCAACCAACTATCACAAAATGTACTGTAATCGGCAGTTCAAGTTTTCTATTCCAAAACAGCCACAACAAACACATCTTCAGCTAGATTTTCATTTGGAACCTGCTCTGAAATATTCATATCAAAATCAAGATGTTTCCACAGGATTTGACAATTATATGTACCAATGTGTATTGTGACCTTGCTGTATTGTTTCATCCTAATATTCTTAGTTTCTTGACTTCAGCACTATATCCTGGTGTTTGATGGGTTGAAAATGTCAACTCCCCACACACAACAGAGGTGCCCAGTAGACATACCAGCAGACATCCTTATGATGAAGACAGAGAGTAGAGCTAAATGAAAGAGATCATTGTAAAACATATCAGGAATATTACGACTGTAATCAAGTCAATTCACACTCTTGGTTTCAACAGTTCAACCAAAATTGGAACCTTGACATTTTAAATGACACTAATGTGGCATTATCTTATCTGAAAATACATTCATTCCATAGATTATAAGTACAAAGTTACCTATATTTGGCTTTCTTAACCATGTAGGCACATGACACCAATTCCCCAAAGTATCTGTATGCTTGTTGTACACAATACATACCTACCCAATTGAATGCAAACTGATCATTACAAACTTTGAAATGAAGGTGGCATTGTTACTGAAGATGCACACATTTACATATATGCATTTCACATGTTCAAAACACAGGAAAACATCAGGAAATTATATCCCGATTTACACCATTGCACTAGCTTCTTCATAATGGCAGTTTTGTTTAGTATCTCAGTGAGCTAAACCGTCACTTTCAACATGTCCATTTCACAAGTGTGGTAAAGTTGTCTGGAGAGCCCCAGTACCTGATGACACCTGGTGCCACCAGAACACAATGCTATTGATTGGCTGCCTCACAAGCATCTATCCAGTCACTGTACACATCAATAGCTTCTGACAGATCTGAGAAAAAGTTAAGGTATATAATCTGCATTAAGCATAAGTTTCTACACGCTATCTAACAAAATACGATATTACTCAGGTATTTCTATACATATATATTCATTTACATTTATAAATGTATAAACATACGCATAACATATCAGAAGACTTTTTATGCATCATGGAAAGATAAAAAAATCCCTATCTAAAGTGAAGCAGCATACTATGCCATAAGTCACATAACAGTACATTTGATAATGCATATGATAATGATACAGTAAGAAAGGTCATAACTGATTAATCAAGAAATATTCTTACACATCTTGTATACAGGGTTAAATATTATGCATGATTTTGATTATATTTTGTTGTTGTTGTTGTGTAATGCCACACTCAGCAATATTCCAGCTATATGGCGGCCGTCATATTTATAGTCATGGGTTCAGATCATAACCATGACATAAAAAATTAAATATAGAAGCTTTCCCTTGACTCTCAAACACTAATAACTACAACAGGAAAGACCATTTGGCATTGGTACACATGAAATCTGAATTAATTTCAGATAAGGATACAGTTGATAGTTGTCTGGTAATCTTCTAAGCATACACCACACTTGATCACACCAGTATTCCTCTGCCGATCACTGGAGCAAAGCATATGACAAAAGTTTAAAACATGTACATGATGGTTTGTGTCTGTCGGATCAAACTATGGATAAATTATTTATTGCTCATGTTTCTGACAACATCTGTCTGACAGTGGGAATTGTAAGATGTATACCGTAAGTAAGTCTTCAAACATTTTGTTTCTTATCATTATCTGTCGTATCTTCTTGACTCTAAATTGTGACACAGAAACACATTCAAAACATTGAAACTGTGGAACATAAACTTACACAATAGCAAAGATTACAACTTTATGGATAGCAACTTCTTGTTTATTGCATAGAGGGATGTTTCAGTGTAGACTCTGACACGGTTAAAAGGTTAAAGATATATTTATATAGACATCAAGCTATCGCTTTTAACAATATAAGAATCTATATTGGAATGTTGCTCTCTGCAATAAACAAGAATTTGTTATCTGATAAAGTTGCAGTCTTCATGTAACATATGTTACATTTGGGATTACACTTTCTTAGTAACATATGTTACGTTTAACCACTTTCTAAATGGCATTGTGTATTTCATTGCAGTCTTCACGACTGACTCAGCTACTTCTAGAATGAGAGATCAAACAAAAACGTTCACAATGTTTAGTTTCGATGAAACATCTTGACTCAAAGTTCTGCAAACCATAGACACAAGATTAATGAAAAACACATAACGTTTATTCTATGTCAAATGAATGCCAAAAAAAAAGAATTTTTCTGCCACTCACAGTTTTACTTCACATGATTTCTCGTGGTTACAAAATGGACAGTTGAAGAGGGTGTCAAGAGGCTGAATAGCCTTCTTCTTTGGTGGGGGTTTGGATGCCTTCTTCCTTCTACCCATTTTCAAATTTGAATAGTTTTACTTCTGTGCTGGAAAAGAAAACATTATCAGCTAGTTTATTGCACAACATGGTGCCAAACATGTCTAGGTCATAATTATACAGCAACTTCAACACATTTCTGAGTGGGTCAAAATATCAAATACTATCAATTTCAGGTCTAAGTCTGTGAAAGGCCATTGAATCCAAAGATTTCTAATTGTACGGTATTGGTTATATCCATACTGGACTCCCGATACTGATCCAGAGGAGGCATGGTCTCATTGTACTGCTTTTGACATTTTGTTTATTTAAACTTGACATAATAAATGCATGTCACCATGTGAATAAGAAGAATTATTAACTCATGATTTAATGGACCCATAAGTGTTTATAATGGAAAACGGTGATATTCCGCCAAAATAATTGCGATGTGTACATTTGGCCAGCTTGAACTGAGCTTTTTGCCACGAATTTTGTCCAGACTTTGTGTAAAACTCGTGGATACATTTCCTCAGTTTGAGTGGAAAATATTTACTTTATATTTAAACATGACGTTATAAGTACTTTTCTCAGCGAAAACCTAATTATTACATAGTAAATGTTTATTTCCAAGGAAATCCACGATGATAAACAAACCTATCTTCCGGAAGTAGTTTCTGCTTAGCATTGTGGGTATTAATACAAGGAAAAATAACTGATAAACATGGGAATTTACGTGAACTGTCATTATTAATGACCGTCACATGATTATGATTTTGAGTATGCCATTATATTTATGTGTGTATGTATATTAGAAAATAAACTGATTTATATCTCTCACAATTTCCGTTTGTGAAAATAATTGACTACGGTATTATCCTTTAGTTAGTATTAACAAAATGTCTGCGCCCATGAAACAACTTGTGTTTGGCTGATACAAGCACTTTTTCCCTGAGGACAATAGGGAAGAACAGCAGATGTCACAGTGACATTTCATGCCATACTAGGCACTCATTATCGGGTTGACGAGTAACTTCTGCAAAGTTGATAGATAAAGTTCGGTTAAATTGAAAAATGAAAAAAAATCTACAATCTGCGTCCCAGTAACAGACAACCACGAAATTCAGCTGACATGTCATCCTGGACTTCAACTGTCAGGCGTGGGATAACACAATAATATATTTGGTGGGGGCATTGGGTTCAACAATAAATCCCTAAAATGGCCCTGTTGGAATATGAAAACCAAATGTTTCTGGATTCATTCCATGAAGATGGACTGACACTTTTGGCAAAGTATGTTGTTTTCTGGGGATGACGGTATTTTAGCGGTATTTACAAACTTCCTCCGCCTTTGTTGAATAAATTATTATACTTAATTAGCTATTCACCGATGTGTCCAACCCGGTCACTGCCGCCGATCATGTTTTTATATTATGCGGCTTAAGGGAATCATAGCAGTATTTGTAAATAGATGTTTTCTCAAAACTAACTGTAACAGTTATCGCCATTTCAGAATTCCCACCGAAGTGACAAATTTTTTATAGCATTCATAACTTTATCTTTAATTTTTCTCTTATTTACCGTGAAGAATTTTCTTTTGATGTCCTTTTTTGTTGTCAAATATCATGGAAAAAATGCCCGAATTGTAAGTGACCGGAACTGCGCACGTGGGATACAGATGTATTGGCGATAACTGTTCGGCAGCTAGTATAGTTGAGTTTATATTTTGCCATTATAACGTTAGTCTGGAGTTTTTTTTAGGGTTCAGCCTTGTATTGTATAGTGATATCCTTTTATGGCAGTATACTAATTTTAAATAACAATCTTTTATAAATCCAACTGTTCTTTGTAGACAGGTATTTATGTAGTATATATATATATGTTTCGTAAGCATAACCTTTTCAATGTTATGATATGGATGAAACACTGTCGACATGACCGAAAATGCACTCACACCTATTAAGCAAAATAATTACACAATTTGCATGTTTATGGTTCTTTAATAAACAGAGAGCGATGTTTTTCATGTTATCGTATGTACTGATGCAGACTGCCAATATCATGATATGAGATCATAGCTAGGAGAAGTTGTTGGGTTATAACGAGTTGCTGAATATTGTTCTCTCTCCTCACTGTCTCAGGACCTGATTCATCTCTAATAATAATAATAATAATAATCTACTTCTATAGCGCCGAGTTCCAGCTAGGCTGCTCACAGGCGCTTGTGCAGTTCAGTCTATTTCATTTCAAATAGATGTGTCTTTAAATGTTTTCGAAAAGTTTGTAGACTTGGGGCGGATTTTAGCGACATAGGGAGGTTGTTCCATAGCATGGGAGCTGCACACTCAAAGCAGCGGTCCCCGTATTTGGTCCTGGATGGTCTGGTGATAAGCAGATCTTTATCTTGTGATCTAAGGGTTCTTGTTGGTCTATGGTTGTTTAGAAGAGATGACAAGTAAGATGGAGCAGTGTTGGTCTTCAGGCACTTGTAGATAATGGTAAGCACCTTGAATTTTATGCGTCTGGCAACGGGTAGCCAATGCAGTTCTCTTAACCTGGGGGTGATGTGGTCTCTTCGAGGACAACGAGTTATTATCCTGGCGGATGTGTTTTGTATAACCTGGAGTCGATGAACCAGGGAAGCTGTTATCCCAAACAAAAGTGAATTGGCATAGTCAAGGCGAGATATGACTGTTGCTTGAGTGAGAGTTTTGGCGGTTTCATCTGAAAGATATCGTCTTAGTTTACCAATCTGATGAAGATGATAGTGAGAAGACTGGCACATTTGGGTGACCTGCTTGTACCTGCTATGTATTGAACAGTTTTAGTCAGTACTGAAATCTATCTGAACAATCAGGAAACAGTAGACTTGTTCAATACAAAAGTAGTGACAATAGGGATGATAATATATTGATATTCATGATTGTTGTAAAGTAGGCTCAATATTGACAGTTTCTGTAGAAATAAGCAAATGGATAATTTCTTGATGGTTATTTAAGTCATCATAATCCTCAGCAAACATGGTAGGTGAGGTATTAACACTCAAAAATCGTTTTGGGATTTAGGGTTTGAAATGGTACCCAGCAAACACTAAGTTGCAAGAAGCAACAAGATGGAGCAGGTTGTCTGGATCAGTGACTTGACTGCATGTCATCCCATACACCATGGATTGATGCTCACACTATCAGTGACTAGACTGTCTTGTACAGATTCGATTATGTTCGGGCAGCGGTCTTTCAGCTGGAATATTGACCCATGAGGTGTGAAACAAAAACAAAATCATATTCAATAATAATTATTTAGAATAGTTTACAATGGAAAATGTATGCCAAAGATATTTATATATTCCTCTAATATGACAGTTCACATGTATTTAAGATCCTTGTTTATTTGTTTTTAGGGGCCTTGGTATTGACAGAATCTTTGTTAACTTCTTGAAAGTGTATTCTGACCCAGGCAGTTTAGTTTTGGTGTTGAACACATCCACTACTGAAGAGGTAAGTGAACCAGACAAATGAACATTATGAATAAAGGCTACATTAATGGACGAATATCATGCATTTTATGACTGTTTGTTTTGCCTATTCTGGAAAACCCATCACTCCATTGTTGCAATGTTTGCAGGAATACTTCATTGAACAGTTGGAATCCCAAGGAGTGAAACCACTTCCAAAAGCTATTACGAATGAATTCAGCGCCAATGATAGGTAAAAAAGGACTGAAAATAGTTACTGTTGTCCTTAGTTTTAGTGTTTCTGACAGAATCAGCAGCCTCAACACACATAAGTTTCAGACTCTGAACAAGTTGAGTTTGAGTTGCCTAAACAGCATTTTTTTTATGACACTATGTTGGCCATGGGAGCTCTGCCAGTTATCACTGGGTACACAGAGTATGTGATATAGGTCACAATGTTTTTTGTGGAAGCCTTGGTAGGTTACTTGTCGTTAAAGGTGTCAAACAGGATCGGGTGGTCAGGCTCGCGGACTCGGTTGACACACGTCATCATATCACAATTGCGTAGATCGATGCTCATGTTGTTGATCACTGGATTGTCTGGTCCAGACTCAATTATTTACAGACTGCCGTCATATAGCTGGAATGTTGCTGAGTGCGGCGTTAAACAACAAAGCAACCAACCTTGTTATGTTAGGTCACTAGGTTTGTGTGCTAGTGGGTCACTCGGGGAGGGCGGGTTCATCTTATCAGAGTAATAGAATTTGTAATTTATTCGGATAGCGTAATCACAGATATAACATGTATTACACTTTACCGCTCTCCAAAAGGCATTGGTAGCCAAGTGGTTAAACCTTTCGCTTGTCATGCCAAAGGCCTGGGCTTGATTTCCCACATGGGTATGATGTATGAAGCCCATCTGTAGTATCGTGATATTGTGGAACATTGCTACATGCAACATGAAACATTACTTACCCCTAAAGGTATTACAATTTGTGGGGCGGTGGGGTAGCCTAGTGGTTAAAGCGTTGGCTCGTCACGCCGAAGACCCGGGTTCGATTCCTCACATGGGCACAATGTGTTAAGCCCATTTCTGGTGTCCCCCGCCGTGATATTGCTGGAATATTGCTAAAAGCGGCGTAAAACTAAACTCAGTCAGTCAGTCAGTATTACAATTTGTCTATTCATAAGTTACCAAAACGTTAGTAAAATTTAAAAAATCTTAATAATGAACAATTACTATGACTGCAGGGGTGGAAATAACCCATTGCCTGACGTCCGAGTCCAGTGTTTTTTTCTGTCGGGCAAGCAAATTTGTATATCACACTGTACCGGTGTTCAGTTGACTTTCCAATGTTAATTATGTTGTTTATTTTAAAAAATCAACAAGAAAACGTCCGGTATAGTGGAAAAATTATCAGGGCAAGTGATTTTACATGTGCCACTGTACCGGAGTACACAAGCTTTTTTAAAGTTATTTCTACCCCTGCTGACTGAAAGAAGATAGATGATCAGCACTGAGTAAATTTATGATCATGATGATGGTCTAGATCGTCCAAGATGTGTTGTGTTGTGGTGTGGGTTGTTGGTTGTCAGGTAGGGGTGCCCAGTGGTGAAAGCATGTGCTCGTCAATGCAAAGGCCTGGGTTCAATACCACTCCTGAGTACTGTGTGTCTAGCTCATTTGTGGTGTTCCCTGCTGAAATATTGTCGAACCCAACTCACACATTCCCTGGAGGAAGATAGGATTTTACTGTGTTTGATTTCAGGTTAAACACGTATGTTGAGGGTGGAGTGTTGTTTATTACGTCTCGGATCCTGGTGGTTGACCTGCTGACCGACAGAGTGCCCATTGATCATGTCACAGGCATCCTTGTCTACAAGGCTCACAAGTAAGTGGTGATGGTGGAGTACTAAGTCCCATGATACGCAGATTGAATGGGATGTTATTGCTGTGAGGATTGAGATGGAGATTTGTGATGCAGGTTACGTGGGTGGGGTGTTGTGTGAGGAGAAGTCTTTGATAGAAATGGGGGATGTTCACTAGGACCAGGACCATGATTATCATCTGTCACAGGTACCGGTAGTTCTTGGTGAACCAGATAATCACATCATGCCTCAGCAGACTGTGGAACAGCAAGAGGCAAGTACTGTATATTACCATAGATAAGCCGAATTTTGAGGACCCCCCAAAAAACAGTCCGTAGAAGGGGGTCGGCTTATCTATGGGTTACACTTCCGTCAAACCTTTTTTCAGGGGGTAGGAAAACGACATATCTCTTCATGTGAACAAACAAACAAGAGAAAACGACTTTGTCAGTAAAGACGTCAAATTCGCAATTAAACACCATTTGACAAGATAATTGACCTATTCAGTGCTAATTTGTTTTTGCTTGGCATTGTCTTATATGCAGGGATTAAGATTACTGTGTGTAATTGTCTCATATACAGCGCCGGAAATAGCAATCAGCTGTTCAGTGCACACCCATACTGGTGATTTAGTTAAAACGTACCCGAAAATATAATGAGATGAATTCTGATGCAGTGATCTTAAAAATATAATATCTGAAACTATTGTTAAATAAAAAGAAATATATTCTAGTATTGTATCATTTTAATTGCAGGTTTTGCTCTATAAATGTAAAATATTTATTATCATAACTTATGTTATGCGACAGCTTTCTGGTGTTTTGCCAGATAGTTTGTATGCATGGAACAATTTGATCTCGCACCGATGTGGTTTAGCGCGATCTCGCCATTCCACCTCGAAAACAGGTTGTTGACATGATTGTCCAGCTTCACGAAATATGACCTTTGGCGAAACAAAATATGCATGCGTATCCATTTTCTGTCAAGTACACTTCCTTTCGGGACCACATGGGCACAATGTGTAAGCCCATTTCTGGTGTCCCCTGCCGTGATGTTGCTGGAATATTGCTAAAAGCAGCGTAAAACCAAAGTCAGTCAGTCAGTCCTTTCGGGACATGAGTAGACACAATACGTTAGTGATTGCTGTGAATAATGCGGGCAGAAGTTATAAATATTGGGGGGGACACATGATTTCACTGTAACTAATGTAAACATTCTTTTTTAACATTAGGCCAGACAAATTTTATTTCTTGTTTTACAGATTTTTGTCCTCAGAAACCCTATAGGCAGGATGGATAAAAAATAAAAATAAAATCACCAGTCAAAGTAATATTCGTTCTAAATGCTCAAAGTTTTTACTTTTGGCAATTTCCAAAGTATATATTGGGCAAAAAACAATCTAAAAAAATATTTTTTTTGCAAGTTTACATTTTGGGTCGATAAAAACATTTGGATTTTATTTTTTGAGCGGGGAAAATTCATTTTTATTTTTTTTCTTATTCTTGAAAAACGTAAAACAAGAAATAAAATTGGTCTGGCCTTACGAGTAATACTAATGTCTCATTGTTGATACCAACAATGAATAGTTTACATCCAAGACGGTAACTGCCAGTTGTCTTGTGGTCTGAGGTGACCACGATTGGGACCCTATCATGGGGGGTCGACTTATGTACGAAACATACCATTTTGACACTGATTTTAAGGGTCAAGTTAGGGGGTTGGCAAATTTATGAGATCGGCTTATCTAATGTAATATATACGGTAATGGGATTGATTGGTCAGACTCGCTGACTTGGTTTGTCATTGTATCCAAACTATGAAGTTTGATGTTTATATTGTCAATCACTGGATAGGCTGGTTCATTACTGAGTAATTTACAACTGATGTAATATTGCTGGAAAATTGCTGGAATGTTGCTGAGTGGGACACTAAACAAGAAACAAACAAATGAACAAAATATGTTAAACACAATCAAGGGGTGTAAACTTGAAAAGCACCAGTCAGACAGTTCAATTGTATGTGTTGTTTATTTTCAGAATTATTGAGTCATGTCAAGAGGCCTTCATTTTGCGCCTTTACAGGTCAAAGAACAAAGTAAGCATTTAAATGTGATAAAAGAAGAAATTGCTAAATAATATTGTCAGTAACACAATATCTTCATCTTAAACCATAAAATCACAAACATGCTATTTAAAAATAAACAATGGTTTATGTTGTATTGTTCTTTTTACAATACAAATTAGCATAAAAGTAGACTGATTTCAACTGATGCCAAATTTTCTGAAATGTATGCAGATAAATGATAAATTTAACATGCTGATGATAATGCTTCAAAACAATACAGATTAATTAAAAAAAATTAAGCATTCATATTGTTTAGTAAACCCCCAATTTTGCAGACAGGATTTATCAAGGCTTTCTCTGCCAGCCCAGAGTCATTCACCTCAGGCTTCTGCCAGGTAGAGAGGGTTATGAAGAACTTGTTTGTCAAGAAGCTGTTCTTATGGCCCCGCTTCCACGCCAGTGTCGTGTCGTGCATGGAAAAACACAAGGTCAGTGAACATGTGTCAGGACAGAATATCTCCTGGTACTTTAAAGTTACTTGTGTCACTGGCGAGTCTTTTTGACCATCAGACTCTGAATCGAGGGATGTTCAAGAATGTACTGCCAGTAAATCTCTTACACCTTACTAGAACTGTTGTCATTATGAGTTGTGAAAGTTGAAAAGACTTGTTTCAAATGTGGATGAAACAGTGGCCATTGACATTGTTATTAGGATAGGTGGTCAGTTATTGTAATTATTCCTTTTCCCATTTCAGATCATATTTATCAGTATCACAAAATGTTTGGAGAATTCTTGTGTGGGTTTGGATGGTTGCCAGGATGTTACTATCCATCATTATTATTCAATCCCTCATGGCTGTTTGTGGTAGATCTCCTCAAACATACATTGTCATTTGCTGTTGGGATTCCACCCTGACGTGGTTGACACATGTCATCTTATTCCAGTTGCATAGATCAATGCTCATGCTGTTGATCTGGATGGTCTGGGTCCCGTTCCTCAAAGCGATCATAGTGCTACGACTGTCGTAAGTCTATGTTAAAGTATGGGAGTTACGATTATCTTAGAGCTACGACTGTCGTAAGTCTATGTTAAAGTATGGGAGTTACGATTATCTTAGCGCTATGACTGTTGTAAGTCTATGTCAAAGTATGGGAGTTACGATTATCTTAGAGCTACGACTGTCGTAAGTCTATGTTAAAGTATGGGAGTTACGATTATCTTAGCCCTACGACTGTCGTAAGTCTATGTTAAAGTATGGGAGTTACGATTATCTTAGCGCTACGATCGCTTTGAGGAACGGGACCCAAGTCCAGACTGGATTATTTACAGACTGCCTTCATATTATAATAATAAGTTATCATTCTATAGCGGACAGTTCCAAACACCAAGTGATTGCTCGTGGTGCTTTATCAGAATCTGATTATTATTATTATCCCAGATAACCCAAGCTGCACTAGAAGGTTATAGTTATACCTCGAATATTGCTGAGTGCGGCATTAAACAACCAAAAACAACATTAATATTAAAATATGAGTCTCACCGACTCGTACATATTTGCACACTGACCAGCGTGATATAGCTGAACTATGGACTACTGTGGTATTAAACAACAAACAAGTACATCTGGACTGGTGTGTGTATTGCAGGTGGATGTGATTGAGCTGCAGGTGCAGATGACGTCCACCATGACGGCGTGTCAGACAGCACTGCTGGACCTCATCAATGCCTGCGTCAATGAGCTGAAGAGATGTACACCCAGTGTAAGTATTCCACAGCTTTTAGGTGTAGTTACAAACAAGCGCTTACCTTTCTATACAAAGTATGTGTGAATGGCAGGTAAAGCAGGATCTAGGCTTCTTACCCTTTTTGTGAACACCTGTGTGGCTTTTAGCTGTATGTTCCTAAAATGTTAAGTCGCTGTTTTGCCTTTTAAGGCCCTGGTATCTGTTTTATCATGTGATTGAGACTGATTACTCTGTGGCATTGACCTTGTCTGTACTCTGTGGCATTGACCTTGTCTTTGTGAACTGTGATCTTTAACTTCTTCGTGTATCACATGTGTTATTTGGGAATACACTTTCTCAGTAAAGTACAGATTCTAATACTTTTGTGATCTAGACTACCAGTTGTCCGACTTTCATGTTTGTGGAAGCCAAGATGGCTGAGTGGGTTAGGTGTCTGACCCTGAGAGTGTGGGTTCGAATCCTGGATGGGATGCAACCCAACAAAAAATACTAGAATCTGTACTTTACTGAGAAAGTGTTATCTCAAATAAGACATATGTTACATTTGACCACTTTCTTAATGGTATTGTGTTATCATTCTTTGTGTATATTTAATATTTTTGTACGTTTCAGATTGATACAGATGAAATCACAGTGGAGAATGCTTTAGCCAAATCTTTTGACCGAGCTATTCGACAACAGCTGGACCCAATATGGCACCAGTTAGGTGCTAAAGCAAGACAGCTTGTCTCCGATCTTAAAACTCTCCGACTCATCCTCAAGTTTGTAACATTCTCATTTATTTATGATACATTATCATTAATAGTAAAGAATCTTGCTGATTGGCCAGTCAGTTGTGTGAAAACTCATTTAATTGTGACGTCACATTTCACCCTGTTTTCACTTTGATTTACCAATAATTATCCCCCGCTGCAAGACGTAACTGGGGAACAGCGTCCATATGTATGTACGTCCCAATTCTTGTTAATGCGATGTTTCATGAACTGTTGTACCCAATGGCTTCAAATTTGATGACAGCCTACATTGTGGGATTTCTCCGGCAGCAGTAGATTTGAGTGACCTTGAACTTATTTTCAAGGTTGCCACGACAATGTGAACACTTTTCAAACACTTGTTAACGTGATATCTCATGTACTGTTGTACCCAATATCTTCAATTCTTTTTTCAGAAGAAGTCCTCCTTGGGGTAAAAATAATCATTAAAATGTCCATTTGAAAACCTACGACAGTTGTAACTATATTTTAAGAAAATTATTTACAAAATAAAAAACAGAATGTCAAGCTTTCTCCCCCAGGGCTATCAAGTGTTGGTCTGCCGACTTGTTGTTTTACTTACACCAATCTGCTGGGGTTGGGGTGGGGGGGATATGGGCTAAGGACCCACCCTCCAAAACCTCTAAGGGCAAGAAGAGTTCATCCTCTTCGGCTGTTAACGGGGGGAAGGTAATCAGGCCAAGACGGTGGAAAAACACCCTTCTTCCCCTATCCCCTCTACATCTGCACAATCCAATTCTGCATCTGCACCTTTAACAGATTTGTCCTCCATATGGTTACCAAGAAGGATGGAGGGTTCAGACCCATTCTAAATCTAAAGGGTCTGAACGACATGATCGAGGTGCCGTCTTTCAATATGGAGACACTGTGCTCAGTGATACCTCCATGTCCCGATGCACGCCGAGTTCAGGAAATAACTCCAGTTTTCCTACGATGGGAAGTGCTATCAGTGTCGTGTGCTCCCCTTCGGCATCTCCACGGCACCAAGGGTGTTCACAAAACTCATGCTGGTGCCAGCTCAAGTCACCAGGGCACAGGGCAACTTTTGTTACCCGTACCTGGACGACTGGCTTCTCAGAGCACTCGCCACCCACTTGAGTCAGGATTCCACACAGACAGTGATGGATACTCTCACCGAGTTGGGTTGGATTATCAACCTCCAGAAATCAGAACTGGTTCCGACTCAGGATCTTGTTTTCTTGGGAGATTCGAGACACAGCAGGGATTAGTCTCCCCTGTCTCGGGACCACATTTCCAGAGTCCAGAGCATTGTTTTACAACTCCTTCAGTCCCCCAGTGTCTCAGCTCGAACATGGCTTCAGTTGCTAGGCAACTTGGCGGCGACAGTGGTCATAGTTTGGCGTGCACGTCTGAGGATGCTACCAGTTCAGCAAGCGTTAGCGCAGCTGTGGTCTCACTCGGAGAACTACGAGACGATTCTAGTAACTCCGGAGTGGCTTATTCCTCGCTTGCGGCAGTGGACCGACACCGGCAATCTATCCAGGGGTATACCGCTGGAGACCCTGGTGCCGAGTGCCAACGCTCACAATTCAGACGGACGCCTCCCTCACAGGGTTGGGGGGTGTTTTGGGAGACCTCACAGCTTCCGGCCTTTGGTCTGAGAACGAGGCGACCCTGCACATCAATGTGCTAGAATTGAGAGCAGTCAAGTTGATATTGGAACGCTTCGTGGAGCAGGTTCGGAACCGGGGTGGTTCGTCTAGAAATGGACAACCAAACAGCGATGTCCTACATCCTGAAGCAGGGTGGTACGGTGTCTCTGTCACTACTTCAGGAGGCGTGGCAGTTTCTACTGTGGTGTGATCAGTTCAGCATACGGGTTATGCCTGTTTATCTCCCAGGGGTGGACAACGTTCGTGCAGATGCGCTCTCACGTCGTATTCTAGCCCCTCACGAGTGGTTACTCAACCGGGAGATATTCAGGATTATCTCCCAGTTGTTCGGGTCGTTCCAGGTAGATCTGTTTGCCTCTGGGGTGACGAACCAGACTCTGGTGTTTTGCTCATGGATCCCGGATCCGAAAGCGATTGCCTCCGATGCCTTCCTGCTCGATTGGACGGACAGGGTTCTGTGCACTTTCCCACCGATACCACTGATCTCCAGGGTCCTATTGCAGCTAGCCACCCAGCCAGCGCGACTACTTGTGCTTCTTGCACCTCTGTGGTCGTCTCAGCGCTGGTTTCCGGTGATAGTTTCTACTGTAGTTTCTACTACCCTTGGGTTGGGGGGTGGGGTTTGTTACTGTGGGTGTGACACTGATAAGCCAATCGGCATATAGGCTTTGACATCCTGGGTCCTCGCCCTAGCCATGCCCCCCGGCCTTGATTGACATCGGCGGTCAGGTGACTAGGTAAGTGTAATTCTCTATTTCTGTGCGGTTGTAGATTGTTACTTCGATTGGATCACTTTGTCAGACAGAATACCACTCCCAGCTTAATTGTCTTTGGGAGTCTGTCTCATGCTTATATGTACCCCAAGGAGGACTTCTTCTGAAAAAGAATTATACAAACCTGTAGAGGTTATGAATTCTTTGAATAAAGTCCTCCTTTGGGTACGGCCACCCGCCTCCCCTCATTCAGTCTGATCCGTTGAGCATGAAAAGTGTGGTGAGAGTTTGACGGCTAGAGTTACTTGCTCTTGCCTGTAGGGGGGCCCTGAGGGGCCCTGTAGGGGTGGTCTCACAAGGCAAAAACGTGTTTTTTGTTTTGTAAATATTTTACAACTATCGTAGGTTTTAAAATGGACATTTTAATGCTTATATGTACCCCAAGGAGGACTTTCTTCAAAGAATTCATAACCTCTACAGGTTTGTATAAATTTGCTGACAACCTACATTGGAGATTACACAGGCACCAGTCGATTTGGGTGACCATGGACTTATTTTCAAGGTCACCACGACACTTTGACCACTTTTCAAACACTTGTTAACGTGATATCTCATTTGGGGAATAATTATCGTATCCCGCACTTAAAGAATATGATGCCATGAATTAAATATTGGTGAAATATGTGACCATGCATTTAATAGGATGATTTGGCAGTAACACAAGGCTCCATAATTTTAATTATATGATTAATGATGGAATACAAGTAATTGTTAACTCTCTCTTAATTTGAATATATCCTCAGAATATTTCACCCTTTGTTTTCTCCTTTCAGACACCTTACCCAGTATGACTGTGTGACCTTCTATAGCCTGGTGCATTCAGTGAGGTGGGTCAGTGGTATAGAGATTGCTTAGGTCCTTAGTATGAATTCATTCTCATTTATATACAGTCAGGCCGTGTTGATCCGAACACTTCCATTTTCCATAAAAAACGTTCGGATAGTGAAACGTACGGACTACTGAAACGAACCATTGTGTACACCACTACAGTAGAGTTACTTCCCTTTGACATACCGTGACAAGAACATAAGAACGTATACATATACATGTATCAAATGACTTTATTACAGTTTGTATGACAATCAAAGCTCAGAAACTCACTCGGGTTTAAAGAAATCGCCAATGACAGTGTGTTTGGATCTCAGCCAGTCACAAAACATGTCTGGTGCCAGTTGCATTTGCACAAGGTTGACCTAATAATTGATTAAAATGACGGATTAATGAAGTAAAACTAAGTATAATTAGCTAATCCGTTGCTGCTAATTAATGTCCGGATCCGGAGAGTGAAGCACTGGATTAATGAGTTAATGAGTTTACATAGTAAACAAGATTGGTTACAGCTAGCTACCATTCGGATATCACGGGAAACTAATTGTCGGGGTCCGGACTAAGGCGACCTGACTGTATGGATGTCCTGGAAAGACCTTTGGATTATGCCATTATTACATTGTAAACCAAAAGTAACTGTGTTCTTTAATCTGATTGGTTGAAAAACGTGATCAAATGGTATTTGATTCCCGGAAATTCTCTGCGTATTAATACATACAAACATCGCTCACACCATTGTATTGTTACGTCGACAGCTGTGATGACGTCATTAAAATCATATTGTGATGTAAAGTCTGAATGATGTCACAAATGAGCAGTTCCAGTTGCTATCATGGGAGACAGCCGAAACGGCCGTCTGATGACATTTCACTGCTGTACCCGTACTCGATGTCAATGAGTGCAGACACAAAAATATGTGTGGACCTTTTGGTTTACTTTTAGAAGTTTACCATATAATGATAAACATCATAGTTGGCGAATTGAGTGTTATTGAGTATTTGAAGCATCGAATATTTCATTTGAAACCTCCGGCTAACGCCGTCGGTTCCAAATGAATTCCTGTGCTTCAAATACTCAATAACACCCGGAAATTCGCCAACACATGATGTTTATCTCCTAATTATGCCTTGTGGAAGACAACTATTGATGGTATTGAATATTGTGTAACTTTAAGAGCTGTGTTTGTTTTTGTCTTTGCAGGACAAATGAAAAGACGTTTGGTCAGAACACTGGTTGGCTGTTTCTAGATGCTGCTGACAGTCTGTTTGTGGTAAGTTTGATGGTCTGTCAGTGTCGGAGGGGAGAGTGAGTGGAAGTGGTCCCTTGATCCATCCAAATCACAAATTTTATGGATTGACAGCTTCTGTAACGTAATAGATGTAATGTTTCGGTGTAGATGCTGACACTATTATCAATCAAATCATTAGGGGTGGGTACTGCAGAGAATTTTCACATTGCGATATATTGCAATGTGAAAGCATATATTGCGATATGTATTGCAATATATTGCATGAAGTATTCTTAAACACAAAACTACTTATAATCGAGTGATGCTTGATTTATAAAGCTAAAACACAACAAGATCACTACCCTTGATTAAGCTTTAATAACAACTTTCAGTCATAACAAAATAAAAATGTAAATAATATTTGGCACAAATGAAACAAGGAAATATCCGAAGATTTCCGAGTGTTACAAAGTTTTCCGAACGCAAGTCAAAATACCGGTTTTCGATCAGCGTATCGCAATACGTATCGTTTTCATGTCTGAACCGGTAAATACCGGTAAACCGGTTATATTGCGAAGCCCTACAAATCATCATACCAGCTTCTGAATGTCACTTAGAGAAGAAAATGACTGACTGGTTGGGTGGGTTCATAAATGGATAAATTGAGGAGTGATCTGAATGGTAAGGTGAGGTGATTAATAGTGTACATGTGGGTGCAAGTGGGGCCAGGTGGTGGGTAAAGTATGGTTGACTGTATAAGTGACATGTCACGTGGGTAGACTCTCTCGACATTGAAGTGTTTCTTCTCCAGCATGCTAAAGACCGAGTCTGGAAGTCCGCACCCAAGAAGAAGAAAACCGGAACTGAAGATGATGACAAGGTGAAGGAGGAACCAAGTATGTCCTCAATCAATGTTCTTGACAGGTTAAATATATGTAGCCCAGACTGACAAATGACAGATTCGGTTAATAACAGTTGGGGGCCTAGCAGTTAAAGCGCTCACTCATCACATCAAAGACTTTGATTCAATTCCCAAGACGGATACAGCGTGTGAAGTCCTTTGATGGTGTTCCCCACTTTGAAATTGCTGAAATATTGCTAAAAGTGGTGTAACAACCACGCTCTCCTGCCCGCCCGCCCAAATCCCTCCCACCCAAATCCCTCCCAAATCCTTCCCTCTCTCCCAAATCCCTCCCTCTCTGCCTTCCTCACTCAGCATGAAAACACAAGATAACATAAGAAATGATTGATTTCCTATGATATAGAAATTATTGTATGTCTTGAAACACTGACTAAAGAAATATTCTCTCTCAAGCAGAAAACCAAGCTGCCCAACCATAAATATTTAATGGATTGTCCATAATGTGAACTGTGTTCTCGCTGTAGTCCCAGTGCTGGAGGAGTGCCCCAAGTGGAAGGTGTTGAAGGAGGTGCTGCAAGAAATTGAAGAGGAAAACAAAAAGAGTGACCCTGACCTTGGCCCTGGTCGAGTCCTTGTCTGTGCCGAGGATGACCGCACATGCAGCCAGTTGAAGGAGGTAAGACACCGATCTTCATGACACATTCAGGCCAATAACAAGTTCAGGCCAAATGTCAAGGTCGTTGCAAACATAGCTATAAGTACATTTACCAGTGATGAGTTGAACAATCCGGCACCCTTCTTTTGTTTCAGTTCCTGTGTGATGGCGGCAAGTCTATGTTAGCCCGACTCTACAACAAGTTCCTAGCTGTGAAAGGCGGCCATGTTGAAGGGGAGAAAGATGTAAGTGGAGGTTACACTATTTGTTTCTCAAAATTTGAAGTAATTCATTTGATTCACTTCAACAGTGTAGACACACATTCAGTCTTTATTAAATCTACATTGCCATGTACATACTTACCTTTATGTATGGAGCAATGTCATTGTGCTTTCAGAGAAAGCAGTTTTCAAGGAAAAGGAAAGGTCACGGCAAGGGTCAAAAGTCAGCTCCTGAAGTGTTGACCTTGACCCAGATGATTGATGCAAACAAAGAGTTAGCTGAAGGAGACCAGGTGACAAGATTGATTTCTGAAATACCTTTTAATTTACATATTGTTTGCACATTTAGGACACTAACAACATAGTTTGTTCAAAGTCCACCTGTAGGTGAGACTAGAAAGCCTCTACCCTCTGAAACCAGTGCATCACACAACAGACACTTCCTCCAAAAGCAGCAAGGTGCATGACTCAGGACTTGTCCCCAGTAGGGGGCCTGTTTCTTGTTAGGTATAGAACTCATGTTCTAGAGCCACTGGAGCTGTCAGTAGACCTGCTATGTTTTAGTTGGTTGATGGTATCTTTGTTCCCCAGCAACTGTTGCTCATGCTATTAACCAATAGGTTGCTGGCCCAGATTTGATTGTTACACCTAGGACTTGAAATTTTATTCTGATGTGTGGTTGTGTCATAAAACAATATGGCCACCAGGGCTTCCATTTTGAAAATCTGTGAAATGTTTACTGGAGGACTGGATACATTTGGTTGGATGTTTGTATTTGTTATGACATGAAGAACAAACTCTGTTTCAGTGGGAAGTAGACGTGATGTATACCATCATTCCTAACAGAATAACATGGAATCTGAATTGTGCACATGTTTTTAATCAGGCTGTTTTCACATTCACTCATAATGTTGGACTTTTTTCTCATTAAGAACATGTTATCTGCAGCACTCTGATACCTCAGATGACACCCCCCTGTCATCCCAAGACGCCTACTACGGGGTTCTGCCAGAGCCGTTGACCATCCTGCACCCCCTCCACGGCTGCACTGATCCCCATGGACTGACCCGCACCCTCCGGGAGGTGGAACCCAGATATGTTGTGTTGTACGATGCCGACATGCAGTTTGTACGACAGATAGAGGTGGGCACTTGTATGGAGGACCTATTGTCTGACAAATACACTGTAGTACTGTAAAACAGGATCAGTGTTTATTATCTTAATCTTGAGGGTGGTTTGTGGCTTGAATGGCACAGTAGATTGGTGGATACTGGTGTGATATAACTATCGGTGTTTAAATTTCTCAGTACCCAAGATAAAAAAGTCCCCTGTGGGACATGAAAATAATTGCCTTGTACCAATATCGATGAAATGGATCACTTTCTATTTTGTTTGTGTATTTGGATGAAACGTTTTGATATACATCATTATACAGTGAGGTGAGGTGAGGTGAAATTGGGTTTTATGTCGTGCTTGAGAATATTTCGCTCATATGACGACGTGTATGCGTGTGTATGTGCGGCTGCTTGTACTAGCCCAGACTTAAGCTGGTTTTATAGTGCTAGCCCACTGATACCATGCCGCAGTGAAGCATGAATACCCCATTCAGACACATTATACTGACTCCGGGCCGACCAGTCCTTGTTGTACCCATTAATGCCGAGCGCCAGACAGGGACCAACAAGTACCATATTTTAACGTCTTTTGGTATGACGCGGTCGGGGATCGAACCCGCGACCTTCTGCTCTCCGGGCGGACGCTCTAACCACTACACCATGGAGGCGGTCTCATTATACAGTGGTCAGGCAGGACACTCTAGTATATATCTTGATGACACAGGTGTAACACGTGACCAGTACATACCTGGTAATATATCCAGGTAAAACTTATGCTTGACAGGTGTATCGTGCCACACGACCAGAGGTCCCGCTGAGAGTGTACTTCCTGCTGTATGGCAGCTCGGTAGATGAGCAGAAATATCTCACCACTCTCAGACGGGAGAAGGATGCCTTTGAACATCTCATCAAACAAAAAGCTGTGAGTGTCGGTCAATAACAAGAGTGGAACCCTGCCATTTATTACAGGGGGTGGTAATTTATTATAGGTGTTGATGTAGGTAGTGGTATTGGTCTCATATCATATTTGACTGAGCTGCCATTTTATTTAAAATTAGTTCATGGCCCCCCAAATAATGCCAGAACTCTTCATAACCACCATCTGAAGGTAAATTAAATGTTATAGTAGTTTGTATGACCAGAGGGGCAATTGTGTAGCCTAGTGGTTAAAGTGTTCACTCGTCACGCCGAAGATCTGGGTTCAATTCCCCACATGGGAACAATGTGTGAAGCCCATTTCTGGTGTCCCCTGCCGTGATATTGCTGGAATATTGCGTAAAATTAAAACTAAACAACTCACTTTTATGACCAGATTTCCAAAACTCATTTGCTTCTACCGAAACACAGGGCCCCTGTTAAATGTATCCTAAAGGCTTTTATACCAAGGGCTTTTGTCTCTTGTTGCAACAACTTTATACATGAAAATTAAGACAAAAATTAGATCATACGTTAATAATTTTATATGCAACATTAATTTAAGTAATTATGTAAAATTTAAAATGTTTCTTGAAATCAGACAATGGTGATCCCAGAGGAGAGGGATGGTAAACTGGATGACGACCCGACCAACCAGCAGAGAGTAGCACGGAGATTCGGAACTACTCCAGCAAATGAAACTGTCAGCTCTCGGAAAGGGGGCGCAGTCAAAGAAGTCCAGCAGAGAGTAGGTTCCGATATATGTGTTTAGATATAGATTTGAGGGATTTGAAATGGATCAAAATTTTTTACTGATGACAAGCGGTCAGTATCGCTGATTGTATAATATTTTATAACTTGAAATATACAATACATTTCATTTGATGGCACATATTTGTACCTTACTTTTCTTGATTAATTCTTTTTCAGTATTATTGGATTTGGGAGACAGATGTGCTAATGATTGAAACTATGAACTACTCTCATTGGTCTGTTATTGGAATAACTCTTTTAATGTTTTCTCCTGATCGTGGATGATAATTATGGTTCCAGGTGATCGTAGACATGAGGGAGTTCCGCAGTGAATTACCGTCTCTTATTCATCGGAAAGGAATCGACATTGAACCAGTTACAATAGAGGTGAGTGGGATCGGAGACTTTATGGGAATGGGAAACATGTGGGATTGTTTTATAGATCTTTTTGCAAATCCTGCTATTTCAAGCTAAATAATTATCTTCATTATTGCCAAATAGGTTCATTCCGATCTGAGGTCTGTTATGTCTTTGCAAGCCATACATATTTAGGTCAGGATGTCTATCGATCTTGAGACAATTTAAGGAATTTCATTCCTTTTACACTGTTGACTGACAAACATGTCTTCACTTTTACTGTATCATTAGTAGCCATAGTTACGTGGTTTGTTTATTATGCTCAGGTAGGGGATTACATCTTGACCCCTGACATTTGTGTTGAGAGGAAGAGTGTGAGTGATCTGATTGGATCTCTCAACAATGGCCGACTCTACAACCAGTGCGTCTCCATGTGTAGATTTTACAAGAGGCCCGTTCTGCTGATTGAGTTTGATGCCAACAAGTCCTTTGCTCTCCAGGTGGGTAGAACTGACACATTAGGCCTATGTATATGACATTAGCTAACTGTAGTGTTGCTAGTTGATGTGTCAATAAGAGTGGTATTTAATCGTATTTATTTACTCATTGTTAACTAGCTGGCAAAGGTGTCTGGGGTGTAGGAACATGTTGCTGTTTAGAGTTATGTCCCTTAGTGCCAGGATCTGCTGTTTTGGGTTTGAATCCCAGGTTTACCAAAGTTATAAGACCAGGTCTGTGAGCACCATACACAGAGTCATGCAACATGGGTTTCACAGAAGCGATAACAATTTACAACTTGTATTACTTTTGACAGGGGCAGTGGGGTAGTCGAGTGGTTAAAGCGTTTGGTAATCACTCCAAAGACCGGGTTCGATTCCCCACATGGGTACAATGTGTGAAGCCCATTTCTGGTGCCCCCTGCCCCCTGCTGGAATATTGCTAAAAGCAGAATAAAAAACTATACTCACTCACTCACTCACTTGAGTACTCACGCCATAACATGACTGAAATACTAAACCGAACATGATATTTGCGTTGCTATATATCCTTAACATATGATAAACGTTAACAATGTATACAAATCATGCTGTTGTTTGTAGGGCAAGTATCCAATGTCCAATGATATTTCCATCCAAGATGTATCGTCCAGGCTGTCCATCTTGACCCTGCACTTCCCCCAAGCTGAGAATCTTGTGGTGCCAGAGTCCCTATGCCACTGCAGAATTGTTTGAAGAACTGAAGGTTAGTCTAACTGTATAAACTGTTTGAACCGATGGAGAGACGCCATGGTATTAAATGTACCAGCGTCTTATACTGTTTGAACTAATTGTAAGACTCCATGATATTAAATGTACCAGTCATAGCATCTTACACTGTTGTAATACCTAACACAGCATACAGTCTCTTCAGAGAAAGGAAACATTTAGTGATTTCTTCACTTTTAAAAGTTTTCATTACAATTTGATGAATAACATTTGAACTAGTTGAACAAAACATTTGAACAAAATAACACAAATATATGTCATAACAGGACATATTTTATTGAATTAATTATAAAATACTACTCTGCTGGGATGTTAAATATGTTCTAAAGTGTTCCAAAACGTTCGCTTTTTCATTGACTAAAGCTACTTCTATAATTCCCTTCCTATCCGCTTTAATGGTGGAATACATAGTTACCACTGTATGTGTGGAATATACCATCAGGATATGTGGTGTGTCATGAAAAATGTCTTTGCTTCAAGCCCCAGCCCATAATCAGGTCATAGTCTCTGAAACAAAAGTTAAAAATATGATCCTGTTCTGGCATTCTTTAAATCCATTTTATCTTGTGGGAAATTTGTTTAGTTGATACATTTTTGTTCTGTGTGTATTATTGCCAGTTTTGAACTTTTCTGCAGAGGTAATGAACCTATTTTACAGAAAGGTCGTCCTCAGCCTGATGCAGCGACTGCGATGACTGTGACGACTGGGGAGGGAACAGTGGAGTGGACAGACAAGTACAACCATAGTCCTCAGGTGAGTTGGGAGTGAACAGGTGTGTGGTAGGTTATAATGCAATGTAACATAAGGAAATGATGAAAAGCGACATCATTGAATTTGAAGACTTCCTAACATCTTGCAAAATGTGTGATTGGTTGTAAGTTGCATGATAACAGCAAACAATTTGAGTTATGTCCCTTTGGTTATCAGTGAAGTTATTTTCAGTAACTCATATTCGCATTGCTTTTGAATTCATTCTTGATAAGGTGGTGGGGTAGCCTAGTGGTTAAAGCATTCGCTTGTCACACTGAAGACCCGGGTTTGATTCCCCATGGCAATGTGGCATTTCAAAATTGACCAGGTTTCTACAGTTCAGTTCGCTTGTGCTGTGTGTAGGTTATTCTATGAATATTGAAAAAGTATGTTTCTTTCTCTACAGGACTTCCTGCTAAGAATGCCAGGAGTGAACTCCAAGAACTACCGCTATATCATGAATAAAGTACAGGACTTGTCCGAGCTAAGCACGTTGTCGGAGGAGGAACTGTCAAGCATTATGGGTAATGCCCAACAAGCCAATCAGCTCTATACCTTCCTTCACACAGAACAGAAACAGATGGAGGTTGTAGCCACCTCAAGCAAATCACGATTTGAAAATAAGAAAGCTTTTAAACGAAAGAGGTGATATCCCTTTCAAATTAATTGTGGAAAATTCTGAAAAAATGTTCTGGTATGATGTTCAGTGATGATATCAGGTATGATGTTCACTAATGATATTCAGGTATGATGTTCAGTGATGATATCAGGTATGATGTTCACTAATGATATTCAGGTATGATGTTCAGTGATGATATTCAGGTATGATGTTCACTGATGATATCAGGTATGATGTTCACTAATGATATTCAGGTATGATGTTCAGTGATGATATCAGGTATGATGTTCCTCTTCACCTGTAAGAAGTAATGCTAAAATGATGATACAAGCTCTTGGCATGTCACTGACTGATATCAAAAGCAGTAACTCTTGGAAACTTGACAAATGGAGCAAGCACAACACATGGTGCATATTGAACAGGCTGTTTACGGACTCGCTGTGAACAAGGTTGAGTGTTGAACAGATGTGTTGAGGGTAACACAGTGGGCACACTTTGTAACCAAAATGTAATTGTTGCACTGAAATGGTTGCAGCGTCTCAAGAACTACTTGAAGAAGAATTAAATGGAAAGGATGAATTTATTGTGAGGGATACTGGAACCTATTGAAACACTGACCCAGAAGTCTGTTATCAAGAGACTTGAAAGTTCTAGAACTGACCAAATGAGATGCCATTTCAAAATTGACATGGCACACAAAATATTGTATTTAAACTTTTGTTTAAAAAATGAAATTTTGAAATGATGCATATACTTGTCTTGTTTTCTATTTTCCATTATATGTGTTAGTGAGGGATGAATGGTTGATCTTGTGTGACACATTGGCCCATTTCTGGTGGCCCCACCATGATATTGCTGGAATATTGCCAAAAAGTGGCGTAACACCATCCTCCTATATAAAGTGTAGTGAGTAAGTGAGTGAGTATGGTTTTATGCCGCTTTTGGCAACATTCCAGCAATATCACAGTGGGGTACAAGAAATGGGCTCCACACATTGTACCCATGTGGGGGATCGAACCTGGTATTTCCATGTGACCAATGGACACTTTAACCATTAGGCTAACATTACATGTAAAGTGTAAACGTAAAAATATTAAGCCCTGTTTAAGTAAACTCCCCCACTGACTCCTGTGGTCTGAGCCACCCTGGGTTGCATCCTCTTGATGTAGGTTCGAATCCCAGATATCTCCTGATTATGATCCTTGATCTGTAAGAACCAAACCTGTTCTATGACTACCGCATGCGCCATATTGTTGCTCTTTCAAAGTAACTGATACACCATGATATAACTGAAATACTGATGTTCCAAATGGACTTAACTGAATTCACTTCTATCCATGAATCAACAGAATTCATGTTTTTCTTCAAAACACTCCTTCCACCACATTTCTCTGGTTCATATGTTCTCAAGATCTAGTATGGTTCCATACTTTGGAGTCATCAACCTGCCCTCTTTTGCGTCACCTGTGTTACCCTTTCGCGAACACCTTGGGTCAGCGCTGACTTTCAGTGATGCACTGATATACTTTTTACCGTAAATTTGCATTTTGCTTCCATTGGAATCTGTTTGGGCGGATGATGAGACTGATTTTTCTCTGCATTGACATTTATTATTTCGGTCACCAGAAACATAAATACACACATTAGAGTTTTTACCTTTGTTATATTTAATGTTTTTTATTCTGTTTCACATGTAAATATACATTTGGTCAACATTTTGTTGTATTCCGTTGTTCATACATTAGGTGGAAACAACAACAAACCACAACTCTTCCTAAGCAGGTTCCTTACCTGAGAAGGTAATTTAGGTAAATAACATTGGCTGATATAATTAATGTGGATCTATCGCCACAATATTGCCCTAAATATACTCATGGAAACAAATAAGGGAACACATGGAAGTACAAGTGTTCCTTTATTCTTTTCCAGAATTTCACCCACAGTGCAAAACCTGGAAAAGAATAAAGGAACACTTGTATTTTCAGGTGTCCCCCTGATTCATTTTCATGAGTATATATACTACTCAATTTTTGATAGGGATAACAAAATATGTCATTGTATTTGAATATACTATTGATGCATAGTAACCAGTTTGCTGTCATGGAAAGATGAGAGATATCCCTATCAAAGTTGTGTAGTATAGGTAGCTCCTGTTACAAGAAAAACAATTCAGTAACCTCTGACCAGAAGGATCTAGCTAGATTTATGAACATATCTGTACTCAATTTGAAAAGTTGCATAAATACACACTTAATCACGGAAACATCAACACTAGGTTTAGAAGAATAGACACACGTCAACATATTAAATGTGTCAATTATGGCTATATGTTTGGAATATATCAATCACAGAAACTTGCGACATCTATGCAAATCTAAAACACAACTCATCTTCACAGTTCATTGTACAAGAGGGATATATACTACTCGATATTTGCTAAGGTAAATAGTCATCTTAAGTCAAAGGTATGGTCCTTGGCAAATATTGAGTGTTATTCATACATCAATAACCCATGCTTTAAAGAAGCGACTAACGGGATCGGGTGGTCAGGTTGCTCATGCTGTTAATCACTGGATTGTGTGGTCCAGACACGACCGCCCGCCATATAGCTGGAATATTGCTGAGCCCATTGTAAAAATAAACTCACTGACTCATTCATGCATCAGCGAGTAGAGTATATATTTCTTTATTGGAATGTCCAGCCAAGGCGTGACTCCCATTTATATGACATTTATATAAGATCAATAAATTAATTACGTTATTATCATTTGTCGTTTCAAGCTGTTCTAAGCTATACTACTCAAAAGTAGTTAAATAATACTGTATATATAGCTAATCTGCCATAGCTGGTGAGTATTGAAATGCACGGCCTCCCAGTTGTAGGCGTTCGGTGTTTTAAGTAGAATACTTTATCTCTATCTCACAATACAGATTTACAAAGTGCAAATCAAAGGACTAACATATCCTGTCTATAAACATATCGAAGGACTACATATACTGAACAACATTAGAAATGCACCACCCATATAATACGAAATATCCCGTCAGACTGCAATGCACCCATTATATCTGAGTATCCTCGGTGCATTTTAGTGTGGTGCTTTTCTAATGTTCAGTATATTTACGAAAGCAACCAACCATTGTATATTATTTTCGCCATCGATCCTGATCGCGGCCACTTAGACACAGGTTTATCCCGAACATTTACATAAACTCAACGGCAACTCAAGACTCCTTGCCACGAAATACTACATTCAACATATCTTGTCAGATCTATCGCACACAAGTCGGTTTCAGACTTCTCTCTCATACAGCCGAACACATCTACCATACAGAAGAATCACCGGTGGAGTTTCACCCCCCTCATTCATACACATTCACAAGTTCCATCAAACTCGACAACAGGGCTTCCTGACCGGGCCGTTAGTAGATAACGTTATATTTGGGTCACATGTTTCATCTATGTCAGTGACCATGTCCCAGCTGTTGATGATGTCCTCCGCTAGGATACGAAAGGCGTCGTCCACCTGACTGTTTTCCTTCACGCTGGTTTCCAGGTAGGGCATGCCACGACATTCTGCAAACTCCTGAAACAGGTGAACGTGGACTTGAGGCTACTGTAGTTCACCTTTACTCTAACAATCTTTAGTAGTATTTTAGAATGACTAAGTGAGTTTAGTTTTAAGCCGCTTTTAGCAATATTCCAGCAATATAAAGGTGAGGGACACCAGAAATTGACTTCACACATTGTACCCATGTGGAGAATCGAACCCGGGTCTTCAGTGTGGCGAGCAAACGCTTTAACCACTAGGCTACCCCACCGCCCCAGAAACTGTCGTATCTTTGAAGTCAGAGGTGACAGGTGCACTTCAACACCTGTATTTGTTCCATCCAAAGTTTTGGTACAGATAGTTGTACTCATAGACAGCAAGGATATCATATTTTCTTATGCATTTGACTAAATGATTTACAATGATTTATATCCTATCACTGATTGTGATGATTCTAACTAAACTATTTTGAATCTGGTCCTAAAAGTACCACTTATCAATACGATGACACCATATGTTGAGCACGTTCATAAACGCTGCGTTTACTACCAAACAGAACTTAAGGAACGCTCGCTTCCTTCATATTACTATAGTTAATCAAACATGGCATGAAATGAAATAAACTTCTTTTGAGTACATTTCCTGTACATGTCAAAGAGTCATAAGAAAGTTCGCCGTTCCCTCATTCAATGGATTTCAAAATAGGGACAATGGTCCACTTAAACGGGGTAGGTCTTATCTGACATAATATCATGGACGAGTTACTACAGAAATGCGTATTCGGGATCGTTGAAGTAATGTTATGTATAGCTACTCGAGTGTCGATTATAGGTAAAGGTTTGCTTCAGGTCACATAACGGTGGATCGTCTAGCGCAGTATCGTCAATCGTTGCCCTTGAGCTATAGATAATTACAGTCGTTACACCCTTACATAATCATGATTCGGGGGACAATTGCTGTAACTCTATATTACAGATAGTCATTGAGTCACACTAAATTGCTGAAAGGAACAAGGGCCGGAATACGACGCTATGGACCTCTTTCAGTCCGGGGCCGTTGGGGTAGCCTAGTGGTTAAATCGTTCGCTCGTCACGCCGAAGACCCAAGTTCGACTCTCCACATTTGTACAATGTGTGAAACCCATTTCTTGTGCCCATCCCCATGATATTGCTGGTATATGCTAAAAGCGGCGTAAAACTAAACTCACTCACTCTTTCAGCCCGATGAACCTTAAACATACAGGACGCGATCAAATAAGGTCCTCAAAGTGTTCAGGTAAATGAAATACACTTCAGGTTTAAGAACCCCGCTTAAGTCAACAGATCAGAACGTTGTTTTTTTATGTACGATCTCGCAAAAAGCAATATTCTTGTATAATAGTCTGTGTATTTGTTACACAAAGCCTATGACTATACAGTGTGTGGGATAGCCAATGACGTCATCTTTGGAGTATTTCGTTTGACTAGCAAATCAAGCGTGATCAGAAATACAATGAGCTAATACAATGTGAACATGTACAATGTCTGACCTTGGCTGTGCTCTCAGGAACAACCCTGTCCTTGTCATCTTTGGAGTATTTCGTTTGACTAGCAAATCAAGCGTGGTCAGAAATACAATGAGCTAATACAATGTGAACATGTACAATGTCTGACCTTGGCTGTGCTCTCCGGAACTACCCTGTCCTTGTCCAGGTCCGTCTTGTTGCCCACGATCATCTTGTTGACCCCTTCCGTAGAGTACTGTTCACACTGATGAATCCACCTCTCTATGTTGTTGAATGATGTCTGTTAAGATATACGACAATGCAATTACAGACATGCATACAGGGAGTGAGTGAGTGAGTGATAGTTAGTTTTACGCCACTTTTAGCAATATTCCAGCAATATCACTGCAAGACACCAGAAATGGGCTTCACACATTGTACCCATGTGGGGAATCGAGCCCGGGTCTTCAGCGTGACGAGTGAACGCTTTAACCGTTAGGCTAACCCACCGCCCCGCAACATGCATACATATATACCGATGGATAAATCCAAAATATGTCTGGACTGATCTATATTATTTGTCGAATTAACACCAAAAATAGCTGAATGTATAAGTTAGAGATCGTTGTCTTCGTCATTAGCGGTCTAAAGAATCGGAAGTAGAACGACGACTTGCATTCGTTACGACGTTTTCCGAATGCTTGGTCGTCTCATACAGCCCGCAATTAACAATGTACATTTCATACTCGACATATTATATGTATACCATTTAGCTAATCTGTTGGTGTGCAAACATGAATCAAATAACATATACTTTTGTATTTTTTAATACATCGTAGAATTGTCATTGGCAGGTCTGTACCCTGCAAGATCTTTGTGTGGTATGAGAATATATGACCGATCATCACATACAGTCAATATTGTTAACACACGTAATGGTTAAGATGCGACTGACAAACTCGATTAATGCGCGACCAGATAGCCTAATTATGTACATATACGCAGGCTCATAGGTATGACAAAACATAAATCAAAGAAAGAAAGAAACAAGCACATATTAAATCACTGTTCTAAGGAAATGGTTTCATAAAGGAATGAAACATCAGGACACAAAGATAGGAATACCCAGCGTTTACAGGTCCTATATACCTGACTCGTGATGTCGTACATGATGATGATGCCGTGGATGTTCCTGTAGTAGCTGGATGTAATTGCACGGAAGCGTTCTTGTCCACTTGTATCCCACTGGAATCAACAACACCCACAAAGATGTACACATCAATTGATGGACTGGTTAGCAGCGAACAGTTAGAGAATATAACTAGCCATAGAATAACTGGTCTTGATTATTTGATGAAACACATTCCATTATGGATAAATGATACAATACATTATATGAATGGATCACTGCAAACCGGTGAGGACACCCGGTCAGGATTAACTGACGCCCAAAAGAAACTTTACAATTTGAAGAATGAAACTACAAAAAAATTACAACACATGTTCAAACTAAACCAATGCAAAACACATCTTCCTAACACAGGAATGCTCTATGCTGAAAGGAATTTTTATTTTTTTGACAAAGGTTGATCTGGACGTGTGTCCAGATCAACCTTTCGTCAAAAATTAAAAATTAAAAACAAAACAAAATAAAACACTGCAGTCAGGGTGTAAAATGATATGTCACCCTGATTCAAACATAATTACTTCATGCATCTATCCTTTGTAGTTTCTATATACTAGATTGGCGGCGATAAACAACCAACCAACCAACTATACTAGATACTAGATTGGTGGCGTTAAACAAACAACCAACCAACTATACTAGATTGGTGGCGAACAACCAACCAACCAACCAACTAACTACTAGACTGATCTAACAACAATGGTAAAGTTTCTTTAAAGATCACATATACCTAGGGGAACAAATACATAAATCACTAACTGGCATCGTTATAAATGAAACCCCGTCATTAAAACTACTCATTTCGACCTTTAATTGATTTATATCGACCTTTTTGACAACAGTGCACAATTCTCACCCGCGAACGAAATTTCAACCAATCAGAGCGGCGCGTCTCTGTGACGTCATATGAGGAATAGCTTTGAGTGCCGATGCAGAATTCATCTACATTTTAGGGGTAAATTATCTTGTTTACAGGCTTGTATAAACCTGAAATCGTGACAATTGTTGTGGTAAATGAAAGCTATATGTTCTCACAATCTACTGTCATTTAATTTTGTCTCCTGCTTTGCCCTAGTTTCCGAGTTACAACTTGTTTTCATAGACGATTCTGTCAAAATCGATTGGTGTCGTTAGGCCCTATTTGTATAATGACTGATCCAAATTTATCCCATTTCTGTGCTTTTTACCTCGATATTTAATCATGTCATGTAAAACCTGTTTGTATTCTCAAAACAGTGTCGGCCCATAAGTTTTCACATGCAATACAGCAATTAATACTCCCTTGTTGTAACCCGTGTTAGCTCTCTAGGTGGTATAACCCTACACATGTTATTTGTCATCATTCACTTGATGGTCAGTTAATGAATTTATAACAGGTATAATTAGTTATAACACACTTAGATTACCCGACAAAGGTTCCCATTTGGCATTTCTTGTGTCTGGAGTAAATATTCAACTTTATAAACATCGATCAAAGGATTAACCGATAACACGCTGATTGGTTAATTACTTTTATCTTACACAGCGGAATTGTCACAAGGTAGTGTTTATGTATGTAGATTTACTAATCTATACTGAATACACTCTGTCGTGTCGGTGTCTGCGTAAAACAACGTCCTTCTTTCAAAGGATTAACCGGCAATACATTGATTGATTGCCCATTATTGGCTAACTAAATTACTGTTTTAAAGAAAGGCGGACATTATGCAATTAGTTGTCAGGTGTGCTATCTTGGGTGACCAATGAGGACTATACACCAATACCTGAAAAGATTTATCACTTTTTCGTATATTAAACTGTTTAAAGACACATCATTTGGAACAGTTTTGTGGATATCTGATGGATACATTCCTCGAACAAGGTAATGGCCTGATATTGTTCCTATAACTTTAATCTGTTTTAATTTTAATATTTGCATTTTGTTTTATTCATTTGTCGTAGCATTCAACAGAATCATTGTTTTCCCCGTGAAGTGTAATGAGGACAGACAACATACACTAGAGTGTGTGTGTGCGAATTATGATTCACGTTGGCAAACTACAGTGTACATGTATAAAATGTCTAGATATTACAGTTCTGTTATAAATTCACTATAAGTATCAACAGATCGTCTGCTTTTTATTTAGTTTCAAAATGCATACAAGTATGATAATAAACTAATTAGGATTATAAGATAAATATAAAAGACGCACATTGACTAGTAACTTTACAGACTGGTGAGTGGACATTAACCATGTGAATGTAGCAAGGAAATTTATCGCGCAGTATTGTGACTTCGACCCCCACCTCGCTTCCGTGGAAGAAATCGTTATGTTATAAGTTGTGTCATGCAAAATCCGTTTTGATTATGATTCAATACATATTTAACTCACGAGTAGAAAGTAGTTTTGATTTTCTAGCGAGATGAAAACAAACTATAATCTCATTAATTCTAACAGACTTTACGATTATCAAAAATGGCGGCGCCCTGTCGCGAACATCCGCCAGTGTGAGGATAAATTACTTTATTTAGGTTTGTTTTCACCGAGTTGCAAAATCAAAACTACTTTCTACTGGTAGTAAAATATGTATTTTATTGATAAGTCAATAGGATTTAAGTATTCAGTTTACTTGCAGCCCGTATATCATTTCTATAAAATCGTATATTCTGATATGCTATACTTACGATCTGAAGTTTGACAGCTTTGTCTTCCACAAATATCGTTCTGAATTTCTGTAAGAATATGTGCATGCAGAGATCAGGTATCTCAAACGTATTTCTTTAAAAATAACTGCGATAATCCATCCCATCATTCATTGTATCAAAGACCTTTTCTTGTTTGTTTGAATTGCTTGTAATGTTGATAATTAATATCGTTTCCGTAGATACGATCCCGTACATAAATAACATGGACACTGACATACTAAAGTTATATAATGACGGATCACACTTGTGCTAGAGCGATGGGTTAGCTTAGTGGTTAAAGCGTTCGCTCGTCACTCCACAGACCTGGGTTCGATTCCCCTCTTCGGTACAATGTGTGGAGCCCATGTCTGGTGTTCCTGCTGTGATATTGCCAGGACACTGCTAAAAGCAGCGTGAAGCCATACTCTCTCACAAAGGCAACTCGATGCATACTTACAAAATCGACTCCAATCGTGGTGTTGAATCTCTCTAGGTACGTGTTCTCCTGGAAGGTAAAGAAGAAAGATTATTATGAAGAGTAGTTGTCTTTGGCTTCAATATCAGAGACACTTGCGCCATGGAGTCGAACTAAATCTGTTACAGATTCACAGACATCTTGCTTCAGTGTTGGGACCCGTGAAGATAATTTATAATTTGTCTTCAGCTACTTATGCTTGTCGTAAGAGGAAGCTAACGGGCCCGGGTGGTCAGACTCGCTGACTTGGTTGATAGATATCATGATCGTATCCCAATTGTGTAGATCGATGCTCATGCTGTTGATCACTGGATTTTATGGTCCACACTCGATGATTTACAGACCACCGCCAAATAGCTGGAATATTGCTGAGTGCGGCGTAAACTAAAAACTCACTGAGTTGAAAGGTGACAGTCTCTGCCGTCACAATACCGTTTTAAATGAGTGATTGAGATTTACGCCTCTTTGAATTATAGCATTTCCCTTTCAGCTTCATGTCGGAGGAAAGCCCAGAGTGGTGTAAGACAACGTTCCTCGAAGATAATGTTTATTGTGTGTTCAAGGACGTGACAAAAGCCGTAGCCAAAATTACGTTTACTGTGGAACAAGCTGAGACCTTGTACGTCTAAACCATTTAATAAAACCAACGGATACTTGATCTAAGCATGACTCATTGAGATACTGAATTGAGACCGTCTTGATCCATTTGATTATTAATGTGTAACATAGTATGTATCGTATCTCCACATCTTGTTTCGGTACTGACGTCACGCCAATATCGCTCCTATCAGTAAGTTCGCACTGAATGCTTGTCGCTCGCACGTGGTGCTAGTCGAACAAGGCTCAAAGCGAGGTCATGGCAGGTGTCCATGATTTGACGAACGCTTAGTCTCTAAAATGTTTATATTTGAAACAAATAACGCCATTTATATTTAAAAGGAGTCCCATTGAGATTTCAGATTCAGAACCTAAGGAAAGCTAGACTTACTTAATTCGTTTGGCCTTTAACCATTGCAGAAAGGCTTTGGCGGAGGAGAAAAGGGACTGTAAAACAGATTAGGTCCAGGGTTTTTATCATAATAGAATGGATATATAATATCAAGGATAACTGATATTCAGTTGGACTAACGCGGTCATTTTCTTCCAAATGACACGTGAACTGTCGATGTGTCCCAACAAATGTTCGCGTGGGAAGTTTTATCTAACAATAACGCAATCACACACGACGCCAATATTTCACAACACTTCCTTCCCGTCTCAAACACACAACGTGCATGCGCTTTGCACTTTAACATTTGAACCCATTGTTTCGGTGAGGTTGGTGATTTTTAATAACTGCGATTGCTTTCACTTTCTCTTTCCACAGGCAAAGAAGGAAGTAAAATAAATCACTTATTCATTAATACTATTAGTGAGAGTAAGAAGGACATAACCTTTTGAGGTGCTCCTAGATGCAGGTAATACCGCATCATATAGAGCTGAGGTTGGGAACGATGATATTCAAGACAAGCCGCTCCCGCGATGTACGTAACTGGAATACACAGTTTATCTCCGTTTCAAGGGATTACCTCATCTTCGTGTTTTTCATGATAAATTGAAACCGGTGACCATGTAACTCACCTGGCTTACCTGTAATTTAAGGAACTGACTCACATATACATGTGTCTTTAAGTAGACTGACATCTAGTCTCTGAAATGGTTTACCTAAAAATACTGTTCATAAAAAATATTCACAAAATATACTAAAAAGAAACTCAGAGACTTATTCATTTTCAGAAACTGAATTTTTTCCCTGAAAATGTGGAAATCTAGACTTGCCACATATTCTTGCATGGGCTTTCATGGGCTTTCTTTGGTATATACTCGTATATACATGACAGACTGGTATTTGTGTTACTTAAACAGTTTATGATCTGTTGCACGTATATATTTATATTTATTTTATTGACAGCTCTCGTCAGCACCTGTTGTGTAGGTGTACCACTTCAGTGAATCCAGCCAGCAGATTTGTTATATGGCGAGAACGACCGGTGACGACCCGGGTTAGAATTGTAATCAGTAACTCATACTTATCGCAACAGGCGACTAACGGGATCGGGTTGTCAGGCTCGCTGGCTTGGTTGACACGTGTCATTGTATCCCAATTGCGTAGATCGATGCTCATGATGTTGATCACTGGATTGTCTTGACCAGACCCGATTATTTACAGACCGCCGCCATATATTGTAATATTGCTGAGTGCGGCAACTGAACTCATTACTACATATGGCCCTGACAGTAAAGGGTCATGAGTTGGATCCACGACCAATGGATCCAAGCACGTTATGGCTACTATTGGCTTCATATAGAAGTGGCTACAAATGTTCACTTTCGTAGAAAACAAAATGTTTTTACATGTATTATGTCTTTTATGAATAATTTGAGTTTTACTCTTCTTAAAGTCAAAACTTAGTTCGTTGTTTTTAAAGTGGAATCATGTCCAGTGTCATCATCCGTGAATAGATCCATACAGTTGAGGGGCGGTGGGGTAGTCTAATGGTTAAAGCGTTGGCTCGTCACGCCGAAGACCCGGGTTCGAATCCCCACATGGGCACAATGTGTGAAGCCCATTTCTGGTGTCCCCCGCCGTGATGTTGCTGGAATATTGCTAAAAGCGGCGTAAAACCAAACTCAGTCAGTCCATACAGTTGATAGGTAGAATATAGAACGTCAATATTAGCACCACTATAGAGATTGGGAACGCCTGACTCTCTGACACTATTATGTGAACAGAAGACACGTTTTACAAACCTGAGGTAGACCTATAACCTTCTGACATACATGCATTGTGGGGTAGTCTTTACAACGATGTCCTCAAAGAGGCTGAACCAGTACCATACATACTATTAGAAATGTAGACTTTTGTATGTATGTACATCCGTCGACAAAGGTTCACCGACAACCACACGGGATAATATGTTGTAATTACAGCCGTGACGGGGGTAACCATATTGTACATTTACTTACCGTGAACCGGAGGAGGAGGGCCGACTTCCCAACCCCGGAGTCTCCTATGATCAGTATCTTGAAGGTATACTCCCTGGAAATAAGAACACGTCAAGAATTATGCCTTGAGTAAGAATACGATCAAGTGTAAGTAGTTGTCCATCGGGACCCCTATTTAAGTTTGAAAGAGGTATACCAAACAGATCAGGTAGTGAATGGGTGAGTGAGTTGAGTTCAAAGACGCCTTGAGCTGTATTCCAGTTATGTCATGGCACGTGACCATGGTGTGGGAGGTAAGCTCTGAAGTGATGCAGGTCTCAGTCCTTTACTATTTTGGTGAACCCATTGCAACAAGCACGTGTAAGTTGGTGGCAAACCTAGAAACAATCGGAGGCGAATCGGGATCTGAACCCACCACCATAGGTTTCTGGTGCGTCCAACACGTTTGCCAGTGAATTGCGGCCACCCGTATTCCCTTGATGAGGAGTGCCGAGAGGCGGTGGGATAGCCTAATGGTTAAAGCGTTGGCTCGTCACGCCGAAGACCCGGGTTCGAATCCCCACATGGGCACAATGTGTGAAGCCCATTTCTGGTGTCCCCCGCCGTGATGTTGCTGGAATATTGCTAAAAGCGGCGTAAAACCAAACTCAGTCAGTCCATACAGTTGATAGGTAGAATATAGAACGTCAATATTAGCACCACTATAGAGATTGGGAACGCCTGACTCTCTGACACTATTATGTGAACAGAAGACACGTTTTACAAACCTGAGGTAGACCTATAACCTTCTGACATACATGCATTGTGGGGTAGTCTTTACAACGATGTCCTCAAAGAGGCTGAACCAGTACCATACATACTATTAGAAATGTAGACTTTTGTATGTATGTACATCCGTCGACAAAGGTTCACCGACAACCACACGGGATAATATGTTGTAATTACAGCCGTGACGGGGGTAACCATATTGTACATTTACTTACCGTGAACCGGAGGAGGAGGGCCGACTTCCCAACCCCGGAGTCTCCTATGATCAGTATCTTGAAGGTATACTCCCTGGAAATAAGAACACGTCAAGAATTATGCCTTGAGTAAGAATACGATCAAGTGTAAGTAGTTGTCCATCGGGACCCCTATTTAAGTTTGAAAGAGGTATACCAAACAGATCAGGTAGTGAATGGGTGAGTGAGTTGAGTTCAAAGACGCCTTGAGCTGTATTCCAGTTATGTCATGGCACGTGACCATGGTGTGGGAGGTAAGCTCTGAAGTGATGCAGGTCTCAGTCCTTTACTATTTTGGTGAACCCATTGCAACAAGCACGTGTAAGTTGGTGGCAAACCTAGAAACAATCGGAGGCGAATCGGGATCTGAACCCACCACCATAGGTTTCTGGTGCGTCCAACACGTTTGCCAGTGAATTGCGGCCACCCGTATTCCCTTGATGAGGAGTGCCCGTGTGCGTGTGTGTGCTTGTACGTGTGTGTGTGTGTGTGTGTGTGTGTGTGAGAGAGAGAGAGAGAGAGAGAGAGAGAGAGAGAGAGAGAGAGAGAGAGAGAGAGAGAGAGAGAGAGAATGTGCATGCGCGTGAGCGTTGGGAGGGTTTCCACTCTCACTCTTATGCATTCTCATTAATGGAAGAGAGGCGGTGGGATAGCCTAGTGGTTAAAGCGTTTGCTCGTAACGCCGAAAAACCGGGTTCGATTCTCCACATGGGCACAATGTGTGAAGCCCATTTCTGGTGTCCCTCACCTTGATGGTGGTGGAATATTGCTAAATGAGTACAACTTAATTAACTCATTCACTCTCTCATTAATGGAAGATTGAAGGTTGGGAACGTATAACCACGCCAAATAATAAGTACATTTATTACAGAAGAATCAATACTCTTAGCGCATTGATAAGTCGACTGTTTACATGTTATCTTGCGGTTATGGCGGCATTTTTCCTTGCCCTGATATGACATACTAAGTGTCGACCTGTGGGGACGTGGTGTAAAGATAACTAGGTCACGCGGTTTGCCATGAGATAATCTTGTAAACAGAAACACAGGCATACTTCCCGCAGGGCAACATACATCAATATATCACACGTCAATATTATCTCCCTTCACACAACAAACTCTTTGTAAACACAGGCAGCATTAAACGAGCGTAATAATAGCACAGGAATGCTGTTCTCTTTGTACATCGTGTAGATCTATCGACCGGGACAAGACCATTCACCTAGCTACTGAGAACTCAAGCCAGATAGCCGGTGTGCGTGTATTGCTGAGAGAAAAAATCTACAAGCCAACTGGAGACGATCGACAAGCCTACCAAGATATGAGGGAAATAGCCAGACTATGACACAACATGTTCACTATTAGCACATGACATCTCTGTGCAATGTTTTGAGTGAGGTTATCGCTACATACATACAACCAGCTACAGAAAGAAAGGAATGTCACCCGACTCTCGCAGGAACGCGGTGGTGATGTCGCACGTTTACCACTTTGACGGAAACGTCGAACATCAAAGAGGTGCCGACATGGCAAGGATCGTTATCTGGGATTCGAACCCACAAGCCACCATACTACCACATGGCCACGTTTACCTACGGAATCCCCACTAGAACGTATAAAAATTACCCCAAGCTGTATAACAAAGTGATTCAGGTAAATTCAAAGTGTTAATTTGTTATGGTATCATTCAGTTCAATATACAGACGACAGACTTACGGTTCCGGCAATTGGGAACTCATCCCAGGTTTCTTCCACCTTTTCTTCTGAGTGACACACACACACACTAAAGTGTATATAATTTATCCTTCCATATAGAGTGACTTTGTAAGCGTCAGCGTTGAGCGTTGTGTGCCTAACAGTAAACTTATACAACTATAAGCAATGAATTCATCGGTCCTATTAATAGCTCCCTATGCCGACGGCCCACTGAAATAGACAGCGGTTACTGATACACCTCTATAGTGATTACAGTGAGGTTAAAGGGCACGCATGGTACTCCGTGATGGCAAACACTGTCCTACTTTCTCTCTGCTTGAATGAACATATTCACTGCGGAGTTCTGTACGACTTGTATCAGTTGTTGGACTTAACACGCCATGACTACATACAGTTGTCGTGTTATGGGAGTTGTGATATAGAAGATGCTTGATAATGGTATCGATAGTTTGTAACAGGTGCGTCCGTCCATCCGAATTGTGTGGGTTAAGACGGAGGTGCGGGTTGTTGCTGTAAATAGATCAATCGCTGATCGAAAGATAGTGGAGTTTTATAGATATGTTGCTACATTTATAGTAGGCCTATAGGGCTGGACGGGAAAGGAAGATGAATATATTAGTGCCTTCTGGTGCCGTGTGTTTTACAGCTTTGTCGATAACGCGGGACAAAATGAGATATGAAAAAGGGACATGTTCACCAAGTGAGGTATGAAAACAGCTTGTTTACAAATTGAGATATGAAAACAATTTGTTGACAAAGTGATATATTACATAAGCTTGTTCACAAAGTGAGGCATGAAAAGGAGAGAGCTCGTTCACAAAACGATACATGAAAAACAGTTTGTTGAGAAAATGAGGTTTGCAAAACAGCTCGTTCACAAAGTGAATAGGGAAACCTGCTTATTCAGAAAACGAGGTATGAAAGAGTTTTCCCACAAAGTGTGATGTGAAAAGAAGCCTGTTCACAGGGTGAGATATGAGAAACAGCTTGTTCACAAGGTAAGGTATAAATACCAGATCGTTCACAAAGTGAGGCATGAAAAACAGCTTATCAGAAAAGTGAGGTATGTAAACCACACAAGTGTTCACACAAAATATCATGAGGGGCGGTGGGTTAGCCTAATGGTTAAAGCGTCCGTTCGTCGCGCTGAGGTCTCGGGTTTGATTCCCCACATGGGTACAATGAATGAAGCCCATTTCTGGTGTCCCCCGCCGCGATATTGCTAAAAGCGGCGTAAAACCGTAATCACTCACTTACTATCATGAAAACTGTAAGACGACTTAATAGTTCTTTACTTAATGTAAATAGTAAAAGTAATACTTTGAAAAAGACATAAATAAACTTCTGGTGTATTTGGAAGAAATACTCGGAAAGGTTTTCATTCTGTTTTTCAGGTCATATTAAGCGAAACGAAGCTTTAAGGCTTATGTGATGGCCGATAGGTGGGTTGATAAATGGCGGAGTTGGTGAGTGGGCTGGTGTGTGATTGCTTCATTGAGTCGGTGAGTAGGTGGGCGATTTTACACCTAAATCACTGTGGCACATAATTAAACAGAGACGCACATCGCCTGGATAACACGCGCTACGTCTACGTTTGCGACGCATAGGAACGTCTTTGCCTACAACTACCTGATATGTCGATCCCATTCGCATCTGTGAGGTGAGGTGAAATTGGGTTTAACGTCGTACTTGAGAATATTTCGCTCATATGACGACGTGCATGCGTGTGTATGTGTGGCTGCTTGTACTAGCCCAGACTGAAGCTGGTTTTATAGTGCTAGCCCACTGAGATACCATGCCGCAGTGAAGCATGAATACCCCACACAGACACATTATACTGACTCCGAGCCAACCAGTCCTTGTTGTACCCATTAATGTCGAGCGCCAGGCAGGGACCAACAAGTACCATGTTAACGTCTTTTGGTATGACGCAGTTGGGGATCGAACCCGCGACCTTCCGCTCTCGGGGCGGACGCTCTAACCACTACACCACGGAGGCGGTCCATTCGCATCTGTAGTGTCGCAGGTTATAACAATCGTCAGTTATTGTCACAAATTCTCATGTACACCTGGAGGAAGTTTGTTTAACGATTTATTGATTGTTTTACTCCGCACTCAGCAATATTCCAGCTGTATGGCGGCGGTCTGTAAATAATCGCGTCTGGACCAGACAATCCTGTGATCAACAGCATGATCATCGATCTACGCAACTGGGATAAGATGCCACGTGTCAACCAAGTCAGCGAGTCTGACGACCCGATCCCGTTAGTCGCCTCTTACGACAAGCATGGGTTGCTGAAGATCAAGTCTTACCCAGATCTTCACGGGTGTAGTTTTACGAGTAAATACTTTTATAAATTAACATTTAAATTGAAATACAAAAACTGAAATCGATTGTGTTCTTGGCATAAGGTATTTGATGACCATTTAACCTGGAATAGGCTTCACACATTCCACGTGGGGAATCGAAAACGGTTCTTCAGCGTGACGAGCGAACGCTTCAACCACAAAGCTACCCCTGCGACCCCAGCTTCTCGTAACTGGCGGTAAAGGGCATCACCGGAATATTAAAATCTGGCTTTAATATTTCACATTTTCCTATTTGCGAAACTGATGGTAAAACAGCGATTTCTTTGTTACTACTACAGTGCGCTCAAGGTTTGTCACTGTAAGTAATCAGGAAAGGGCAATTAAAACCGATGGTTGATATCACAAGCGACGATCCATATGATGATCTATTCTGTCATGCAATATCCACTTACTTATATGCAACCCGTGAAGATCCGGGTTAGAATATTGATCTTCAGTAACCCATGCTTGTCGTAAGAGGCGACTAACGGGATCGGGTGGTCAGGCTCGCTGACTTGGTTGACACATGTCATCGGTTCCCACTTGCGCAGATCAATGCTCATGCTGTTGATCACTGGATTGTCTGGTCCAGACTTTATTTAGAGACCGCCGCCATAAAGCTGGAATATTGCTGAGAGCGGCATAAAACTAAACTCACTATTATTAAGCAAGTCTGGATATCTGGTGCTTTTGTCTGACATCTTATTGTCGCGGTCAGCAATATTCTCTCTGTTTTGCTGTCTGTAAACAATCGAGTTGGAATCCGTGATTCACTTCATAAGCATCATTCTACGCAATTGGGATACATGTGTCAACCAAGTCAGGAGCCTGTACATCCCTTCCGTTATTCGCCTCTTACAAGCATGGGCTGCTGTCCATAACATGAGCAACCTTAATGATCCTTATATTTTGCAATGTCAATGAACCATTTCACTAAGGTAAAACTTACAATAACCATTAAATATCTACTGTCTTTTCGTATGTTTACTTACATAATATTGGCGCAACTTGCACAAATTACATTTGTATTTTTTGTTACACACTAATGTCATAAACTGTATAAACTAAACTTTATACAAAAATAGTTCAAGTTTGTTAGCTTGGAAACATTAGAATTAGTATTATGTTTTATCGTTAATTTTAAGCACAGTAATATCCATTGGATATATTTTCTAGTTACAGTTCATTTAGTTTGGAACCAGTTTTTCCTTGGATGTTTTTTTTTTATATTTCCAGTTTCGGTTCTTTGTTCTTGGAAACCCTTTGACGTTCCTCCAGTGTTCCAGCAGCAACACACAGGTAACAGATAGTGTCAGGTAAAAAACAGTCCACATTAAGTGATATAAATATTTAAATTCAGTGTATAATTAGGTCTTTGAGGTGAGGTGAGGTGAAATTTGGTTTTACATCATGCTTGAGAATATTTCGCTCATATGACGATCTGCATGCATGTGTATGTGCGCCTGCTTGTACTAGCCCAGACTTAAGCTGGTTTTATAGTGCTAGCCCACTGAGATACCATGCCGCAGTGAAGCAGGAATACCCCACTCAGACACATTATACCGACTCCGAGCCGACCAGTCCTTGTTGTACCCATTAATGTCGAGCGCCAGGCAGGGACCAACAAGTACCATATTGTAACGTCTTTTTGGTATGACGCGGTCGGGGATCGAACCCGCGGCCTCCGCTCTCCGGGCGGACGCTCTAACCACTACACCACGGAGGCGGTCTTAGGTCTTTGAAGGGCATTTGGAGTGAGTGAGTGAGTATGGTTTTACTCTGTTATTAGCAATATTCCAGCAATATCCAGGCGGAGACACCTGAAATGGGCTTTACACATTGAACCCATGTGGGGAATCGAACCGGGTCTTCAGCGCGACCAGTGAAAATTTTAACCACTAGGATACCCCACCCTCCCGAAGGGCATTTGGACGTGATGAGCACATGTGAGCAATGTATTTGGATATCAACTCTCTTCTGAAGAAGGAGTAAGAAGTAACACTGAAACAGGTGTCAACACATTACAGCTGGGATAACATAATGCCATTTAGAAAGTGGTCAAATGTAACATATGTTATATTTGGGATTACACTTTCTTAGTAAAGTACAGATTCTAGTACTTTTGTTGGGTTAAGTCCCATCCGGGATTCGAACACACATCCTCAGAGCCAGGCACCTAATCGCCAGCACACAGAGTCAGCCGCCTAACCCACTCAGCTTTGTCTGCTGGCGATTAGGTGCCTGGCTCTGAGGATGTGTGTTCGAATCCCGGATGGGACTTAACCCAACAAAAGTACTAGAATCTGTACTTTACTAAGAAAGTAGTAATCCCAAATATAACATAGGTTACAAATACAGCTGATATATATACAAAAAATCGTTGAATCAATTTATCATTATTACCATTTTTCCTTGCGACCCTAACAGAGCACACCAAAGTAACTACATAACACAGGTATACTGGCTGCTAATAAAATGAGCAACACATTTGAAAACATTAAATTGGATGTGAAAACAAGAGTTGAAAGGCTTTATTACGATATATTCCTGGGATAAACAACATGTTGTACATAGTACAACCACATTCATGCCATACATCCCCATCCCCATACAATATATTTCTGCATTACTGGTTTGATAACAAGATAACAGTGATAACATACCAATAACAAAATATATGTGTACCTTACACAGGTAACACAAGATCATCACAACATTTCCTGATGAGTCAGCTGATACCGGGAGTCTTAAAGAGATTCAAACCATCAAATTTTAATAATCCAATAAAAGTATAGAAAAGCTGCAAACAAAATACTTACAGCGCCATCGGTATATATTATAATGGGCAGATATTTATTTTATCAACTAAAAATAAGATAAACAAAGATTGTCTGTGGAGATTTTGATGGATTATAAGCTTCCAACATCAAACATCAAACATCAGTGCTACGAAGACTTTCAACAGATTGTAAAGGTTCCTAAATTGGAATATAAACAATACAATTAACAAACAAATAGAACAAAATTACCGGGTAACAAAAAAACCTACCTAATATAAAGAATGGGTAGCAAGCTGATTAAAAGAAAGTGTTAAGTATTCTGCCCTGGAATTGGAATGTTTCATGGGGTTGATTAAAGTTGTTCCTGATCAAATAACCACAAGCCTTACAATTACTGCATTCATCTCGATTACCATCACCGTACCATCAGACTAAGTATTGAAAATAAACAGAAATCTAAGTGATAGCTTTGATATGTAAATATTTCGTTGTAAATCATATAAGGATCACTCCCCACCAATAGCTGCAAAATCGCTGATACAGCTTTAAGCAATATTCACTCATTCACTACAAGGATCACAGATAATCATATCTTGTAATTTCCTATAGACCTGTACAAGTTGCTTTTCATCTTAAAATTATTTCTATAATGAAATTAACTGGTTTAACATGAAAATGAAATCTGAGGACTATTGCAATTATGTGAAAACTTAATGTGTAACAGTCATCCCAATCTCTCCATGCTTCTGTTCAAGGAACCTGCGAACAAAGACGAACAATGAAATTTAGTGGTTCAATCAGTGAGATGGAGTGAGTGAGTGAGTTTAGTTTTATGTCGCAATCAGCAATGTTCCAGCTATATGGTGGGGGTCTGTAAATAACTGAGTCTGGACCAGACAATCCAGTGATCAACAGCATGAGCATCGTCTGCGCAATTGGGAACCAATGACCTGTGTCAACCAAGTCAGCGAGCCTGACCACCTGATCCCGTTAGTCGCCTCTTACGACAAGCATGGGTTACTGAAGACCAATTCTAACAAGTACCTCCACGGGTAACCACAAACAGAGTATATGCACCTGTACTGTGACAAGCTGAACAAACCATTCAGGAGACATATTTCAGTCTTGTTAACCAATACTCTGAAAACCCCAAATGAGTGAGCGTAGTTTTACGCCCGCTGTTAGCAATATTCCAGCAATATCAGGGTAGGTGACACCACACATGGGCTTCACACATTGTACCCATATGGCAAATCAAACCAGTCTTCGGCATGATGAATGAATGCTTTCACCACTAGGCTACCCACCGCCCCAAACCCAAGTGAAGCTCACGTTGTCACACATTTGCTACTTATTAATACCGAGACAACTATCAATCAAGTCAATCATTGTCATGAGCTGTCAAACACAAAGATTGACTCTCTTAGAAATGTTTAAAATCAGTGACCCGTTTAACAACTACATGACATCCAGCTGATGATATTTCAATTAGCTAAAAGATTTCCACTCCATACTTTCAAATTTAGTGGCATTCTGAAACAAGCATGAAACAATTCTTGACTCTTCTGATGACAGGAAGAATTAGTTTAGTTTTACACTGTTTTTAGCAATATTCCAGCAATATCACAGCAGGGGACACCAGAAATGGGCTTCACACATTGTACCCATGTGGGGAATTGAACCCGGGTTTTCAGCAAGATGAGCGATTGCTATAACCACTAGGCTACCCCACCACCAGTCTTGATGTTCTATATTCTGTCGACCAACCAACAAGTTTTACTCACTGCAATCTTCAGAGCCTGGTCAAGATCAGCTATGATATCCTCCAAGTCCTCTATACCAACAGAGAGTCGGATCAGGCTGTCCGAGATACCCAGCTCAACACGCTGTTCAGGCGGAACAGAAGCATGTGTTTGAAGAGATCTGGAACATTAATACTGACATTCAGACATTTTGTGTCACAAATGCATATATCCCTACAACAAATTAGAATAAAAGAATTTTGCTTTTTTCTGTGAGTACTGTTGAGATACTATAGAGAACGAGTGAATATCGTTTCATGCCAGTTTGAATAGTATTTAGGAGTAGTGTAAGGTTAGCTTCAGATTAAAGCCCAAAATAATACAGGTGTTTGAGTGAATGAGTGAATGAGTTTAGTTTTACACTGCACTCAGCAATATTCAAGCTATATAGCGCCAGTCTGTAAATAATCGACTCTGGACCAGACAATCCAGTGATCAACAGCATGAGCATCGATTTACGTAATTGCTTGCGCATGATCAATTCTAACCCGGATCTTCACGGGTTACAGGTGTTTGACGTTTATGACTATTGTGAAACAGACAAGTATTGTAAACCATATTTAGGGTGAATCCGAGATTCAATCCCACAATCACAGGCTTCTGGCAAGCAAAAGGGACATAACTCTACCTAGTGAAATGCGGTGCTTCTAGCAATATTCCAGCAAAATCACGGCAGGGGGACACCAGAAATGGCTTTCACACATTGCACCCATGTGTGCAATCAAACCGGGGTCTTTAGCATCATGAGCAAACACTTTAACCACTAGAATAATCCAATAAATCGAATCCAATATAACACACACGCACACATGCACGCACGCACACACACACAAGTGCAATGACATTCTTTATTCGTAACTGAAGTTTCTCATAACATTGTGGGTACTTTTCAACTCTAAGTTAGCACTATTTTTGGCACCTGCTTGTGCCAATGCCAGTGAATATGTTATAGACCTATTATATGATAGATTCAATATTTTTAAGCATGTGTAACATGTTTCATGAAAACAATTGTTTCCTGTGGAATGTTACATTCTGATGACAGTCATAAACAGTTGGTAATATTCAGTTCATAGGATTTTGTTAACTTCTGAATACCGGAGGGATTCTAAGAGAACACTTACGGTAATTCACATAGACTTTCAAACCCTCCAAGACTCTCTGCCAGTGTAAAGACCTGTAAACAAAAAGATCACACTTTCGTAGATCACATCTAATGCTTAACATGCTTAATATAAATTCTTATTCCTACAATAATATACATTCTTATTCCTACAATAATAATATAAATTCTTATTCCTACAATAATAATATAAATTCTTATTCCTACAATAATAATATAAATTCTTATTCCTACAATAATAACAGTCAATGAAAGAAATAAAAAGCGCTGTTTGGAATTTTCTTGTTGTTGAACATTTTCAAGTTGCTGATATCAATAGCTAAAGAAAACTAGCAGAAAAGTTGTACACACAAAAGTTCAAAGTTTTTGACATGAAAGCAGTTTCTCGTAAAACACTGTTATAACAATAACGTTTTTTCTTAAATAAAGCAAACATAGACATCATTAAATCTAAATCCTCACTAACTTTGAGATTTTGAAGAAACGTCCTTGACTGTTCCAGTTCCCCCTTGATGAAGAAAGTGACCATACCGCTATACCCCTTCATCTGTCGCTTGCCCAGCTCATACTGGGGATGTGATGGCAGACCTGGAACAGCACCATACACTGCATTATACCAATACACTACACTCCACACATACAGAGTGAGTGAGTGAGTGAGTGAGTTGGGTTTGGAGTGAGTGAGTGAAACAAGATACAGAAAAATCCCCATTTCTGCAATATATAACTGCAAGAATATGACAGGAAGATACTGAGAAATACCCATTTCAATTCTATCTAACTGACAATAAGTCACTTGGGAATCCCTTTTCTACAATATATAACTAAATCTTATGGGAACAACAAGGCGGAAATCCGAATACTGCAGTTGACCCACTACAAGAAAAGGACAATAAGGTACCTGGGAATCACTCTCACTCACTTACATAGACAGGAACATAAGTATTGCAGGATAATATTTACAAGGAAGCTTCATTGAATTGTAAATACTCCCTTGAGGGATGGCAGACGTCTCACCTGGATGGTTAACTTTAACCACTCTGGGACTGGCTTCGAGGAACTTGGCTACTGCCAAACCATTCTTCATGTGTTCCTTCATGCGGACGTGTAGGGTCTTCAGACCTCGGTTCACCAAGTAGCAGTCAAACGGGGAGGGCACCGAACCAATGGCTGGATGAGGAGATACATGACAAGATCATGATGGCTATTCAGCTCTGTACTCTTTAAGAGCATTATACTTCAGTTACAGTGACTGGGTAGGGGAGATCTTAACAACTTTTATTATACAATATATATCATTGGGACCATTAGGCATTTTTCAATCTCAAAACTTAAAGGTAAAAAAATAAATAACACTAAGCCTTCAATTTTTATTTTTGTTTCAAACGTAAAATGAAAACAGAAATATATTTTCAAATTCTTTTTTACATTCGTGACAGGATCAGGCAGGATGTAAACACAGGAGAAAAATGCCTTCAGCAGCTGCTCACTGTACACTCACCATTCTGTAAGAACCTCATCTCTTTTGCCAGTTCCTCATCGTTGACAACAGCAGCACCCATGATAACATCAGAGTGACCTGTCGACAGATAATGAATATCTCGAAAACTGCAGACACGGAAACCTTGTTTGTCAACACACCTTGCATCCTTGACGTTTACAGTCAGGTGGTAGTAATGGGATTTCTGTACGTGTGTAATGACATGCATTACAGTGACTCATAGATGACGCGTCCTTGTGTTATCCTCTTAAAGCTGAGTGAGTGAGTGAGTGAGTTTAGTTTGAGGCCGCTTTTAGCAATATTCCAGCAAAATCATAGCGGGGGACACCAAAAATGGGCTTCACAAATTGTACTCATGGGGAATTGAACCTGGGTCTTCGGCATGACAAGTGAACGCTCCAACCACTAGGCTACCCCACTGCCCTTAAACCTGAGCCCAGGCAGGGTAACAACAAGTACCATAATGAGGCAGACACAGATTGAACTGCTCCCTACGCAGAGACTCTACAGAACCTGACAACAGAGTCAGTCCCTACTCTTGGGAACACTAATGTATAATACACGCAGACTGTTAGCCATGTGTGTTTCTGTATCATAAATATCACATGGCAGAAATAAAAATTGTTTTATGTTATCCTATAGCTAGCATAATATGTAGCTTATATTTCCTAAATATGATTTACCTGACATATATATTCTCACTCAATGAAGTAACTTAAGAAACTACCTATGAATATATTAGTGAACCACCTGTATTGACAGTGTATGAAATAAGCCAAAAACCCAACCAGTCATCTGGGCTGGTAACTTCAAAAACTCACCAGCTCAGAAGAGATCTAACCAGTCCTTCTTAAATACTAAATACACAGTGCCAGTGGACACTTATCTAAAAAAAATTTTCACCCGTCCATCGGGCTGGCTAGCTGTAAAATTAGACTGTCCGGCAGAAATCTAGCCCGTCTCGGGCGGTCAGTTGGGCCTTATTTCATACACTGGTATTGAGCAAAGAGTGCTATAATTGTAGCCTGGTTTTTCAGTCATATATCAGCATACCAATATCCAACCATAGTAAATATTGGTTGGTTGGTTGGTTGGTTGGTTCGTAGTTGCTTAACGACGAACTCTGCTTTATTGCAGCTATAGAACGGCAGTCTGTAAATAATCGAGTCTGGACCCGACAATTCAGTGATCAACAGCATGAGCATCGATCTACGCAATTGGGATACCATGACATGTATCAACCCAGTCAGCGAGCTTGACCACCCAATCACGTTTGTCGCCTCTTACAACAAGCATGGGTTACTGAAGACCAGTTCTAACCCAGATCTTCACAGGCCAGGAAATGTCAGACAATAAATTGTTGATGATACACAGCATCCATCTTTGGGTCATAAAAGACATTGAGGGTCATTTGCATATTTATCACATCATGATTTATTCATGATACGAGTTTATTCTTATATCTCATACAAAATACTATTCATTATTCCCAAAGAATGGAGTCTACTACATATCAACAATTTATTCATAGACTTGTTTCCACTGGGAACAATAAAATTAATAAAAATGGTTATTACCCATGTGGTGAAACATAACTAGTGTCATATATATCAGATGTGCACATGTGCACATATCACACTACCTAGCAACCTTGCCTAGCAACCATTGTTTCTGTAGTTCGTCGTCTGTGACGTCATTAAACAATGACGTCAATGAAAAGTGCCGTCATGCTTGCTTATCATGTTTTACTGCACAAAAGTACATGAATGAAATGGATAATAAAGAAATTATTACCATCGAGCAAGTGTGTCATACGACTTATACAAAACTCGTGCAAAATTATGTATTCAGGGGCCCAGATAAGCTGCGTATCCGGGTAAAATACGCAGAGAAAATTTCCAATTACGCATTGAAAAATAATTGTTGCGTACCAATTACGCATTAAAAAATGTTAGCTACGCAAAAGTTTAAAACAAATGCGTACGGAATATATTTATAAAAATCGCTTGCGTAATGAAAAATACATCCATTGCTATCAAGCTGTACTGTTAGTATAGGACAAGTGTTGTACTGTCAGTTTAGGATGAGTGATTTTTTATGAAATCATTTCCATTATATTTAAGTTGGTTTTGATTAGGTATAACATAAGGCAGAACATACCTGCTTAGTAAATTTACTCAATGACATAATACTTAGATGAGTAAAATGATTGAAATACGCACATATTTGAAAGCAGTGGGTAACGGAAAATGAAATACCCACTCAACATTCATAATACCCACTCCAAAATAATACAGTGGGTACAGTACCCACATGAGCTAAATCTTATCTGGAGCTCTGATGTATTGCATAAAAAAATTCAGACTCGTTTCGTCTGACTCGTTATTCGACACACTTACTCGTGTAATAATCTCTATCTATTACATAATAAATTGAGTCTGACACATACCAGCAATTTATTCATTGGCTTGTATGTACTTATAAAAATGCTGTCCACATTAATGACTGTGCATGATGATATACTCCATGTTCCAAGACAATGCATTCATAACAAATCTTCTATCTATGATACTTTAGTATTTCATCTCAAAGACATTCCATGATGTTAATCAATCAATATTGAATAACAATGTTGACATTGGTTACCCTGGTGCACCTACCATTCATGTACTTGGAGAGGGAATGCATGGACATGTCTGCCCCTAGCTCCAGGGGCCTCTGGAAAGACAAGCATAAATTACAACTTCATTACAGTAAAGGAAAGTACTGTTCAGCTGCCTCGTTCATTCGTTCATTCGTGAATGGGGTTTAATGCTTCTTTGAACAGCAGTGCAGCTGTATCAGCTTCAGTTGGGAGGAAAGCTTGTAGTGACGCAGGTCTATGACATTCCACACTTCGCTGGGGCACAGGGCATGGGCACAGGCATGGTGTTGACACACCAAGAAACACAAGTGTTTGCCACTGATATGGCAATGTCCCCGCCGCTGAAGAATGGAATATTTCTAACATATTTACTACTGTTTATTTTTTGGTCACATACAAGATGCCTAAAATGACTCGTGTCTGCATCATCACCCAATATAGGCTGTCGACATAATTGAAGACATTGGGTGCAATGTTTTAATGAGATATCGCGTTTACATCAGTTTTAAAAGTGGTCAAAGTGTTGTGGTGACCTTGAAAATAAGGCCAAGGTCACCCAAATTGACTGGTGTCTGGGTAATCCCACAATGTAGGCTATCACCAAATTTGAAGACGTTGGGTACAACAGTTCATGATATATCGCGTTAACAAGAATTGGGACGCCGCTGAATACATAGTCCCCCGTTCTGCGTTGCGGTGGGGGACAATAATCCGGGAGAACCGGTTTTCCAGTAATCACCTAAAACGAACATTAGTGAGTGAGTGTCATGTTTAGTTGTTTTTTTAAATATTTCCTCTCATCCTAACATTCATGGGGGGTGCGGTGGGGTACCCTAATGGTTAAAGCACTTGCTCGTCACACCGAAGGCCTGGGTTCGATTCCCCACATGGGTACTACGTTTGAAGCCCATTTCTGGTATCCCCAGCTGTGATATTGCTGGAATATTGCTAAAAGCAATGTAAAACCATTCTTGTAATGCAGTGTTTTCTAATCCTTCTGGCACCCTAACGACTCCACACATGTGAATACAGATGGGTGAGCAGCCCTGTGTTCTACCCTCTATGGTCCACGTGACAGCTTGACATGGTTTGCAGTGTTTGTTTGTTTGTTGTTTAATGCCACACTCAGCAATATTCCAGCTATATGCTGGTGGTCTGTAAATAATCGAGTCTGGACCAGACAATCCAGTGATCAACAGTGATCTACGCAATTGGGATACGATGACATGTGTCAACCAAGTCAGAAAGTCTGACCATCCAATCCTGGTGCATAATGATTAGGTCATGCTATAGGACCTCAGTTTCACGACAAACTGACAGAGGTATGTAGTCACAGGCATGTTGTGAATGACATGATTGAAAACCTGTGTTTGTATGCACATCAGAGGACTAAGCACCAATTGCTTTGAGGACTGCAACAACTCAATACATATATGCAACCTCAGCATTAAAGGCATTGCTTGACAACCGAAGATTTAAGTTGCTACAACGGCATGTCAGAAAAACTGGTTCAATACATCCCACTGTACAAGTCTTCGGTGTCAGGGTGATCAGCAGGGTATTGGATGGCTACTTAGCTACTTAGCAACAGCCGTGCAGCTTGTTGACAGTGTTCTGACACACAGTGAGAACACGTTTCTCTTGATTGCCATAAGACGTAAAAACTTCTGACGTGCCAGTGGCATTAATGTTTCTACTTAGGTGGCCTTCACACGGCAAACTAAAGTTTGACAACACATGTTTGACAACACATGTTGTCAAACTTGAGTTTGAGAGTGTGAACATTCCAACAACTCGCCACCAACACCAATTTCAGAGTTGTCAAACCATTGTCGAGAAATAGGATCGGTCTCTATTCTCACTCGAGTTTGATGTGTGAAGTGTTGTCAAACTCGTGTTGTTCAGAAACAACCAATCACAGTCAATGAAATTGTCACATGATGTTTTGGTCATCTGGTCAAGTCGATCTACAAAATTTCATCGCTCAAATGACACGAAAGTTTGACAAATGTATTTGACGTGTGAAAATGTGAGTTAGACAACTTTTTAAATTCCAACAACATGTGTTGTCAAACTTAAGTCTGCTGTGTGAAGGTTGCTTTAGTGCTTAATACCTCTGTATGGCTGTGTAGGATCAGGACTGGGTTCCACCGATGAAACAAGAAACTGTCTAGTAGGGGTGGGTATTGCAGAGAATTTTCATATTAAGATATATTGCGATGTGAAAGCTTTTATTGTGATATGTAATGCATATATACTGCAAGATGGGTTTTTTAACAATAAACTACTAATGATCAAGTTAATGCTTCATTTATAAAACAAAAACACAACAAAATCACTATGCTTCATTAAGCTTTAATAAAAACTTTTAATCATGACAAAATAAGAATATAGATAATATTTAAATGTAATTTTCACCACGATCATTCCCACCACAATTGCCACAATCATCAAGGTTTCCAAGTGTTACGAAGTTTTCCGAATAAATGTAAAAATACCGGTTTTCTATCAGCGTGTCGCAATACGTATCGTTTTCATGTCTGAACCGGTTAATACCGGTAAACCGGTTATATTGCGCAGCCCTACTGTCTAGACCTGACAGATTGATTGCTGTGTAGGAGTTTGGCATAGCTTAGACAAAAGGAGTTAAGGATTCCATTGAGCCAACATTACTGCTATGTAAGATGGGAGTCAATCATGACAGCAGAACCTGAAGAGCCGATCTCCAAGCATTATGGTGTGCCATGATGACTCGTGTGCATTATATTGATGACATTCTGAATGTGTACATAGATGAATACAACACTAAGATTGAATTTGGCCATGTCAACAGATGCACACAATTTGAAGCATTACCTTCTAAAGTGGTGACCCCTAACAAATTCTGAGTAGTATATTATGAATCTTGAGAAAAACTTACCTGGAAGTAGGAAGACATGAATGTATTGTCAACGACAACAATTATCTTGCCCTCAGCAGCCTTCGCTACCTTGACTACAGCTGCAATGTCCACTAGCTTCATGGTGGGGTTTGTAGGCGTCTCCAGCCATATCATCTGAAAGAGTTATAACTGCAGTGGTTGGTGTGCTTAGGCATTACAGCAGTTATAGCATGGCATCAGCTTAATGTATGAGGAAAGCAATACAGGTCATAGATTCTGTTTGGTGTTTAATGAAGCTCTCAGCAATATTCCAGCTATATGGCAGCGGTCTGTAAATAATCGAGTTTGGACCAGACAATCCAGTGATCAACAGCATGAGTATCGATCTACATAAATGGGATTGGATGACCGGTGTCAACGAAGTCAGCAAGCCTGACTATCCAATACCATTAGTTGCAGAATACCAATTCTAACACGGATCTTCATTGGTTCATAGATTTTGAACACTGGTGTAATCATGGGCTGGGGTATGACAAACCAGGAACCATATAGGTCATTTATTAGGAAGGGGGGGGGGGAAGAGAGAGAGAGAGAGAGAGAGAGAGAGAGAGAGAGGGAATACAGAGAGAAAAATATAGGTTGGTCTGACAAGGCAAGGTGGTAAAGGATATTACACATATTTGGGGAAGGGTTGTAACATACAAGGAGATGGCAGGGTCACCCAAATTATGTGCTGTAATTATTTTCAGTACATCAAGGCCATTGGCACATCCTCTCCTGTAATATATGACAGATCCTCAACGGTAGAAATTGGCACTAGTCCTATAGTCCTGGCCAAACTTCCCAGTACATCAGATATAAGGACTAGTAGAAATCTATTGTTTTAAAGGTTTTTGTTTTATGTTATCTCTATAATGACTGGAAGACTAAAGATACAATAACGCTCGGTTCACAATCATCATGGCAAATTTGTGCTTGACCTGGAAACAGGAAGGAAAATTCAACGCTACAGACATTGGAAACCCACAAACATAGTACAGTGTTGACATAAAAGGTTCAAGAGCAAGACGACTTAGGTATTCAAACCATAACTGGGACAAATAACATGACTAAGGTATGTAACTCTGTACAACGGTCAGCCACAAAGACAACTGGGACACCTGTAAATATTTTGGTCAAACAAACCTTGGTTTTGGGCGTGATTGCTTTCTGGACACTGTCGATATTGGTACAGTCAACAAAAGAGGTCTCAATCCCAAGCTTGCCGGCACACTTCCTGAAGTAACGGTTAGTTCCTGAAACAGATGACATCAACAGAGATACATAACTACTCACCACTGTATCACAACATCTAGCAGAAAATGTGCATGAATATGTCCAAAACTCATCTCAAACATGAACAATGTCTAGGGCTGGGACGAATCACCGATGCATCGATGCATCGAGATATATTTAAGTTTGATACAGCTATCATATCGTGGACTGGTGCATCGATACAAAATGATACAGAACTTTTTTTCAAAACAGTATTATCTTAAACATGTTACAGTACGTATTTAGAGTGAGTTTAGTTTTACGCAGCACTCAGCAATATCCCAGCTATATGGCGGCGGTCTCTAAATAATCGAGTCTGGACCAGACAATCCAGTGATCAACAGCAGGAGCATCGATCTGCGCAATTGGGAACCGATGACATGTGTCAACCAAGTCAGCGAAACTGACCACCCGATCCCGTTGGTCGCCTCTTACGACAAGCATAGTCGCCTTTTATGGCAAGCACATGAGTTGCTGAAGACCTATTCTACCCCGGATCTTCACGGGTCACGTATTTAGAGACAAATACGCAAGTATGATGGGTTTACTTGTATGTTTATTACAATAGTGTTATTGTTAAACACGAATACATGTACCTTGAAATAATGCATTTTAAATCTTGATACTGTGTCAATCTTTTAAGGTGTATGTATCGTGATACGTATCGTATCGCAGGTAAAATATTGCGATATGTATCGTATCGTGACATAGTGTATCGTCCCAGCCCTAACAATGTCTTCATTTATTTGATAAAAATCAACAGTCTCCCTGTATTCTATACAATTGAATGAGATGAAAAATTGGTTTCATTAAAACATAAAAACATGTAAAACATTTTATGTATCTACAGCAAATATATAGATTATAGATAAACATTTAACGTACATTTTAAGAAAGCTACTCTTGATCATGTTTGTAAATATGTTATTTTTTCAACATTTTCATCATTTAAGGCACTGTAATAAATAACATTAGACATGTTGTTATGTGTTTGAAAACTAACTGATGAGTCTGCATGTCAGTCAATCCAATTCCTTGTAAGTGTTATGACTAGTGTTGGGAATTGGTTAAAATCTCATAATTGATGATTGGTTCATTACTACCAATCAATCTTCGAAAAAATTGGTTAGCGTCATTTATGAAATTTGTTAATGCACATAAAAATAAGGAAAAAAACAAGTAGTTCTCTTAGGGTTTTTTGGCAAAATTTCACATCTTTAAAGGATGACTAGTATGTTAGGAACACAAATTTCTTGGAATCTTTAAGATAAATTCAATCATGACTTGAAACGAGCTTGTAGTGCTTACGAAATGTAACAGACAAAACCAACCATGTGAAAAATATTGTTAATGAAAACAAGTGTTCCAGAATTGTTTGTGTTCGATTATGAGAAATTGTGATCGATTGCTTGGTCGTTTAGTCACTACGACCAATCTTCGATTATTTCAATTAATCGGACCACCACTAGTTATGACACTAGTATTTAGTTTGTAAAGTTATTTACACAGCACCATGTGGGAAGAAACATGAGTTATTTACCCCCATAAAGATCATCCATGCTGATGATATGGTCCCCAGCGGCGAAGAGGCTGGTGATGGTGCTGGTGGCTGCCAGTCCAGACGAAAAACAGAAGCCTGTAGCAACAGAAAATATAGTGACATCATAATGAACATTTGGCATGTATCAAATTGATAATAATTATACTGACTGACTGAGTATGGTTTTACGCCGTTTTTAAGCAATATTCCAGCAATATCACGGCGGGGGGACACCAGAAATGGGCTTCACAAATTGTACCCATGTGGGGAATCGAACCCGGGCCTTCGGCGTGACGAGCGAACGCTTTAACCACTAGGCTACCCCACCGCCCCCGATAATAATTATAAGTGATAACAAATAAAAAATAAACAAGTAAAGAGTAACTGATATGAAAGAATTTTGTTGAAGACTTGGGCCTAAATTAACTATATGTTTTTTAACATGTTTTGGGCGGAGGGGTAGACTAGTGGTTAAAGCATTCGTTTGTCACACCGAAGACCAGGGTTTAATTCCCCACATGGGTACAATGTGTGAAGCCCATTTCTGGTGTCCCCTGCCACAATATTGCTGGAGCATTAATAAAAACAGAATAAACTAAACTCACTCACTTTAACATGTTTAATAAACTAGTTTTGTTTGATGCAAGTTGGTTTTCATGTTAACATGCAGATGGAGCAAGTTAAATCAAGTACTCAAGATTAAGCCATGGTCATGTATGAAAAAAGTGACCTTTTCCTTGTGACAAATGAGATCTGCTCACTGACATTCCTGAGGGGCATATTTATGAGCATCTTACGGGTGAAACGTGGGAAGAACCTCCATCCTTGTGGATGTACTTTCTAATGTGATGTACTGACAAATGATTTAATAACTGGTCCAGTACTAAACAAAGTCTAGCATTTCCATTCTCCTTATATGAAAACAATCACCAGAAACAAGAAATGTACTTTATATAGCCCCATATCTAGTATAATCTATACAACATTGGGATGCAACTGTAAAAAGATTTTGGTTGAAACTACATTTGTATTTAACATATGTTACATTTGGGATTACACTTTCTTAGCAAAGTACAAATTATAGTACTTTTGTTGGGTTGAGCCCCATCCGTAATTCGAACCCACACCCTCAGGCAATGTGTAATCATACATTAGTTTTTCACATGTTTAAATTAGATAAAGACATGAATAATTCTGTATGTTCATGCATCACTTCACTGATTACCTCTGGCATCAACATTTCAGTTTAAGAAATTCATCCTAATGCTTTGTAAAAGGTTGGCATGTCGCCCACATCAGAAGTATTTTCAATCATGTCCTGACACAGACTTCTCATTCACTACATGTATGTACATAGAAATATATATACCCTACACAATCAGGTAGTGCATTAATACTAAATGGGTCAAGGTTGTACAAAAGCAAACACTACTCATACCTGACCCTGGTATTCATGTAGCTCTCAAAATCAGGTTTTAAGACAAGTCAGTTTATTGGATGTTTGTAACCTTGTGCCAAAGTGCTTGGTTCTCAACTAAAAATATATTTAATCTAAAATTTGACCATCTAAATATAAAAGAAAAGCCATTTTATCTCCTACACGACTGCTGTACCCAACATGTAATAAAGTTTTCAAAATTCATATGATAGAAATATCTCAAAGATTGACAAAATACATAAAAATATCCTGAAACTCTTTGACTCTTACAAGAGTCACCACTAAATGGAGGCAAATACTACAGTCTTACAATATTCATGTCATTGTGCGTCATACTGTACAAAGGCCTTTCAGGATATGCTTGAATACACATGTACACAGAGTAACACAGGGCACCTGGCTGATCAGTGTGTACAGTTTTATACTGCTGCGTTATAACCCTAGTTTTTCAGTCATTTAAAGCATTCTACACATAATTCAACACAGTGAGTGAGTAAGTTTAGATTTACGCCGCACTCAGCAATATTCCAGCTATATGGCGGCGGTCTGTAAATAATTGAGTCTGGACCAGACAATCCAGTCATCAACAGCATGAGCATCGATCTGCGCAATTGGGAGCGAGCCTGACCACCCGATCCCGTTAGTCGCCTCTTACGACAAGCATGGGTTACTGAAGGTTCAGTCTAACCCGGATCTTCACGGGTTCATTCAACACAGAATGATTGATTTTATATGGTCATTATTAAAGCAAAAATGGTATTGAATGTATTTTCTGTTTGTGGTTTCACAGCAACATTTCAGCTGTATGATGTCAATGAGTGAATTCCAATTAAGTCTTAAAGCAAAGAGATAGATGATATTCTAGGTGTTAATATATTACTGGGTTATAAGTTGTGCCTACTAAAAAGCTGCTGTTTTCTCATGGACTGATAAGGTTGTCGTCAAAGCATTGTTTAATGTGTATTTTTTGTCTGTTGTCAGAAGACTCAGCCATATTACTGATATAAGATGTCGATGAGTGAATTCCACTGGAGTCTTAAAGCAAAGTAAAGAGATGACGTTCTTGGCTTAATATATTAGCATTACTGGATTATTATGATTACCCAAAACTAGATAAATTGTTGCGGACACTAACAGGCTGCTGTTTTCTCATGGACTGATAATAGATGGGTGTGCCTTATGTTGTGTTTTTACAACGTCACTGATTTTGTATACATGACATATAAATTACAGCTGGCAACATGGTCAAGACACAGATGTCACTAGACGATCGCAATAAATACTTGTTTGTGCTGCCACATGTACTGAACAAAGACATAGAACACGAATATTTGGCATAATAGTTTATACTTCTTGGTCAGGATTCAAAACTACTTCTTTTCAGTACATTTTGCAATAATCACACTAAAAACATGATAAACTGTGCTGTTAAAGTGATTTCAAAGCAGTGGACAAGGTGAGGTCATTTTCAAGACCACTGATCTATTGCAAGGCTCTTTATAGACAGTGATTTGCCTCTTATAAAATGGCAAGTCAGAATCATTGACTGACTGCAATGGGCCAAGAGTTCAACATGTAGGTCAAATCTAGAAAGACATTCCTCATTTGACTACTTTCCCTTGCTGAGGCCTCACTGCTAATGTTTATATAACTGTAGTATAATACTGAACTGAATGTTTTATCATACCATAGCAACTATACTATAGCAACTGCAACATAAATATAATACTTTACCACCTGTGTTAAAGTACCATACCAACTGTGGCATAATATCATGCTGGCTGTAGTATAATACCATACCAACTGTGGCATAATATCATGCTGGCTGTAGTATAATACCATACCAACTGTGGCATGCTATCATGCTGGCTGTAGTATATAATACCATACCAACGGTGGCATAATACCACACCAACTGTGGCATATCATTCTGGCTGTAGGATAAGACCATACCAACTGCATAATCATGATAATACCATAGCGTAATTCCATACCAATTGCAGCATAATACCATACAAATCTTAGCATAACACCACAACATTTACAACATAAACCTGTACCACATGTGGTATAATACCATATAAACTGTATGTAATATGTAATACAACACCGTACCATGTTTTCCTCCCTCCACAGCAGCTATACACTTCTCCAGACAATTTCTTGTTGGGTTGCCACTTCGAGAATATTCAAATCCCTGTGAAAAGAATGTTTCTGGTTATAATGTAGATTAATCTTGTAGGGAAAAGAAACGTAATCAAACATTTGACTGCACTCAAAGAGAAAAATCACAACATCTATGGGTTACTATTAAAGCAAGAAAGTAAAAAAATGTAAAAAGAACATAACTGTTTTCCTCAAAACAAGCTCAAAAGCAGAAAGAAACTGTGACAACAGCATACAGTCCGTTTGGCTCAAAAGCGGACCGATGAATTGCAATCTAACTCGAAAACTAATAAACATAACATACTCAATGAAACGCTGATCATAATCGAGAAGCACGTTCACAGACAAAGTTATTTATTCATTAACCTGTGCTGTGCCGTCTCCATCCGTTCTCGAACACCTGGCTGTCCCTTTCTCTGCACCCCTCCCTCGTAACAAATAGTGAACTGTGTCAATATTTTAATGATAGATTGTTAAACAACTTTTTTAATTTTAGGACAAAAATTCTGCAAAAACCTCACAGAGTGGGTATGATGTTTTGATTATGATCAGCGTTTCATTGAGTATTTTATGTTTATTAGTTTTCGAATTAGATTTCAATTCATCGGTCCGCTTTTGAGCAAAACGGACTATAGTATTGATACCTGATCTAACTAATTAAACCCAAAACTATAGAGAATGTTTTTGGTAATGTCTATTGACCACACGCCAAATGGCAAAATGTGTGATGACGGCATGTAAGTCCTAAAAAAAAAATGTTGTGGTTCTGATTACCCGACCGACCCTTGAATTCTGGTGCCGACCCTATCTTTTTTAAGCGGTATGAATAAAGTAAGTTTTCAGATACTATTGTTTTTCCCCAGCACCGACGGACATCAGTCATTCTGTGAAAGTCGACATGATGGCCGCAAGCTTGACTGAATAAACAATTACATATTGATAAATGTGTGATAGTTCATACTACTAAACAAACTGTAAAAAAATATAAAAACCTACCAACCTACCCTCAATTTTGAAGAGGTGTAATCGGAACCATAACATTTTTTTTAATTTGGCCTAAATAGCCTGAACGTCACAATCAGGTGATTGACATCATGAGCATGTATTCAAATAGTCACTATGGTGGGGAATAAGATCAGTTATCTTTGAGTGAGTGAGTTAAGCTTTTACGCCATCAGAAATGGGCTTCACACCTTGTACCCATGTGGTCTTTCACTAAGTATACAATCAAGTGTTAAGTAAATAACAGAAACAAATAGCGTAATATAATACAGTACACGGTAAACGATATAAAACACAAATGAAAACACGTACGAAACGGGAATATTCACATAAATGAGCTGAAAAGAACTTTATATTTTTATGTTTTGAAATATACGTCATAATGAAATCAACAAAATGGAAATGCATCTGGCCTGGCCTCGTTTAAATGGAGAAAAAGGGTTTCCAAATACATCTGGTGGACAGCTTGTTTAATTGGTATTGACAGGGACATTCATATCACATGCAAATGATATTCTGAAAATTTCTCTGGTACATCTGTCAAAACCAATTATCAAGTACTTTATCCCATTCCCATGTGTCATATCATATAAGGTTAGGTATGCCATGTGGAAATGAGATACTGACTATCTATATTGAAAGGATATGTTCTCATAAATGGCGACTGTCTAAAACTGTTTAAAATGTAATTATAATAATGACATATTTTTATTTTGGTGTTAATGAAAATATAAGTGAACAAAAACAAAACTGTTTTCTTTAGACATCAGAAAAAACCCAAATCCAAGTAATACACATTTAGATGTTTTATTGCTGTCCCAAATCTATGCCAGGTTTTTTTTAACTTCTAAAAAGAAACTATGAGTTCATTCTTGGTAATTGTGTTAAGTGTGTGAAACATATTTGTACATGATGTCAGCAGTCAATTATCTCTATATAGGTCAAACAGGCCTATCGATATTTCAGTGTGACAATTATTTGGATCCTTTGCCTAAGGCTAAAATGCAAAGTCATTCCCCTTAAAATAAGCTCACATTGACCACATCTTAACAGCTGATGTAAAAATCAATGTCTTTAAGAATATTCATCAATCATGAAACGACCTAATATAGGTACATGCACCATATTTGGTATGAATAGATCAAACGCAATCGATACGACTAAACCTTGGCTTACGCGTATTGTTAATATAGACTAGTATGGTCTCTCTCTAACATGATTGATCTACAACGACCAATGCAGGAGTATGAAAAAAGTAGGTCCCGCAAAGCAAAGTAACATAAATCACAATCGGCACCAAGACAAAATATCCTCAAGTGATTTATACAAAAATTATGGCACTTTGTTCATGACGTGTAACAGGTGGTAATGTTAATTTATCCATCTGCTCAATCCGCGAGATGATGAAACATTTGAACCAGATGAAGCAAGCGGAGTTGACAGGAGTGCCTCTATTTAGTTTCTCTATGAATTCTTACACTCACCGCGTGCTCGTTGGGTCCAAATTGCTTGTACGTGGTGGCGTTGGATATCGGAGGAATTACAGCCATGGACTTCCATTGTTCCGGCTCCTGGCCGACGTGAATGGCGTCAGTTGCGAAGTGGGGGAAAGTTGACTTGCTGTCGTCGGCTGCCATGCTGGACAAGAAGAACGTCCTTGCCCTTTGTCGGATTGGGGTCACACGGCAAATTATCGGAAAAGTCTTAGTTAATGTCATATTTTGATTACTGTTGACTGTTTCCTTCACAATGTGGTATGAGATCAACTGCTTACGCACATGAACATTTTGCTAAAAAATGACAAGATAATAACAAGTGTAAATAGATAAATAGAACACCCCATCGCGTTTGGAGGTGTGTCCTACTGAATATTAATGAGATCCTTTCGAGCGCAACATTCCCGTAAATCGATCAATGCTGTTCAGTGGTTACAGAGATAACCGTGTATGTATATTTTACTTACTTATGATAGAAATACAAGTATGAGTATATTCGTACTATTAGCGTACCACAACTTTCGGTGACAACTATACATATAGATCTACCAGGACAATAGTGGAAAATAACTGGAAATGCCCAGTCAAAGGGATGTGCTTAACACAATTTATTAATTAAGTGAGTAAGTTTAGTTTTACGCCGAACTCAGCAATATTCCAGCTATATGCCGGTGGTCTGTAAATAATCGAGTCTGGGTCGGACAATCCAGTGTTCAACAGCATGAGCATCGATCTACGCAATTAGGATACGATGACATGTGTCAACCAAGTCAGCGAGCCAGACCACACGATCCCGTTATATCACCTTTAGAATACAGCACCACAACTTCTCGTGAGGACGATCTCTGCCGTAGGTCACGTGTCATTAAGACAAGCAACCAGTTTGTGAGAACCCGTCAGACACAAACCCGCGACCTTCGGATTGTTAGCTCGACAGCTAACCGACTGAGCTACGTCCACACTGTTGCACAATGTGCAAATTTATCAAGTCAGTCAGGCGTCAGACGTAGATTTCACGGTGCATGCATGAATGACGCGCTTTTATATAAATCGGTGATTTTGTGACAGAAAAGTGATGTAGGGAATACCTGTAAGGATAATGTGGATCGCACTAACGAACGCGGGAGACATGAGCATGTGTAGTGACAGCACGAGGGTGAGTTAGCCTTCGAATCATTACTTTACAAAATTTCTGTTGCGTGTGAAAGACGCTAGAGTGCTGCAAATTCCAGGCAAATTTCCATTAGCTCAAAATTTCTACATTAACCCATTTCATAATGTACTTTCGACGTTTTTGGTTTTCCATTTTTGTGTGAAAAAAAGTATTAAAATGTAAAATGGAAAAACAACAAATGGTACTCACGTATTACACCGGACATGTACCTACTATATTGGATTAGGTCCCCAACCCTAACCCTAAACCCTAACCCTAACCCTAACCCTTTGAAATAATCCTAATGAATAGAATGCATTGACCGAACCACCGGACATGTACCTACTATATTGCACTAGGTCCCCAACCCTAACCCTAGTCCTAACCCTAATCCCTTGAATTAATCCTAACACTAACCCTAGTCCTAGCCCTAACCCTAACCCTAACCCCTTGAATTAATCCTAATAAATAGAATGCATTGACCGAACCGGCACAAACACGACTGACGTGTCTAGTGTAATGCATTATTACCGCTTCGAAAAATAAAATACTAATAAAACACTTTTCTATGTAATGGTGCAAATTACTGAATGACAAAACTGAATATGTAAATTTAAAAAAATTACAAAATACAAAATACACAAAACATAACACCTCAGCAGCCCGTAATACAAATAAATATGAGCGTATTATTAGTGAAAAAAGAAAAATATTTCAAACTGGTGCTTGCAAAATATTGCGCATCTGCCGGTATACAACTACTGGAAACTCTCAACATCGTTGGGCTTATGCAATGACATAGCTCGTAGAGATGAAACACCAGTGAGCGGAGCTTATACGCACTCGCTGAGCCAGACAACCGTGTTGCCATGCAGGCGTCATAGGGCATTGTTTCGAGAACGTACTTTCGAACAAAATCACATTACATTACGTAAAAGGGTATTATGACGTATTTTTAAAGTTTGTTGTGCTGAATTCTAAAGGTCGGCCGCCTCTTACGATAAGCATGGGTTACTGAAGATCAAGGCGCCAAGATCAATTCTAACCCGGATCTTCACGGGTTCAATTTATTAAAACGACACATAATGAATCAAGTGTCCACAACGACACCTCACAAATCACCTCTGCTTGATGAACCAATTAGGGTAATTAGTCAAGGCAATTGTAATCAAGCCAGTGAGGGGGGCGACCTTTTGCAAATCTCTCTCGGGATCTTTAAAACACCCATAAACTATCACCACTTGGGTGAGTACAAATACACTTAGGAATGCGACAAATCCTTAAAACTACGTTAGCCTACACGACACGTATTGGTGCGGTCCCAGTGGCGACCTCGGGAGCTCGACCGACTCGACCTCGCAAACTACACGACCTGTCTCGACCTGGGGGGTATCTCGACATCACAACGACCTCATAACGACCTCGTAAGAACCTTTACGACGTTAGTTCGATTTTAGTTCGACTTCTGTCGACCTATCTCGACTCAGGTCGGCCAAGTTGAGAAGACCTATACTCGACCAGCTAGACCTGTATATCGACCTAATTTCGAATTAATTTCGTCCTGAGTCGACCGGCCCGACCTCTACGCGACCTGTGTTCAACCGGAGCGACTGGTTCTCGACGGAAATTACATTTTTCTGCCGAGTAGAGCCTTGGTTTCCAAATTGTATAAATTCCAGGGTGCATTTTCACCAGGTACCCATTCAATTAGAGGACTGCAAAGTAGTAACATCTCCATCAGGAACCTTGACGTAAACCTGGTGAGCCCCGAGAAGCGAAGACTGCTTACCATTTGGGTGCAGATAGCCTGGCATCTGCTTATATTAAACTGGTGGATGACCTGGAGAATGCCAACCCTCCTCCAAAGCCGTAAGCACATCAATCCCATCCTTGACGCCTTGAAAGCTGAGTATCGGTCAGATGAGTGGGATCAGAGCAGATGGAATACTGTAGCCCGTGCTTTTAAAAAAGGTGGCAATTTCCATATTGCACCGGTGAGTTTGATGGAAAGCACATGCGCACCAAGAAGCCTCCCAAAAGCGGGTCCCTCTTCTACCACTACAAGAACTTCTTCTCTATTGTCTTGCTGGCACTCGCGGATGCCGACTACAAGTTCCCGTGGGTCAACGTCGGGGCCAAGGGATCAGCATCAGACGCTAATGGTCTTCAACCATTCACGAGATCGGATGGAGGGCGATGGCCTTGTATTCCCCGTATATGGTGTGCCATACTTCATCATCGGCGACGATGCCTTTCCACTCCGCCCTTGGATGATGAAGTCCTTTTCCATGCGTCAGATGGACCCCGATCAACTGCAGGTAATTATTCTTTTCCATAAATACCTAAATCAAATTATAACTTAGTATCTGTGGGTGTATGCAATATTATATAAAGGTTTTGAATTTTGAATGCATTTATCTTAAAAATGTTTAATTTGTGACTTTTGCAGGCTGTCTCGGGCCAGACGAGTGGTAGAGAATACCTTCGGGATTCTGGCTATGAGGTTCCAGATCCTCTTCGGCTCCCAAAATAGCACCTCAGACAGAGCTGAACAGATAACCCTGGCCTGTGTCACTTTACACAACATGCTGAGAACGAGGAACCGAAACAGTCAGATGAACCTCATAGACCAGCTGCAGGGGAATGAGGACTGTTCACTCACCCCAGGCGAGTGGCGCTCCTATACACACAGCTGCTTGATGGGGATAACCGGGGTGCGAGGAACGTTACCCCATTAGATGGCGCCAACCAAAGAACCTATTTTAAGGACTATTTCATGGGCCCAGGGGCTGTTCATTGACAAGAGAAGATGATATCCAAATGACTTTAAAGTGTACTCTATTATTTAGGACTACTTCATTTACAAAGGAACTCTTGTTTGTTTTTTATTTACACTATTTACAATTGAAATACACAATGCCATTTAGAAAGTGGTCAAATGTAACATATGTTATATTTGTGGAAGCCGCGGTGGCTGAGCGGTCTAGGCGTCTGACTTTGTGTGCTGGCGATTAGGTACCTGACTCTGAGGGTGTGGGTTCGAATCCCGGATGGGACTCAACCCCCAAAAGTACTAGAATCTGTACTTTACTTAATATAACATATGTTATATTTACAATTGGTAAATGCGAGAAAAAAACACACAATGAAAACGAACTATATACATGATGAACAAAACACATTTTATTACAATCGTACAAGATGTATTTACATTTACACTTAGTAATGGATGGAAAATACAAAAAAATATCAGATGAAAAAAAGCTTTTAAATCTTTTATTGGAAACTCATTTAAATAATCTGAAGGTAACATTTCACATCAGTATAAAGTGCTCATGACAATATATGAGTATCAAGTTCTACTTTTCAGTTTCACTGTCCTTGCTGAGAGTCATGAACATGTGACTGATTCTCTGAGGTGTGTGTAGGGTCCAAGAGACCGCTTGGCAGGTACAGAGAGATATACCTGCTGCAGCACTGGAGTCAAAGCTGGGGAAGATACCAGCCTGTTCCGCTGCTTTGCGGCGTGTTGGAGAGGGTGGTGTGCTCAGGGTGAACCTCTGGGTGGTAGCAGGTTGGTGTGGAAATGATGTGCTACCACTGGCTGCCGTTTGGCTTTTATGAAGCAATTGGGAAGATGGCGACCATTCATGCGGTCGGCGCGGACTCGATTAGGTCGAGTTGGGGTCGAGATAGGTTGACTTCAGGTCGAGTCGGTCGACTCCAGGTTGAGTCCAAGTCGAGTCCAGTTCGAGTTGGTCGACTCAAGGTCGAGTCGAGGCCGAGTACAGATCGGCTCTAAGACGAACACAGATCGGCATGTCAGGCCAGCTCGACCTTCAACTCGACAAACTCGACCTAATGTCGACCTAAACTCGACCTTTTTTCGACCTACCTCGACCTATTCCCGACCCAATCTCGGACTGAAGGTCGAGGAGGAAGTCGGGGAAAAGTTTTGACATGTCAAAAAGTTTTCAAAAACTTATTAGACCTGATTCGATCTGACACGACCTGACTCGACCTAACTCGTTCTGTAACTCGACCAACTCGACCCCCAACTCGACCTTCAGGTCGAGAAGGTCGAATAGCGTAAGGTCGGCACTGGGACCGCACCA